GGATGTGGGGACAGATTTTATGACTCATAAGACACGTCGTGAGGATTCATTTTTTTATGCCTTAGCAGCTGGAGATTGGTTCAAGAAGTATAAATTCTGAGCTGCTGTGAATCAAACTCTCATAAAGAAATGTTAAATATATATGAATAAATGGGTCTTTAAGACTTTTCTTCAGAGTTAATATTTTCGTCCCAAAAATCATGTATTGTTTCCAAATAAATTTAAAAAAAAAACAATTAACTTGTTAAAAATAAGTGGTTAGGAATCAAGTTTTTTTTTTATATAAATTATAAACGGAATATGAGGATGAATAAAAATTTTGGCAATAATTAAAAAAAAAACTGATTTCCCAGTAAAATTGTGCTTATTTAGTTTTTTTGTTTTGTCAATATTTATTTGGTGATTTATAAATAGCGTCCGTTTTTCAAGCTCCCAAAAGCACAAAGAAAGCGATGGTTTCAATCCGTTCCCAGAGCAAAGCAAAGCCTTCTTGCTTTTTTCCGCGCACGCACCGTTCTTTATTTCCCTGGAAAATTTTTGCGACTTTTCTTGTCATCTTCAAGAGCTGAAAAGACCGAACGTCGTGTCGTCCTTTTGTCGCCCTGCCCACGAACACTGTTGCTTCTTTTTTCTCGTCGCTGTGAGCGACCGGCACAATGAATAACGCACACAACCAATTTTATGTCGAGGGGCGAGCAAGCGAGCGAGCGGACACCCCCAGAGGGTGGCTCGGTTGCTGCAATTTGGCAAAACAGATCCTCCGGGCACGCAGCGTCCGCTGGCGAAAACCTCATTTTTCGTTCGCCTAAATTAATGTCTGTCGCCGGTCCCCAAGTGGATCACGCAGCCTTTCCACACGACACTTGGGAAAAAGTTGTGCTGGGTCTCGCTTCGTAATTAATTTGGTGGCGTTAGGATTGAACTTGTAAGGGTGGAAAGACATTTCTTGCTAGAAATACAAACTTTTTTACTCATGCTCATTTTAATTAACCGGACATCCTAACGCAATTTTGTTGCGCTTGAAAGAAGAGCATTTTTTAAATCACAGTTTTTAATACCAATAATTGAATATGGAAGTCATTTTTATTTTAACATTCAACGGCGTTATTAAAATTTGATTTGTAATAAAATTTAGTTTACAAATGAATGCCCTTTAAAGCTAATTTTAGTTTGAAGTATAAAAATTAATATTTAAAATTCATTGGTTGTTGTTTGTTGGATTGAACAAATGATTTCACAATTAATTGTATGACCTACTTCTTAAAAGATTTTTTTTCAATTAATGACTTTTTAATAATTTAGGTGAATTAATCTTTCTGGTCTGTAGAAAATATTGAAGAGAGAAAATTATATAATATAAAAAAATCTCAGCATCATTTCACCATCAGAGGAGCGAAATTCGCATGCTGAACGCACCCGAAAATTGATTTTGGTGATTTCGCCGCCAAATTACTTTATTGTTCCTTCCGGCTCGCGGTCCGCGGAAGGGCGCGGGCAGCAGGAAGAGGAATTAATCGATCGCACCGGCGGAAGATTCTCAAGTTTTGTGCTGCCGGCCACTCGCCCGTTCGCGACTAGAGAGGATAAAAAAGTTGGTCGGCCGCGGCCGGCTCGGCCGCGTTTGCCGAGGGGCTCTTCAGATTAATATTCCCCGTCTTTCTCATCAGCATCAAGTATTGGACACCAGACAATGGCCACTTCCTCCGCCAAATGACGTAACCGCCCCGACGCATCTCCAAACTCCGCGCCTGAGCACAAAATTTCGCTCGCCTGCGGATCGGAAATGTTTGCAGATTCGCGTGTGGAGAGCGAGTCTTTTATTCCTCCCTTGAAAGGTACATTCTCAAGTGACTTTGCTGCCGCCAGCAGTTTCGATTTTGATTCATCTCCGTCCTTCCTGCGCGAGTTTCCCACCCAGACGAAAATGAGACTGTCTTGTCAAATGACGGCGTTCCGCAGTAAACACGCGTTGTAATCAATGTTTCAACTCACGTCATTGTTTACATTAATCACGCTACCTTACCTAGGTTTTGCCGAATTCTTGGGGTTTAATTGAAAAAGCGGATTTTACTTATAAATAAATTAACATATTAAATTTTATTTTTTAAAGGTTACTTCAGGTTTTATTTATTTAACCCGTCTGGAATTTTTTTATAAATACATTTTTATCAAAAATCATTATATTTATTTATAATCTACATTGTTCAATTAAAAAAATCCAAATTAAAAAAGGAGATTATAATCTTTTGCACTTTTTTTTTAACTGAAATAAAAATATAATAATTCATGATAAAATTGAAATAAAAAATAATTGATTTAGAGGAATGTAAGCAGGATTTGTTAGTTGCTTTTAATTTAATTTATTTTATATTTTTTGTAAAAGAATTTTCTGCGATTAAAATTTGCGTCAAGTTTACACATTTTGAAGATATTGAACCTTTCTTAATTACCATACAACACACAAAAATTTGAATTAACATTAAAGATTATTTTACCTCCACATAAAACTTTGGACATACTGAAGATTGGTCTGAATTGGTGAGACTGAAGTTTATTCACTCCATCTAATCCGTTTTCAACGCCGAACTTGACTTCAAAACAAAAGAGTCATTGCACACAGACCACACGCCGAGCATTACTCATTGTCCAACGCACAAATAAAACATTCAAATTCCGCATATATACGCGGATTGCGAGTTGCGCTCCGTTCTCGTTATGGCGAAATTGCCAAGCGTAATAAATCGAGAGCTTTTGTGCTGTTTTCCTCCTGCGACTCGCGCACTCACGCAGTCCTCGTTATTCTTTTTTCGGGTTAAATAATTAAAATGGTGCAGCTGAGCGAATCGAGCAACGAGTAAATAAACGCGAACAACTCCACTGAATAATAACCAACGCGCGGTTCTGCGCCAATTTTGCATCCACGCGTGACAGCAAAAGTCTTCCCGCAGTGCTCAGGAGCCAGAGAAGATTAAAACGCAAAACGAAACAATGAAAACGACACGTCGTTTGCTTCACCCAAACATTTTTTTATTGAGCCTATGTTACAACAGTATAAATACTAAAATATGAAATTTCTTAAACTTGAATTTTTTATTTTTTAAATGGCCAAAGGACCATTCAGTCAGAGATGCGCTAGTTTTTTTTCTGAATGGGAATATCAGTGTCTTGGCTTAGATCTATTTCAAGGGTTGTTTATTTGTCAGACATTCGATGGACACGCGGGTGTCTGCGTGCCTGGTCATATTATTTTGGTCTAGTTTTCATTCTCCAGCCGGCCACCCCAAACAGAACAGCTAAATGAAATTCCTGAATTGAACGAATCAAATCTAAAAAAAAAATAATAATAATAAAAAAAAAATGGAGGAAACCAAAGTTTATATTGAAGATAAAAAATTATATTTAAATCAAAAGCTGGAATATGATAATTGAAACACAACTTTTTTCATGATCTTTTTTTTTTGTATCGCTCTCATGAATCTTTTTAGAACTTCAATTTTCCTTTGTTGGAGTGAAAAATTCATTTCGTCCCAGCGACCTTTTCATTTTAAAAAGAAACGCACACGTCAAAGAGAACAAAAAGGAAAATAACGTACACAAACCCCTTTTACTTTGCACTCCTTTCAAGCCTGCTGGCTGGCGAGATGCGAAAAGGCTTTTAGCAGAGTGAAAAACTTCGTGGAGACGCTCGCTGCCTCCAACCGAGTAAGTCTCGAGCTGGCATTGAAATCCGAGTCTGGTTGGCTGCATTTCCAGCCATATTTACGTAACTCAAATGGTGTCGCTTTAATTTCACACGCCGACCCTTTGTTTTGTCATTTTGTTTCTGAGACGAGTTGCAGAATGCACCTATATTAAAAAAAAAAAAAAAAAAAAACAGAAGTGTTGAAGTTTATCAGATTTATCAAGGCTAATGGCAAAATATAGTTTGCTGCATGCATGAGAAATGGATGAAAATAAATGCAGTTATTAAATATTTAAAAAAAAAAAATCTAACAGACTTTACATTAAAAATTGATTATGAATTACGTTAAAATCTCTGAAATGCAGATTAAAAGTAAAATAGACGTTAGAAAATTAAATGTAAGGGTGTAAATGAGGTCAATTACTTTGCTTTGAAAAACAGGAAATGAATCTCTCCTGCTTTCTTGAGAACTGCTCGTCTCATTTTATAAAATTTATTAGTTTCTTTTTCTTTGTGCCGAAAAAATGAAGCGGAAAAAGTAGATTTATTTACTAGAGTTGACTGAAGGATATTCCCGTGGACGGTTTTATGTTAATCTCGGAATCACCGGATGCGTCTTCTTAATTATATTAACCGAAAGCACGCGGTCCTTCTATTTTTACCTTGCTTTGTGGCAGCAGGCACCCTCACTTTTGACTCGAACAAGCTTTTTATCAAACGATGACCACTCCAAAGACCCAAGGAGAGATTCATTAATCTCCAAAAACACATGCCTCTTTTTTGCGGTGCCTTGTTATGAGTCTGAAAGTGTCCAAATCAACTCTCTAATATACTAGTTATGCAAAAAACATGAAGAATTTTCGTGAAAATCCACTTTCTAAAAGCACGAAAAGGGATAAATGATGCGGGAGGCGCCATGATTTTGACATTTTGGACTCCTGTTGGTGAAAGTTCAACGGCCTCTTTGAATCATTTGTCATACAAATTTAGCTGTCGAGGTTTTCACCTTTTTGCGACTTGTTAGACTTGATTTCGTAATATCCTTCCTTTGAGACTTTGTCTGACCGTTTGAACTTGAAATGAAGCCGCGATTACGTTTGAAGAGCACGCGAGCTCGTCAAAGGAATTATTATTTAATGAGCAATTGATAGCACATGCAGTTACACGGACTCAATTACGCGCTCGCCGTTGCTCTCCAATCAACTTCACGCGCATTTTGAAAAATTCGTTGTAAATTAATCTAAAATTGCACTTGTCACAAAACCTCTCTGAATATTATTCCAACAAATTTTTTACGGTAAATTTATTTTTGTTTCAGCCGTTTACAATTGGGAAGGTGACACAAGATATGGCCTTTCCCTGGAAATTGGCGACACTGTCCAAATTTTGGAAGAGTGTGAAGGTTTGTTGCCTTTTTAAAGAATAAAAATATTTTATAAGTAATTTTACTATCAATTTTTTTCAGGATGGTTCAGGGGATTTTGCTCAAAGAACAGAAGCTTGAAGGTATTTTTTTTATACAGTTATTGCTTCAAAGACAATAACCATCTCCTAATTTTATTTCCTAGGGTATTTTCCCGACGTCATATGTCTGCGTCAAGTCCTGCCGAGTGGAAAATGAAGGGTAAACCCGAGAGAGTGAAACACGACGGGCCTCTAATGAATTTTGATGTTTGCAGAGCCAACGAGGTGGTGACACCCCTCGAAGACGCTGTGGTCAACGAGGTTACACTTGTCTTGAGAGAATGGGGTCACATTTGGAAGAAACTCTATTTGGTAAGTGGCTCTGTTCAAACAGAGTGAATTTTGTGACTAGTATCTTGCAAGAGAGAGCAAACAGCGTTGACAGAGGCTATCTCGATAGATGGCTGCCGAGGAGGCGCTCCACGCGCCACTCGCTTGGATTAGTTCCTCTTTGATTCGGCAGATGTCTTATTATGCTGTTCTATAGAAAATAATACAGTATTTTCTACAAAATAATTAAATGTTTGAATAAAATTAAATACGCTTGATTTTCTCTGCCAGGTATAATACTGTAATAAAAAGGCAAAATTTTTTGCCAATTTAAAGATGAGAACTAGTAATTATCGTTTAAAGATGATGAAAATTTATGCAATTAAATATTTTAAAAGTACTCTTTTATACCTCTGTGCAACTTAATTCACTCACTTTTTAAATGAATTTATATTAAAATTGTTTTAGTATGCAGGATTATTATTTTCATATTTTATGTTTTGAACATTTTGAACTTTTTTATTCTTTACCTTTTCCATTTTTATAGGAGAGGGAGTCTTACAAATTTTCCACCCTTCGCAAGGTGATGTGGGAGCTTTTGGACTGGCGCCGACAAATGATCACCGGCACCTTAACTCAAGACCAAGTCAGAGCCCTGCAGCTGAAAATCACATCCAAAGTGGATTGGGGCAACAGGTAGGAAATCCTTAAGTTTTACTTTTAATTTATTCTTTTAATTTTAAATATACTAAATGTTGATTATGCAGTGAGTTGCCAGGAGCAAAAAAAAAAAAGGAAGTGCTCAATTTTAGCAATTAACTAAATTAGCCGTTAAAAATACTGTCTGGCTGCACGTTTTCCCCTTTCGCGTCAGAAATTATTTATTTACCCCGAGGACTAATAATTATTGCAAAACAAAATTATTCACTGTGCGTCAAACATACACTTATATGAAATGGGGCTACCACTCGTTGCCTGCCGAGAAGATCGTTCACCTTCTCAGCAGCAGCTTTTCTTTTTTGAGCATTTGTGCGCACAGGTCGATGCTGGCCAAGCAAACTTGTATGGGTAATTTGTATGCAGGCCTTGTCCTGTGCGTCTCTCGTTGGGCTAAAGCTGTTTTAGAATGTTTCCTCTACGCGACTTCCAATAAACTGCTTGTCTAACAGAGCAGAAGGGTTTTATCAAGTTAAACGTTCCAAAAGGGAGCAAAATTAGATATATTTATAGACTGCATAAATTTTATAAAAAAAATTTGGCAAGAATATAAAAAGGTTTAAAATATTATTAAGATAAATCAGCTCTTGGAACGTTTTAATTAAATTTAGACGTCCTAATTAAAATTGTAGCCTGTTAATGAAATTATTTAACGATCGCGTGCTAACTAGAGGTGGTCTGGGTCGGTGCTCAACTTCAGAAGTCGCCCATGCTCGTGTAGTTTCCAACTCCAATTAACAAACACTTGCTATGCAAATGCAGCATCCAGATTAGCAGAATAATTATTGGGACTAAGTTGTCGGGCAATCAAAGGGCAGTTTGCTTAGTCTTTAGCTGCTGAACAATTTTATTTGCATCTCGCACCGAAATACAATTAAATATGATTTAATCTTTCATAGAAATTTTCAAGCATCAGCACAAAATAAATCGATTGATTTTTACTCTCGATTTAAACATTTTAACCTAAGCACATGATATTCAATTATTACTTCGCGTTCTAATCACTAAATCACAATCGTTTCGTTAGAGTTGTCTGGCGAGAAATGGCGCCGAACAACCGTAAATTTCTTTCCCACCAAACGTACAGATTAATTTCCTTCCATATTTTTATGTACACGACGACATTCATTTTACTTTAGCTCCAAAGGATTGTGAACACAACTCGCAGTTCTTGCCTAATCAATACTAAAATTAATTTAACTTAAAAATCGACACAAAAATAACAAATTTACGAATAATACGAAAGAGAACCGGCTAATCAGAAATGGCATTTACTTGTTGAAACTCTTATATATTCAGATTGGGAAGTAGACACAAGAGAGATTGTTAAATAAACAAAACGAGAGCTCCATTTGGGTTAATTAGATGCTGCGCGTCTGGCTAAATTGATCATGGGCGCTAATTACGTATAAGTTCATGCCGTTTGCTTAGCGCAAAATAAAAGAAGCTCTAATGAAAATTGCACTGCGTCAAGCGGCCTGAAAATAATATTAAAAGATTGCGAGCTGCGCGCGGAAAAATGACTGATATCAGTTTGAAGATTACAATGAAAGCTTCATTTTGGTCAATGGTGCGAAATCAGAATTTTGAGATCAACTGGAAGACTTCTCTTTGCACGCCGACGCCTCTACAAAAGAAGACTGAATTTAAGTTTTTTTTTTTAATAAAATAATCGGTTATACTTCACCGAAAAAAAAATCAATTATACCTAGATTATTCTTTATACTCTAGTGCACTGCACCGTTGGTATTTTAATCGAAGACAATTGGCCTGGCCGGACACATCAGTCAGTTTTCCGAGACGACAGCCGTCTGAATAATTTTTGATATTTAAAATATTATTTCTATATAGCAGCGCCCTTTTAATATGAAATAAATGGCCACGACAGATTTGATCAAAATTAGACATCAGTGCGTTTTTCTACAGTGGGGTACAAATTGGACATTTCCAGTCCAGGGGGAGCGGTGGGTGGGGCCGAGAGCATCGCCGACGGCGGCGGACCGTTGCTGTTGTTCTCCAAATTCTGGCACACCTCTTCCATCACCTCCGAGTACACCGTTTCCGACACGTTTTGGCCCAGCAGGTAGACGATCAGGAAGTCGCCGAGCTGTGTCTTACGCACCAGGGTGGGCACGTTGTTGGCGTTGTTGAGCGGCCTGTACTTGCGCCTGATGACCGCCTCGCGGATGTTGGGCATCAGGATGACGGCGGCGCTCAACACAATGGCAATGGCGGTGAACACGGCCAGAATGATGAACCAGAACCAGAGGAAGATGTAGATCTTCTCGTTCAAGATGTTCAGGGCCAAAATGCACAGGGTGTCGTGGCGCTGAATTGAGCCTAAAAAGAAAGAAAGATAAATTTTGGAAATAATAACGTAGTTTTAAAATTAGTCTTGCTTTCCTATTTATGGTTTAAATTATAATCTATTTTGGTGATCAAATTTTTAGAGAAGTCTGAGGAAAAATTCATTAAAAAAAATTGCATACCCGAAGGGCCGTATTTGTGGAAAGTGCACTTGGTGACCCTGGGGAAGACGGCGATCATGGGGTCGGTCCTGTTTTCTTGGTCCAGTTCCGAGAATCTGAGCACGTCTGTGCCGTAATCAAGGAAAGCACCACCAAGGAAGCGGTTCACGAAAAAGATGTTGCCAATCACGTTGACAAAATTCAAGAACTGCAAATGGAAATAAATTTTATTTGGTCTCGTCTCGGAAGCGGCTGACAGGCGCCTCTTGGGATGCGAACGAGCCCTTTGCCCCTGTCACGTTCAGCATACAGGATGGTGCCAATTGCAAAACAATGACAGCCGCCAGTGAGTTGAGGATAATCGTGCAGCTGACACGTTATTTATGCACCACGCTGCGTAGTAATTGAAATGATTCCTCTTGTACAAAGAGGAAAGGGGGAAGGTCACGATGCAACTTTTAAAAGCAAGGACTTTTTTAATTCAGATTCATTTAAGGCCTACGTTGTAATAAATTTATATTTAAAATAATCTGGCTCTATTAATAGGTCAACGAGCTGATTTGATTGCTTCGGAATTAAGATCGTTCGCCACCGCTTTTCACAAAAGGAGAGCGTGCATCGCTTTGAAATGAACTCTCTCTGAAACAACGCACTTGCACACCTGCTATTAAGGAGCGGAGTTTTATCATTTCGATAAGAAACTTTGTGTGGTTGCAAATCAAAAATAAATTCTAAAGTTAAAAAGAAGCCGCGTGTGTCGACGCGGCAGCAGCGCGTGCGTTAAGTGACGGGTCATTTCAATTCTGGCCGGGTCATTTGCATCACAAGAGACGACTACGAAAGCTCCAACTCACTCACCTCGCACAAAAAGTACCAGCTCGAGTAGTAGTTGTTGGTGTGCAGCGAGTCAGTGATGTAAGAGGCCACTTTTTTCTGCCGGGATATGCGCTCCTCCGAGTTGATGTTGTGGAACAGGGGGCCTCGCATGCCCTCGGTCAACATGCGCATTTTGCCGTCCTCATAGTTCTTCCAGATGTAGTGCGGCCCGTAAAAAAGAATGCCCTGAAAAATCCTTGACTTCAGTCTCGGCGCCAAAATTAACTTCAACAGATCGAGCCGCGTGTGAAAAATTTATAAATTCAGCGACTCTTCAATAATTTCGATGGTGTTTGCGATAAGGACGTGATTGCGTTTTACAATTTCACTTGAAACTTTAAAAATAAAATTTAATTTTACCTGGAAAAAAAGGACAAACGGCACCCACTGATAGTATGAGTGATAGATAGGCTCTTCTCCCGGAATTACGGGGCCCACGCCCGGATAGGCGACGTGTGATCCTGAAAATAAGTCGTTGCAATTAAGATGAGATTAAGATGTATATGGTGTTAAGATGTCTTTTATTATTATTATTATTATCCTCATTCGCTTTGTTAACTTGAAACCTTGAACTCAAGTTAAGCCTGTCAAATGTCGAATAACTCTTTTATTCTAATTTGAAATTCCAATGCAAATTCTTATTCTTTGGTTAATTATCATTATTGCACAGGATTCAATTTCAAGCTCAGCCAGCAGAAATTATACATTCCGTTGGTTATGCTCGCTTTTGTGTAGTCCGCGTTGTTTTATTTTCTCTCACGTTTTTTTAATGCTCTTCCTGTGCAGCGCATTTTTTCATCATTTCCTTCGCCGCAAGAGCCTATTGTTCTTGGTCGTGTTAGCATGTGGGGTCGCTGTTTTCGGCCGAGGAAACGAAATAAAACATACAGCAGCGAGCCCAATACATTATTTATCAGCTACCGAACTAACAGTTATAAAGTTATAGCCGCACCGATGCTAGAACAAGGTGGCGGGCCATCGACTCTGTTAATTCAGAAAATAAAACACCGCCTCAGACGTGATTGGTGTTCTTTAGTCGAATTTATTATTGTTTTTTAGACGATAATTTATGTATTCAAAGAATGGAAGGGGATTTTATAATTTAAAAACTGGCGCAGTAAAAATGTAATGTGAATACGAAATTTAATATTTTTTAAAGATTATTTTGGAAATTTAATTGCAAATGTTTCAAAAATGCTCTGATCACTTCCAAATTACTTAAAAGTATTTGAATTTTATTTCCGTTATCACTTGACTTCAACCGCGGTTGGTGAAGGTCACGTTATGGTGAGGTTAACACCCACTTTCTGCTATGAACATGCTTGAAGCAGTTTTTTTTCTTAATCATTTCACTTCCTTTTCGAGCTCTTTCTTTTCGCGCGAGTTTGATATTACAGCTGAGCACACGCTCTGTGTGAATGGCTCTTTTTTACTGTACATGCAACGTTTTCAAGGACAGAGTTGGATTTTAGTCATTTTGCGAAGGAGGAAAATTAAAAATTAAAAAAATAATAATAAATGAAATGGGAACTTACCTATGGGTTTGTCCCTGTGGCTGGGCATGGTGAAGGTGTAAGTGATCCAGCAGTAGGTGTTGATGACGTGCCTGTCGATGGCGCCGTCGCCAATGCAGTTGATAGGGTCGCCAATCAGGTTGTTGGCGGTGACGATGACACAGCTGAGGAACAGAATGGCCGAAGTCACTCTGTAGTGCATGCGAAAAATGGCGTTGTCGATGACGGCCTTGTCGACCAGGTGGCGAATCTTGACAAATCCGGCCACCGCCGACGCCAACCCAATCACTGCCATCTTTCCTCACCGCTGAAAATCCAATTTTTAATTTAAAAAATATTATTCAAAAGAAAAAAACTAACTGAAACGATATAATTTTCCCGTACTCTTCTAGAGCTCCACTTCATAGTTCAGAAAGTGGGCAACTAACAAGTAAACAAATATCCCCAGTGACGATTTTTCGAGTCGGTGGCCATGTAAACCAAAATATGTTTCCTGCGGATAGAAGTGCGTGATTGTTGCTGCGAACAAACATGGCTGCTCTCTCGGTAAAAAAGAAGCGCTTGGACATCATTTTATTACTTAATTGCCCGCGATCAGATCTGCGAACTGAGCCAGACATTTCGCCACTCCTTTATGGGTGTATCTCGTGCGAATTAGTCTGAAAATCTCAGCTAGCATTAAATTTGCCTCTTTATAAGGAAAAAGAAACACGTGCGTGACCACTAAGTCACAAAATAACAAAAAACCGCGATCACGCTGATTGAAATAGTGATTTAGTCAACTAATTTATTTTTAAAGCGGTCTCTCTCTCTCTGGCGGGCTCGTTAATTAATAATTTTTACACTTGCGGTCAGAAAGAAGCCGTTTGACACACCGGCAAGCTGGATCGCAGCAGGAGCTGTTTATGAGAAAAAAACAGTCCCCTCGTCTGTGGTATTTCGAAGTAGCTTTTCTGCCGAGTAGCATACAAAATGCAGGAGGCGGAAAACGTGCACAATAATAATTGTCTGTGACTGATAAGTGATAAGAAACACGGTTCTTTTGTTGTGTTTTTATATGAGGTGCAGGTAAATTTCTTGGCTTGAATACAAAGTTTAAAATGTAAAAATTAAATACTAATAATATAAAAATTCCAAAACTTTAAAAACAGCTATAGTGAGAAAAATGGAATTTCAAACAAATCCGCCCGTAGCTTTGCTGAATCATTAAGATTGAGTCATTTGATGATGTTTAATTTTCCTCATGTCCTTTAGCCGCTTTTAATTTCTTAATTCCGAGTAGTGAGAAATAAATAAAATTTTTCTTGAAAATTTTTCTAAGCGGTTAAAATTTCTTATTGGATTCTGCTACCAACATACCCTATGATCATGCATGAAGAGTCGCAATTACGGTGTATCTTTAGAAAGTAGCCGCAGAAGCCACGTTTCGACCTGAAAATTCGTCCCTGGTGATTTCAATTCCCGCAACAATCACCCTGCCCAAATGATATTGAATGCACGTAACTTAATGAAAAGGGATCAAAATTAATGGCTGCGATCGATACCGATCCGCGCCGCCGTCACTCAATTGACGCACCTGCCTGCCCCAACCGAAGCTGGAGGAGAAAAAAATTACCTGTCGCTCGCAGTTAAATCCAAACAGTTTCCGTCCAAGTGCGGTGTTTTTCACGGGGTTGTTTCACTTAGAACTGAGACTCGCGCTTATATCATTCTAAATTCACTGGCATATTATGTCTCGCGAAAGAGCGATCGGAGACTGTATGAGCTGACCAAGCACCAGCCACGCCACACCACCACCACCACCACTTGTTGAACCAAAAGTGAACACAACAGGTTTTGCGCTGAATAAATGTGTACTGCTTGGTATTCTCCTCCTGCTGGAGCTGGATGCTGGCTACGAGCGGATGAATCTCTCACTGAAAACGAACCAAGTGCCTCCAGCGAGAGCTGCCGCTAAAGCCGAGGCGCGTTGTGTGGCTGCCCGACAGAGTGGGGATTTCTTTCGCTCGCCTCCATCACCGAAAGCAGGGACTCGCTGCACGCAAAGGCAACCGACCTTTTTCACCGGTTTCCTTCCACCACACCGGGCAATTCCCTCAAAAAGCAATTTTGGCTCTGTAAATTGCCCGAAAAATCAAAATCACTGAGAACTCCACTCAGAAACCTGGGAATTTGGAAGTTATGCAACACGCTTGTTCCCAAATGCAGGCCGGCTGCATACATCTCAATAGAAAGTGTCCTTGTCCCTTTGATCCCATCAGCTTGCACTTAAAAACTGTATATAATAGATTAATTTAAAGAAAAATAGATTTAGAAACCACGCCTAATGTTTTTAAATTTTAATTGAAGCATTTTAAAATCTTGATTTAACTATGACGAAATACTTGCAAAATGTATCAACTATTTTGATCAAAACATGATTTGCTTACAGAATTTTTTAGCTCTATTGGTTATTTTAGGATCGAACTCACTAAATTATCCAATTTTGATTACCTAAATTCCGATGAAAAATTGAAGTTCTCTTTTGCAATGCCCAGAACAAAAAAAAATTTTTTTTGCTCTGGCCTCCATCTCTCACTCAGTTTATTTTGATGGAAACCGCGGCTCAAGTTTCATCTACCTGCGTTGCCCTGAACCGAAATCCAGCAGCAAAAAGCGTGAATGCAGGTTGCACTAAAACGGGCGATTAAAAGCCGCGGAGGAAAATAAAATAGCGCTGTGGAGAGATGATGATGATGATATATTTTTTTCTAGTCTGACAACGCTGGCTCTCGGCCTCTCCATTCTTCCTTTGGATTTTTCTTTCTCCTCCCTAACGCTGATGATTTTTTTCCTCCGCAAGGTGCTTGCATGAAGTGCCGCGCATGCATACGCGCCGCTGCCTTTCTTGCTCATTTCGTTATTTATTTTTACACCTGTTCATACCTGGCAACATTGCTTCCATCATTTATTATTACGTGAGATAGAGAGAAAGACGGAGCAGGTCCGACCGACCGGCCGGTCGATTTATGACTCTTAATGTAGATTTTCTCGATGATGATCTCATTTTTATTGGCCGAGACTGCGGCAGACGAAAATCGCAGCATCTCCACCGGTGGGGAATTTGATTGTGTCCAAATGATGCAGCTGGAACTTTCTTACTCACTTTCGTCATTATGACATGTTAGTATCCTGTTACGTATTCCGGAAGGCAAATCCTTTCACCCGCTCCCTTGTGGTAGACCAAAGTTGAAATTTACGCCGCATGGAAATTCTTTAATTGTCATTCATAAATGTCAAGAATTAACAAAAAATTCAAATCAGCTAAGCACTTAATTATTTCATTGTTTACATTGTTAAATTTAAGTTTTTCCTCTTTACTTTTTATATTTTTCTGTCGGTTTACTAAAACAATAAAAATTGGAAAAAATAAGAATAAATCTACATTTCATCATAAGATCATTTCCATTTACACAAGTCCGTCTTTTTCATTGTTAGGCTGCTAAGGCTCCTGAAATCATAGTTAATATTAAAAAAAAAATGTTGAATATTATCATATTTTTCCTTCAGCTTAAATCTTTCCTCCTAGAGTTGAGTTTGTAGGCGAAACACGCCCAGCTGTATAAAAATTGCAAAGTTCCCCCTGCTTGCAATGGCTGAGCATCAGTTTCACTCTGCTTCATAAAAGCACAATTATTTTTGCCTCGCTCGTTTTTATGCCTGAACGTGGCTGAGCATCAGGTTTTGGCTGTCGGATCGAATTGCGTGGTTCACCAAATACATGCGTGCGAGGACGCAATCTTTCCGAAAAAAAGAGCTGCCGGTGATCATCTTCTGCTCCGTCTATAATAAGCGCGCTCGCGGTTGTTAATATTTTACAACGGGCCCAAAGAGAAGAAAAATTCCAAAAAGCAAAGAAGGTTTCATTTGATGAGCCGTTGGCTGTTTGTTGTGTGCATGCAGAGAGACGGCTGCGGGATTTATTAGAATATTATGTATCTCTCTCACTGCGGTGGATTCACTCCCAGTTTTATGGCACCACGCTAGCTCTCCATTTTTCTGAGACTCTTTTTTTCCTAGCGGCATTTTTTGATATTTTACGCCGCCGTTTTATCCACTCTTTATTGGATTGACTCCTTCTGCGCTGCGCGCGGACAGTTTATATATCTCTTGGACCGACAAAAAATCTTCTGAAGATTCTACGAAATCCGCAGGAGTTCTATAAAAGTTTTCGTCGTTTTTTATAAAATAAAAAGACTCAAATCTTGATATGACAGACATGTTCAGTTTATCACAACAACAAATGACCACCAATCCAGAAAAATGACGATATTTTATCAAAAATCCCGGATGATTTAGTATGGTGAATTTTTGAGAAAATTTTTCAACAAAAAATTTATAATTCGAAATATCGCGTTAAAAAAAATTTGAAATTTTTCCCGTAAGATTAATTCCACGCCTTGGATGCCTTTTTGCACATTTAATCTCAGGCAGGTTTCACAACACCAAACATTTATAAGAGTCCTTCCGCACTTAAGCAAATTTCACAATGTATATTGTCAAGCCTGCAGGAGATTATGAGCTCGACTTTTTGCCTGTTGGCGCCGCTCATCTTGAGAAGATAAAAACGGAAAATGAGATGCACAGGTTACGCACACTCTCTTTTTGTTTTATTTTCCTGCTCTCCGGTTTGTTTGAGTTTGAGGTGGTGCCCGAAAGGATAAAAATCCCGGCCGCCGCGATGAAATAGAAAAAAAGTCGAGAGCGGTGAGAGAGGAAAAAAATTTAACGAAGGTTCTCTTCGCGATTTGCATGCGCTTGTGAAATTTATCAGATTTACTCGAGGTCCCCCTGCTGTTGCCGCCGCCGCTGAATTCAAATATGTATTTCTTTTTATTGTTCGGCTGCCGCGCGTCCGCAAAGAAGCGGATTTTGATTTTTTATCTCTTTTGCCTGAATATATACATGCGAATTTTTTCCTCTCTCCGGCGCCGAGCAACACCCAGTTGCGAATGTGTAAAGGTGGCGAAATGACTATTCGCGAACCAGTGTGGGCACCACGTGTCAATTGGTGTGGTGGGTGCCCACATGTCTGGCGGCCGTCTGAACCGCTGCTTCACATCTACCTGCACCTTTATTTCGCTCAGTTGAAATACAATATAGCAATTTTTACTTGAATTAAAAAACAAACGGCGCAGGTTTTCAGTTCATTGGCGCGAACGTGGAAGAGTTGACAGTTGTTGCATCACAGGAAAGTGGACGAAAACAGATTAGGTTTCACGCCGGGACACACACAGTGCAGGAAACATGACACCTGCAGCATCATCAAAAATTGCCACGGAATTTCTTAACACATATTTTTTAAATTGAATAATGTTTTTAGATTAAGCAACTACAGGTTAACAAATTTCTACAAATTGTTCAACTTTCTTAATATTTTTAAATACAAAATTTAATTTTTTAACTTAAAAATTCCAAATTTTTATTGAAAAAAATTAATTGTATGATTTACAACGTTACAGAAATTTTAAAATATTTAATAAAATCAATTAACTCATCAAAAAGTAGAAATAAAAATGAAATGGATTGAAAAATAATTTCATATTAAGAAAGGAAAATAATATTTTTATTTCTTCGCCGCTCCTTTCTTTGAAGGTTCAGTTCGGATTATTGAAGTAAATTTTTGGCTGCTCTTTCTGGAATGATAGGCTTCATTATTTTTCCTTTATGCTAAGAGCGATTATCGCGTCGACGGCATCGCACAATGAGAAGAAAAACATCGTGCTGCACACGCTCGTAAAGCATAATATAATACAAACAAGTAGAAGAAGAAGAAGTGAAGCAATTTCATCTCACAAAGGAATTTGAAAACCAATTTTGAGCCGGATCGATTCTCCGTTGAGGGAAAGAAGCGCAAGGTGCTTATTAACAGGCTCATTAATAGGCCGGGAGATGCGGGTGTGCACCCACACTCTCTGGCCGGCTCCCAACCGGGGTGAATGGAAGCCCGCGGGGTCGCCGGGGTCAAGGCGCACCTGGCGGCCAATCGGCGGCCGGTGTGCCGACGTCTGGCCAATCGCCGCCACATTCTTTCTTTACACAAAAGGTGCTGCCGGTCTGGCTGCCTCTTCTTTCTTCTGCTCCGGAGCTGCTGCCGGGCCTTTTTGGCTCTTTGCACCGCCAACATAATATGCCTCGTGCTAATTGCCCGACGCGAAATTCTCACCGACGGTGAAAATTAATTGCCCGTCTCTGCGTGTTGACAATCTGTTTTATGAAGTCACACGTTTCATAAAAGGAAAAATTCGGTATAGCAAATTTGTGTGTGTCAACATTTGCACATTTTAAATTTTTGCTCATTTATAAATTAAATAATTTCCTTACAGTCTTGATAAAATGGTTCTATTTAAAAAACACATTTTTTTTTATTTAATTAAGAATTTGCTTGCATCAATTTTGCAACTCATAAATTACAATAAATTGTGGAAATTCAATAGGTTTATTTTGAACTCTTCTCCAGTCCATTCCGTTAATGGAATAGTTTGCACTTTTATTATTTTTTTGCACTCTGCTTTTTCTCTGGCCAAATCAACAAGAAATCCCTTTTAAATTTATCTAACTGCGAGCGTCATGATATACCAAGCTGAACAAAACGACGCTTAGTTCAAACACGAAAAAGTGTCACACACCTTTTCCCGGCGAACAAGAGCAGTTTGTTTTTAACATTTTTTATCCTTTTTCTCGGTAAGAGGAATCTCAGTGCTTTTAATAAACATCTCTCTCCAGCGATGGTGGGGGAAAGGGTTCTCTCGTCTGTCCGTTTCTATCTATCTCTCTTTTTTTCTGTTTTCCTCTTTTTCAACTCCTCGTCTTTCAACGTAAATTGATTTAGCAGGCAACCCTTAATTAATTCATGTCATTTCCAGCTCTGCCTCTCTAAGAGGCAACAACTTTTTGACCGGTTTCGTCACCTTTCTTCTTAAAATCGTCTCACTATAAAAAAGCTTTTATTCATTACTTTGGAGGTTTGTCACGCACCTGGGCGCGAGATTCATTTTGTCAGAAAGCCATCAATTACTCTCGCAGCCCGCTGAGAGGCTGCAGATGCGATTGTTATTAATCCGAAAATAACTTTGCCCCAACAACGATCAGCCCCAGGGCGAAAACATGACTCTCTCGATCTTCATCACTTGCCCATCCTTTTATATTGCGCTTATTTTTTTCCAAAACCCAAAACACGCCGCCAGAATGAGAAAGATATAGAGAGCCTTATAGAATAAAAAAAAATAAGAGATTTGGTGCGCGCGGCGTGGGAACAAGCCATTAAACACAGCCTCATCCCCACATAATAATCATCATCCTCGCGCACACACTCATAATATATGAAATAGCATCAGCAGGCAAGCGGGTCCTCGATCTATCTCGGCGGCGCGGCGAGTGCGAAAGTCAGGGAGTCAAGAATGCCGGTGCGGGGAGGGGGACGCGCGGTCGTGCCTGACCCTGAGAGAGCGCTCAGGTGCGGCCCTGGGGAGTCATTCGAGTTGGGGGCCGGCCAGACTCGGGCCCCACGACTCGCCGCCCTCCGCCGTGGCTTCCATGATACGCACATTCCCAGCATCCTCCTCAGGTGCATCGGTTTTTAATCGGTATGGCCCTTTTTCTCCGAGGCGTGTGCGTGCGATCGAGCGAGTTGGAGAATTTCCCAGCGCTAACGGAGATTTTCGGGACATATTTCACCTCAACTAATGGAAGAGGTCACGAATTGGAGCTTTAGATTTACGACCCAAGTTTGAATCGCTATGGAAACCTTATATGGCTGAGGAGGATTGAGAATAAAAACTTGATTTAGCTGAAAAATCTTTATGGGAAAACGTCTTTGGAATTTGAAGAGCTAGAGAGATAAAAACTGAAATGAACTGAAATAATGCAATATCAATATATTATCTATCTATCGACAGTTTGAATTTGCTTTTGAAGAAATTATGTCGTTCTGTATAATTAAATTTATTTAAATATTAAAAATAAAATTTATCAAATAAACTGCTAATGTTCAAATTTTACATGTTTAATCTGCTTTGAATAATTGGAGACTATAAACCTCCTAAATCTAATTGAAAATTAACGGAGAAACATTTACGATTTTGCTTTTTTAAATTGTAAAAGTATGTATACAATTTACCAAGACCAGTAGACCTCCGAAACCTCACATCAGTTATCGCTTCAATGAGTACCAAAGTATGGAGGAGGAAAAGGAGTCTCGTTTGAGATTTCAAGCTTCGAGACGCGTTTTCCAGTTTAGCAACGCAGGTTGCTACATAAATTTTCTGCAGGGACGCATGAGTCACTCGCAGGAATGCCTGAGCCATAAGATGAAACCTGTGGAGGGCGGGATTGTTGGTTGCGTGGAAATGACCAACCGATCATTTCAATTCAAAGAGCCAATTTTTAAGTGCAGTTTGATCTGTTATAAAATAAACTGGCCACTCTTTCTTAGAGACAAAAAATTGAAAACATCGTAAAATAATGTAACCATACCTTTAGAGAGCAATGACCTTATATCGACATAGGAAGTTATATTTTATTTTTAAGCGACAGGTCGAGGTTGGGAGTTTTCAATATTTAACTCACGTATGTCGACCGAAGCGTCTCAGCAATTAAGTTAGCCCCTCCGTCTCAAAGGTTTTTTTATATACATCTCTTTTTGCAAAGATTAGAACGAATTAGTTTGAATATATTCTGCGTCGAAAGTGACAACACGCACGTTCTGTTGAAACGTTTTATTTTTTCCAAAAGATCGCATGTCTCGAAATTAAGCGGCTGGAATTTGGTGGCGGTGCCTGCGGTTATTCTCTTCGGCGCTTCGGTTTCAACCAAAACGCAGTTGGTTTTATTGTTTGGATAGATTATTGCGTGAAACGCAACGACGCAGTGAAAACGAAATCCCCGCGGCTTTGATTCAATAATCGTGACCGACGCGCACATTTTCCAGCACATGCGAGGAGCGTTAAAAAAGAGAATAAAAATAAGACTCTCTGCGGCAGACCGGATTCTCCGCTCTGCGTCTCGAGCAGTGCAATGGAAAAAGAAAAGAAGAATCGGTCTGGCTGCTGCCGAGGATAAAATATTCCACCTCGTCATCCTCTCGGCAGCGCTCTCGTCAGCCCAGAGATGAGGCTCAGCTCGTGGCCCGCGGGCACGGTCCACCGCGCTACGCATACCTTCCCATTTGGACGGACCCTGGGCGAGCAGCAACGGCAGTAGCCCTGGCAAGCGACATTAGAATAATGGCCCCCATGCTTCATCTCCTAACTAGCCACGGCCCTTAAACAGCAGCGAATGCCGACTTAATTACACCCTTCGGAAAACTTCGTTTAACCATACGAAAATTAGTCTGGTGCCGAAAGAAACAAGCGTGGTGCTGCGATTAAAGAATGCCTTTCATTCAAACAATTTTTTATTAACTAAACTGAAGTAGAATAAATGTACGAAATGAAAATTAAATTAATAGAAAATAATAATAAAAAAATATTAAAAAAATCCAAAAATGGTTAAAAAATATTTAAATATGGAAGTAATAAGGACAGCTTATTTTTTAAATTGTATTACATACAGATTTCAATACAGTAGTATGGTAATTTGAATTGACGGTTTACCGAATTGACATATAAATAACTGGGCTGAAAAAGTGAAAACGTCATTAAGATTATTTCTAGTATTTTATTGTTTCAAGCCCGAATGACCAAGGAATTTTATTTTGATCTAACTCCACATTCATCTTTGCGTTTCAACACTTTATTTAAGCTGCAAGCATGAGGGATTAGACGATTGATTATTGTCAGAATCAAAACTGCTGGAGCGTAGTGTTGAAAACATTTGTGGCATTAAACATACAAACATTAGCAACCATTTTTACTGTACAAATTTTATTCTACTTTATAGCTTATTAATTGAATTTATTTTTCTCTATCATATAAAATTGTGAAATATTATTCACAAGAGAATATGATAAAAAAGCAAAGTATTCAATTGTTTTGGTATAAGCAAAATTAAAACATCATTTTAAGTATTTTGTTTTATTGAAATATACGGGAAATTAGTTTTTTTTTGTAGAGAAAGCATTGATCAAGTTTATAAGTTGCAATCATTTGCCGAGATTAATTTTATTACAAATTAAATATGTTTTTTTTTATCTGTGTTGCAGAAAACTTGGACTGGATTTAGTACCAAGAGTGGGCGCCCTAATGGTGGACCCGACAACAATGAGCATTGTCGAGCTTCATCAAGTGGTGAGTTCTAAAATAAATTTATTTGCACATTTTCTTTATCACAAGAACACTTTCATAATTGATCAAATAATGCTATTTCCACTTCAGCACGTGCAGAGTTCCGAGAGTTCCCAAGGTGCATCGGTGAGTTGAATCAATTTGGTGAGCGACCTTAAAGGTTGGTCTGATTGCGTTTTTGTGTGTAGGCGCGCGGCACCGTCCGTCGTCCGCGCGAGGGGCCCGGGGCGCTGAAGCGGGTGCTGACCCACCACTTGTACTTTTGCATGCGCGACTTTCGGCTCAACGTGGGCGAGGACATTGAGATCTTCTTCTCACTGTACGACACCAAGCGAGCCGCCTACATCAGGTACTTATCAAGGGTGTGGCCGCCGATCAGGGCAGTAATGCGTTGTGTGTGTTCCCATAGTGAGAGATTCCTCGTCAAAATCTCCAAGGAGGGCTTCTCCAGCTATGTCGAGAGGCTGCACAGCAACTGCACCATTTTCACGGTAAGATTTCATTACTGAATATTATTAGTTTTTTAATAATCAATTAAACCCTAATTTAATGAGCTTGTCAACTTAAATATTTTACACTTGATTGAAATTTTTAAATATTTTAATTATTTGCAGAAACTCGGATTTGGTAATTTTTATTTTACAAAAAAAAATATTATTATTAATAGTATTATTATTATTATTATTTTATCTTGCAAATGTTTTTTTTTAATTATTTCTTTGTAACTCTTTCACCTTTTTAACTATTTTGCCCCATGTGGTCTTTTAAAGGCAAAGAATAATTTTGTTGACAGGACCTGGGCACATCTGACCTGAACCGCGACATAGTTGTGGTGGCCCATGTGATGCGGGTGGGCCGGATGCTGCTCTCTGACTCGGCCAAGCATAAATTGCCCCAACTGTACCGGCGGCCGTACGGTGTGGCCGTTCTCAACATCAGCGAATTCCTCCACAAGGAGAGGGAGCAGACGACTCCTCAAGATCTTGACCAGGAATTCTCGTTCAAGGCATGACGCTGTGCTTTTTGTAATTGCTTTTGTGATTGACTTTGAATTATTACCGCAGGTCTACCAGTGCGAGGAGAAAGATTTTCACACATTGCACGAGTTCATTATCAAAAAGCAAAGCAATAAGTTCAGTCCCGTCTCTGGACAAGGCAACTATGGTGAGAGAAAAAAAATATATATTTGATTCTAGAGTAAATGTTGGCATTCGCAGGCATTGATGTTTCCCTAAAACTGCTGCATGGCGAACTTCCTCAAGTGAAAGAGGACAATGCTCTTCTTCTAAAAAATATGGCTGTCACAAGAAAACTGGGATTCGCAGATGTCATTATGCCAGGAGATGTTAGGTAGAGGTTTTAAAATAGTTTAATTTTTTTGAAATAAATTAAAAATCCCATCTTTTTAGAAATGACCTGTACCTGATTCTTGAGAGAGGTGAGTTTGAGAGGGGCGGAAAATCTACAGGCAAAAATATTGAAGTGACTGTCCTGGTTCTGGACAACACTGGAAAATTGCTAGATGTAAGTATTTTCCTTGAATATTGTAACTGTGGTTCTAAAAGTTTATTTGTGGAGCGTAGGACACTCTGTTTGGTGCATCGGGAATGGATGGCTCCAGTTACTATCAGTCGGTGGTGATCTATCACCACAATTCCCCCTGGTGGGCTGAAACAATCAGACTGGCAGTGCCAATCGATAGGTTTTACGGCGCACATGTTCGATTGGAATTCCGGCACTGCTCAAGTAAATTAAAAAAATTTCAAATTTATTCCAACAAATTTAAAATTGATTTCAGCTCGAGATAAGACTGACAAGAAGCTCTTTGGCTTCTCATTCTTCCGGCTGATGGTCGACGGAGGCGCTACTATTCATGACGGTCTCCACGAACTCTACATTTACAAGTGTGAAGATAAGGGCAGGCTGGATCCTGCTGTTTATCTGAACTTGCCCATTGGCGCTTGGGATCCAATTCCAGGCATCCAGGATGTGCCGTCACCCTTCGGACGGTCCACTAAAGAAGTTGTCTGCGTCCGCACTCTCTTGTGCTCTACAAAACTAACTCAAAATGGTAGAATTTTTATATTTTATTGTGAAAAGGCAATATAATATTTTAAAATCAATTTAACTTGTAGATGATCTTCTTGCTCTTCTGCAATGGAAAGCGCATCCTAACAATATAAAAGAGGCGCTCGATGGAGTTTTGAAACTGAATGGAGAGGAGTTGGTCAAGTTTTTGCAGGATGTCTTGGACGCCTTGTTTTCCATGTTCTCCACCGAAGACGGAAGCTCCACAGCACACTCTTATTTGGTTTTCCACGTTCTTGTTAGCATTTTCAGCTTGTTGGAAGACACAAAATTTGAGCACTTCAAGCCAGTCATGGACGCCTACATTACAGGCCACTTTGCTGCTGCATTAGTTTACAAGTAATTGTGATTATTAAAACAAAAAATTAAGATAATAATTTTCCACACGCATTTCAGGGGCTTGTTGAGTCATGTGCAGCAAAGTGCAGACTTAGCCCAGACTACAGATTCACAGGAACCCATCCAGAAAATATTCCGTTCCCTAGAATACATTTTTAAATTCATCATTCAGTCCAGGCTGCTTTTTGCCAGAGCAACCGGGTGCCAATATGAGGAAAACTTTAAAAAGGACCTTCTTAGTGTGTTTGCAGCTATTAACAAAATGCTAAGCCAACCTGGAGAAGTTATTCTTCCAACACAAGTACAAAATTTCTGATACTCAAAAAATACAATTTTATAAATTGTTTGTAACATAGATTTCTCTGCTGACCAACATCAGTCCAGTATATGAGCAGCTCCAGCAGGTTTTGCCTACAATTGAATGCACCCAGTTGGCAACGGCAATGTTGGCTAGTCTTCCTCGCGATCTACCTCCTCAGTTGGCCCAGGCCAAGCTTACAGCAATCAGGCATCTAGTGACAAGCAAACTCTTCCATGACAGCGGTTTGATAAAAATTTGTTTTGAAGTTTCTTATTTATTCACAAAATCAACATTTTAGAATCCCGAAGCCTACTTTTATCTGCTACCTGCACTCATTTGAGGCCCCACTTGGCCCAAAGGAATGAGCTAAAACTGAGCTCTGATATTTTGGCAGATATCACTTCATATCTGTTTAAGCAGCGAGAATCTCAGATTGCAGCAGGGAAGGTAAATCTCAACTCTTTTGACGCATTTTTATTCTAAAAAAATTATTTTCCTTAGACTAATGTTTTGCACCATGACATGGAAATAATCTGCATTTCAATCTTGGACATGCTCCTTCAGACAGTGCTTATTATTTTGGATCGAACAGCCACAGTTGTAGTAAGAGACCACTTTTAGCAACTTAACCCAATTTACTTACGATTATTAAATTTTAGGGCTATTTGGTTGCATGTCTGGTTGGAATTTTACAATTGATGGAGACGTCGCACTATCGACTCATTTGGGCTGAGCTTTCCTCCAGAGAGTCGACAAAGCCACTCAAAGATTTCCTTCTGCGTTTGTTCCTTGTTTTCCGGGACTTGGTGAAACAGGACGTGTTTCCCCAAGACTGGTTTGTGATGAAGGCAGAAACCAATCTAGTCATGCTCGAGGCCCTTAAGGAGTTTTCGTTTCCACTGACAAACAGATTTTTGGCAGATAGACACGCATTTGATCACCAGGTACATATTCAGTTTTACAGAACAAAGCTCGAATTTTAATGCCATTTATTTAGCTCTGGACCAATTATTTCAACCTGGCCGTCAGTTTTCTAACGCAGCCGGCCCTTCAGCTGGAGCAGTTCAGTGAAGTGAAAAGGAACAAGGTGGTGATTCGCTATTCAGACCTGAGGGTCGTAATGGGATTCCAAATCCTGGAAATGTGGTCAACGCTGGGTAATAAGTTCAAATATTGTTGTATTGTTTCAAGAATTTCATAAATTCTTATTTACCAGGCGAGCACAAGATTGCATTTATTCCCAGCATGGTTGGCCCTTTCATGGAGGTCACTTTAGTACCTGAACCTGAGCTGAGGAAAGCCACTTTGAGAATATTTTTTGACATGATGGAGGTCGAACAGCGAGCTAGAGGGAATTTCAAGCAAGTCGAGTCAGAGCTGATAGACAAATTAGATTTATTGATCAGCGAAAATAAAGGCGACGACGAGTACAGACAGCTTTTCAACACAATGTAAGATATTATAATTCCATTGGAGAAAATATCAAAAGTTTAGGCCAAACACTAGAAATTTAGCAATAGGGTGCTTAGCTGAAATATACTAATCGCAATTTACTAACCTCTCATTCTTCTCATGGCCAACTTCATTTCACATGCAACTTTTAGGGAGCACCTTAGTGCAGTGTAAGTAACATCAAGTGTGATTCATAACATCACATTTCTGTTGCTTTTGGCATGGCGTTTTTATTTTTAGTGCACCTCTAAACCACTTTTCCTCTGAACCTTTTTATTATTAATTTGCCAAACATAGTTTTTAAATAATTTTGTTATTTAAACAAAAATTACTCTGTAGCTTATTGGATCGAGTGCAATCTGAGGACCCTGCATGGAGAGACAGCGGAGCTGCTTTCATCAGCTCTGTAACAAGACTCCTTGAAAGACTTCTTGACTACCGCTCTGTTATTCAAGGAGACGAAAATAGGGACAAGCGCATGTCCTGCACTTATAATCTATTGGTAAGACTTGTTATATTTTGAAGTTAAAATTTAATTATAAAAAAAAATTATTTCAGAATTTCTACAAGAACGAGATTGACAGGAAAGAGATGTACATTCGATACATCCATAAGTTGCACGACCTTCACCTGGCAGCCGAGAACTTCTCCGAGGCTGGTTTCACCATGAAGCTGTATGCTGACCAGCTTACCTGGGGCATGAATCCTTTGCCAGCTTCTCCACACTTTCCAGCACAACCAGAATGGCAAAGAAAAGAGATGATCTACAGGAAGATTGTCCATTACTTTGACAAGGGAAAGGTATGCTATTTTTTTTTCTTTTTTATTTGAATTTTCAACTGATTTATTTGCTAGTGCTGGGAACAAGGAATACCCCTGTGCAAGGAGCTGGCTGAACTTTACGAGTACAGACTTTTTGATTACTCAAAATTGAGCCACATTCTTAACACACAAGCCAAATTCTTTGATAACATTTTGATGCAACTGAGACCTGAGCCTGAATATTTCCGTGTCGGATTTTATGGACTGAGTTTCCCACTTTTTGTCAGGGTAATTTAAATTTTGCGAGAAATTTTTGTTTAATAACCAGATTTTTTAGAACAAAGTTTTCGTATACCGTGGACTGGAGTATGAGCGTATTGGGGCTTTTACCCAACGCCTACAGACTGAATTTCCATCAGCGCAGATACTCATGAAAAACACCCTACCTGAAGACAACATAGTCAATTCTGACGGACAATGTACGCAAGCATTTAGTATTGAAAAGTCTTTATTTATGTATTTTTTTTTTTAATTTTCAGACATTCAAATTTGCAATGTGAAACCTCTTTCCGACAACGAGTCTGTATTCTCCAAGGGAATGTTCCCAGTCCCTGAAAAAATAGCCAGTTTCTACCAGGTTAACATGATCAAGAAGTTCCAGTCCGACAGGCCAGTCCACAAAGGTCCTATTCACAAGGACAATGAATTTAAGGTAATTTTAATAGAAATAAAAAAAATTGAGGATAATAAAAACAATTATTTGCAAATTTAAGAGTTTATGGATTGAGAGAACCACTCTGGAGACTTGCAACTCTTTGCCAGGCATCCTGCGATGGTTTGAGGTGACGAAGCGAAAATGTGATGAAATTCCTCCTGTTCGCTTTGCCTGTGAAACCATGGAAAATGTTAATGCTGAGCTGAGGCAGCTAATTTACTATCACACCAACGAACCGGGTCTCAACATCAACCCACTCAGCATGAGACTTCAAGTAAAGTGAAATCATTTATAAAAGTTGTATTACTGAATTTCACTTTCAAAGGGGATAATTGATGCCAACGTTATGGGAGGCATTGCAAAGTACCAAGAGGCGTTTTTCGTACCGGAATTCATCACGTCTCATCCTGAATTTTCCGAATTCGTCTACAAACTTCGCGCCCTGATTTTCGATCAGGTACTGCATTTAATTCTTTTAGCTAAAACTTTTCTTATTTTAATTATTTAGGTTCATGACTTGGAAGCTGGTCTTATTGTCCATGGCCAACTTGCTCCACCTGAAGTTCAGCCACTACACAGACGGCTGATGGAGAGACTGAGTCAGATGAAGGCTGGACTGAGGCACTTGGCACCCCACTTGGACATCATGCAGAGTTCGGACAGCTACCACCGCAAAATGGGCAGCATTGTCCAGTAAGACACTATCAATTTTTATCATAAATTTGCTGAAACTGATAAATTCCAGCATGCCTCTTCCGCCCGTGCCCGTGGACAAGAACAACCCCACTTACGAAGGCGTCAATGGCATCTGCAGTCGAAGCTCAGGGTCGTCAGGCAACTACGGACACCTGGCCATGGAAGCTGATGACATTTACTCAAAGCCTGGGGAAAAGGAGAATGGGGACGGATCAGCCCCTCCTGTTCCAGCCAGAGGGGATATCAGACCAAAGTCCGCCGGTTATAACACCATAGTAGAAATGGCCAGAAATCCAATGGGCTCTCCGAGAAACGAATATACCTCGCTGCCTTCCGTTAGACCGACTCACTCAAGGTAATGACAAAAACAATCAAATTAGAAATTTCATTGATAGAAATATTAACTATTAATTACATTAAAAATATTGTAAAAAAATCAATATATTATTTTAAATTGTAAAAATGTTTGATAATTTTTTAATTATTTGCTGTTAATATTTAATTTCAGTCTCTTTAAGAGTTAAATAACATCATTTTCTTTATTGTCTTAGGGAGGGTAGCATTGATGCAGACCATCCTCCAGTTCTCCGCAAGAGCAAACCACGAGCCCTCAGCCCACACATGAATGGAAATGATCAGTCTCATCGCAACTCTTGGCCAGATGGTGAGGCCGCGCCACCCCTGCCTCCTCGTGGCTGCACCCCTGACAAGCGGCCACCCGAGTACACCCCGCCTGCGCCTCCGAAGAGACTGGGGGCCAACAACAAGAATTCGCTGGACGGCGGTGATAACATTTCCAATGGCAGCGGCGAGAACCAGTCTATCGGGTCTGCCGAATGGGGCCCTGTGATCGACGCCTCCGACCCACCGATCCTGAGCCCGCGGTCGCAGCAACCGCCGGCGCCGCCACCCATCCCTCCGAAGGGGACCCCGCCCTTGGCGTTGAGCACCACGCCAGTCGATCCAGCCACTGCCAACGAGAACTACTCGGTGCCTCCCAGACTGAGGAGCAGCACCATGGAGAGCACCAACAGCACCACTAGTCCTTGAAAGGGAAGGTTGGTTTTAGCCCTTAGGTCTTTTGTCCACTTTAAAACTCCTCCGTTATTCTCTCGGCTCAGGATCAAAATTTTAAAGATGCAGTAATTTCAGTCAGTTTTAGAGTGAAATTTTATTTTCAAACTTTTGTTCCTCAACTTACTGTTTTTTATTATTATAGCAATTCCCTTGACATTCCCTAGTCTCCAGCAGTCTCCAGTATTCACCTTTTTTATTTCCCATTTAAATAATCTCTTCGCATTCCTTAAACAAACTATTATAAAAGAGCTATGTATATTATCTAGAAATATACACTAAATAAACCCCGCGGAAAATCCCTCACCTTTGAACCGTCTTTCCATGGAACCCATTTTTCACCTGTTAAACATGAAAAGTCTGCTTAGCCAATTTCCGAAAAAAGTATACACAAATAATTCTGAGATGACAATATGTAGCACCTTTTTTGGTTGTTTTGCGTATTTTTGCAACAAAAGAAAAATACTCTCGACAAAAAATACTTCATTATTTTCATTAGTTTCCTGAATCTAAAGAAAAATCTGATATATTTTTGCCGCTCTCTTTCTCTGTCCACGATCTCAACGACTCACCTATTTTGCTGATTGGAAAAGTATTTTAACAACTGGATCGGTATTTTTGTATTTTTTATTATTTTTTTTAAATCTTCATCGTGCATTTACATTTATGGAAATACTCGAAATACTGACAACTTTACTAAATATAAACAGAACAGTTTTAGGCTCTACAACTTTAGTGGTTTAAGCGCAAGAAACAGTGAAACTAGTCCAGTGTATTATGATATAATTAAATATAATTACTCTTCTATATAATGTGTATTGCGCTGTATTTTAAAGCAGTAAATTTGCTCTTTTCCTATTTAACATAATGTATTTGTATCGACCGACAGCTATTTTTTCGTAAAGCTATACTACATAACAAAATGTTTAAAACTAGAAATCGCATATCGAATAAATCGTAGGTGATAATACAAAAACCGTAGCGTAGATTAGTAAGTTAATGTCAACATTCGCAGGACACGCAGAATAAACCAATTGAAACAAATCTTAGACTGGAAAAAGAATGACAAACGCGCATTGTAGACAAGAGTAGCAAAATATTCCAGACACCAGCACTTTTGTTTGTTATAATCTTGTGAAAGATCGACCAAAATTATTTCCGTCTTTTTGCTATATAACAACACGTGTCCATAGTGTCCAAAAATTCGTCATGCGGTCTTAGGAGAAAACCGGTGTGCTCTAGTGCCGCAAAATTGTTTGTTACTTTTCCAGCAGAGCACATTCGTCTAGCTCAATTCTGTGTATATTTCATTAAGAAAAAAATATTGCGATTTGTAAATTAATTTCAGTGTATTTTAGTGTTTTAGATAATAAAAATGCGACAATTTGTGTTCAATTTGTAGATTTTTGTTTGAAAATCTCCCTACTCAAATAAGTATTTCTGAATTGCATAGTTCTAAAATTAAAAAAAAATTAATCAAAACGAAAAATCTACTGCTCGGGTGGACTGCTGGAGCCGGGCGGTTGGTCCCAGGCCAGCAGGGTGTTGATGCTGGCGATGTCCCTGGTGCTCCACGAGCTGATTTGCTGCAGCCGGCTCGGGTCTCCGCCGGCTGACCTGACCGCCCTTGCTCTGTGCACCGAGGGACCAACCTTGTTGTGCGCCGTGCGCGGCCGAGACTCTGGCTGTGCCTCTTCATCCGGAGACGAGGCGAACGTGGGGTTCACCACACCTTATTATAAAATTCTCAGTAAAATTAAAACAAAATTTATTCATTCATTTTGTACCTGCCGGTAGTCGCGAACTCCAAAGGGCAAATCCGTCACCGGAGAAAATCGAGTCGTTGCTCTGGATTGAGTCCGAGCGGGTGATTTTTGGAGTTTTGGCTGAAAAGAATCGTTGTCTGGCCGCACTCCTCACCCGCCGAAGTCGGGAGGCCCTTCCAAGCAGCGGACCCTCTGATTTTAAAAAAAGTAATAATTATACATCATATAATTGATAATTTCAACAAAATATAAATTTTTAAATAAAAGTATATACCTTTGAAAGTTTAATTGTTTTTATCTCGAATTTTTCTTATTTAAAGATTTTAAAATGTCAAAAAAATAAATAATAACATAAATTTATTGTAATTTTACAATTTTCATCATTCAATTTTCATTTTTATAGTGTTTTATAGTATAATTAAGACTTTTTTTGGTGCCTCATGTTACTCTCTGTTTTAAATTAAATTTATCACTTTGCAAAAAGTAGAAAAGAGATTAAATTATTTGACAATACTATGCACCTATTCCTTCGCTGTCACTGGTGTCCAAACTGACGTGTGGTGACAGTTTCTTCTGACTGGCCATTTTCGTGGGCGCCATGAACGCGAACGTGGCCGTCGTCATTCCAGAGAAAGGATTTGGTGCGGCCGTCAATGACGCAGCGGCCGCTTCTGAATGTCCCAGAGCGACAGGCAGTGCAGCCGTGGCTGCGGCCTGAGCAGCCTGGGTGGCTAAAGCGGCCGCCTTCTCCGGGCTCAGGTCTGAGTGGATAACCAAATCACGCAAAGGGTCTGGAGACGAAGGGTTGCCGGCGTGAGCAGCATCGTCATGCATCTGCTGCTGGCCAAGAGCCATCAACACTATAGCAAAATAGAAATATTTTAATTTGTAAGGAAATATATATATATATATATATATATATATATATATATATATATATATATATATATATATATATATATATATACATATATATATATATATATATATACATATATATATATATATATATACATATATATATATATATATACATATATATATATATATATATATACATATATATATATATATATATACATATATATATATATATATACATATATATATATATATATATACATATATATATATATATATATATATATATATATATATATATATATATATATATATATATATATATATATATATATATATATATATATATATATATATATATATATATATATATATATATATATATATATATATATATATATATATATATATATATATATATATATATATATATATATAAATATAAAAAAGTAATATTGCTGAAATTTTTGTGTGGCAAGGTATTTATTCGAAAAAAAGAAAAATTAACTCATAATTTAATTTTGTTTGCAGAAAGTGGCCGTATACAGTTATTTAATTTCATTTAAAAAGTTTTTAAATTTTTTATCTGCTCACAAGGTGGTGCCGATCCCTTGTGAGCACCAATGCCCACGGGTGGCCCGGTGGCTGCTGAAGTGTTGGTGGGCAGAGGCAGGTCAGCAGCAAAGGCCATTGTGTCCAGAGCAGATGCCAATGCGTCTGTGGGCAGCAAGTGAATGTCGCCGTCCTCCAGATCGTCCGGAATGTGTCGCACAGGGGTCGCGATGTCCGAGCGGCCCCACATTATTTTGTTCAGTTCCTCGCCTGTCATGTTCCGTTTGTGAAGCTCTTTGATAGTAACTCGGCCAACCCTCTAATGGATAATTTTAAATCAATTTTAAAATTTATTAAAAAAAATTGTTCGCGAATTTGTTCACCTTCCAGTTTGCGAGGGCGCCTTTCCTCTGCTTGGCTTTGGTCTTGCTTTTGCTCTTGATCACCATCACTCCTCTTGTCTCGATGATTGGATCCTCGGTGGATTTACCCAAAGAAATGGAGTACTCCTCCAAGTATTTCTTCAGATCCTCGTGATTGACTGCCCTCTCGAGGCTCACCACGATTTTCGCCCACTGAAAATGTTTCCTTTAGTTTGCAGGGAACACACAGAACTTGCTCAGAGTAAAAAATTGAAATTGACGCTCAACCAAAAGCCCAATTTTAGTTACTCACCTGCTTCATCCATTCCTTTTCACTCCGCTCAATGACAAGGGCATACGTGTTGCCCATCATAGCGATCAACATGTTAAGCAGAAGAATTGGCACCAAAATCATGAAGATGATAAAAATCGTCTTTCCGAGTGCTGGGTACGTGACGTGCGCCAGCTCTGCATACTAAATATGGACAAAAATACAGATGGACACAAATAAGATATATATAAATCTATTCTTTATTTGCTAATTTTTCATTATTTTTAATACCATTTATGATTTAATTTCATATTTTTTTTTTTAATTTTATATTTAATTCTTTTTATATTTTTACCGTGTAATCGCCTAGAGTAATTTGGTAGAGCGCCATCCAGGTTGAAGGGTAGGACGAGTAGAGGGAGGTCTGAACGCCAGGGTGGCCCTTGTAGAGGAAGTAGAAGGCCTGCGAGAACCCGAGCAGCATTACCGTGTAGATGATGCCGAAGGTGAACATATCACCGGCGATCATTGAGTAGATCATAGTGACGAAGGGCCCAGTCAATCGAATGGCGCCGGCAAAAAACATGAGGAGGAACCAGGAGCCGGGAACGGCAAAGATCAGCACAGACTCTTCGCCGGTTTTGTTGCCGAGAATGCGCAAGGGGATGCAGGTTAAAATCAGTAAGTTTGAAATCAGGAAGATCAATTTTGCCGGGTCATGACTCTGAAAAAAAAATCAGTAAAATTGGAGAAACTTCAATAAATGAGAAGAATATTGCATGTAGAATGAAAAAAAAATCCTCATTTGAAATTTATATAACTAAATTAACTTTTAGAACAATAATAAAAATTATTGTTCTATATTTATTTATAAAAAAAAATATATTTGAAGTTGAGAGGAAAAATCCTATTTTGCAGTTATATAAAAATACTTGCCAATTGTTTGAGAAAGGAAAACAGGCCTTGGTTTTTAATTTCATGACCCTGCTGGAAAACGACGTAGGACACGCAGTTCATTATTGTGGCTATTTCAAAGCCGTAGCGCATGATATCCGACACTTCGGTGCCTCCGAGCAGTGGCGTGTACCTTTCCGCCGGGCGCAGGTAAATGGCCATGCTCATGGTAAACAAGTGGAACGCCAAAATCAGCAGTCGCTTTAAAAACTGCCTCTGAAAGAACCAGTCAGATCATCTTTTTTGTAAAAAATAAAGAAATTACTCCTTACTTGGGCAAACGTCTTCCACTTTTCCTCAAGCAAACGCTGAATGATGCCGCCGTCTAGCATGTCCAAGTGCTCCTCCTTAGTGCCGTTTAGGATTATGAACAAAGCGGAATTCCAGTCTGCAAAATAATTATTTAGTTGCAAATATAATTGCAAAGCAGGAAAAAAATACATTTAAGTTATAATAAAATTCATGTTAAAACGTAAAAATAAACTTTTATTCTGATTGACTGATCAAATTAAATTACATTGTTTTCTTTTGCCTTAAGCGAAATTGAGAATTTCAGATTTCAATTAAAAAAATATATTTTTTTACTGGTTTTGCCGCTTGGCAGCAGAGTGTCAAGAGCGTTGAGTGGATAAGCAGAGCAAGTGATGTTCGAGTAGCGCCAGAACTCCCTGCAGCTGAGCTCCAACATCTCTTTGAACACCTCGGCTCTGCCCAACTGACACGCCAGGGTCAGCGGGGTCAGTCCCGAGTTGTTGGCAATCCCATTGCTAGCCGGTCGACGGGGATGGCGCAGCGCGTAGCCAAACATGTCCAGCTTGTCGCAAACCACCTGCGCCAAAAATAGTGACAGATTTATATTATAATATCATATTAAGTCTGCGTCTAAAATTTAATATGACGATTTTATTTAATTAACGAACAATAATTGCTTTTTTATTACAAATTATGAGTTTACAAATGCTTATATGATTTGATTTTTTTTTTCAAAATTACTGAAAATTTATTTTAGAACAAGTTTAGGCTCCAAAGCGTAACCTAAAGAGTTAAATTTAAAATTTTATAAAATTACTCCAATTGTTTAAAATTTTTATCTAATGAAGCTTTTATTGATTACAAGAAGAATTGGGTTAAATAAATCAATTATTTTCCAAACCCGTACCACCATATGAAGAATCATGTTGCCGAAAGTGTCTTTGTCATCAGGATTGGCGTCGCTGTCCAGCAGCAAGTTGTAGGCGCTCTCATTGTTGCAGCACGCGGCCCACGCGAGGGGAAATTCGCCCAAGTAGGCGAGACCCTCGTAATCAGTGTTTTTTGCCGGTTTGGCTCGTTGCTGGTCTTTCGGCAGGAAAAAGCTTCCTGCATGCATCATCGCAGAACTATCTAATTTAAATTCTAAAAGCTCTCATTTCACTCACCAATGGCCCTCTGGGAAACATTGGCGCCTGCCTCCACCAGGTCCTGCACCAACTCGCTGTTGTTGTACGCAATGGCCAGGTGAAGAGCACTAGCCCCTGGAATTTCAATTAATGTTATGTTAATTCACTGACAAATTTGAAATTGAGGAGCTAAAATGACGATTTTACTGCCAGAAATATGTAATACTGCCAGAAATATGTAATACTGCCAAAAAGTTAATACGTGGAAATCCCATGACACTGGAAAATCTAAGGAATCGGAAAAAACTGAAATTAACAATATTTTACTATTTTTTTTTTAAATTTAAAAATACGTTAAAGTGAAATGAAGAAAAAATTATCCGCATTTATGTCTGACACAAAAACTTTTTATATTTATGTGATATAATTATTTGATAAGCCACTTATTTCAAACTCCCTTGATCTATCCAAAGCATAGATCTGACAATGGCGAAAGAGTGAGAAGAACAACCAAATGCTACGAGGAGGTAAAATATTTTTAAACGGTTTTGATCTTCCAAATGTGTAGAAAACAATTCTGTGTTTATTTTGGATATTTAAAGTCAAATAAATGTTAAAAATTTATTTTTTACAATTTATCTTTTGAAATTGAAGCTTTTAATTCATTGGATTAAATTTTTTAATTGGAAAAATTAATTAACTTCAAGAATTTTTGAAGGAAATTCTATTGGCAGCAAAATTTGAAATATTTAATGAATCAACGGTTGTCGCTTGTGTTCTCCATGGATGGGTGCTACACAAATGACACAGAGTGCGCGATGACTAATGCTCATAAATGCTCTAAAAAAGTCACTGCAGGATTGCAAAATTTCGCTTTCTCCCTTCCAGAGTCGCGACTTGCGCGCAAAAGACGAAACGGAATCGGCCGCTCACGATTTCAAAGGATCAAATCGGCATAGGGTTGACTCGGAAATTCAGATTTCCCAACTAAAACGCGAATTGCGCCACTTTTTGCATAACTTGCACCACCTAATTCTCGCCTAACCTCCAGAGGATATCCTCAAATATCGTCACCTCGTCAAAAAGTGAGTTTCAAAGTATAAATATTAGTGAATTTCCAATATCAACTAGCTGGAGGTGGTGGCGCACTTCTGTAATCCCCGCTACTTGGGAGGCTGGAGAAGAGAAGTTGGCATCGCTGCGGTGCGCCTTGCACAGTCAGGGCTGGATCTGCAGTGGTCCTTACTGTAAGCCACTAAAAAATCAGCAAGCAGAAAGGTAACCCTCAGAAACGCATCACGATTGTGTGGGCCCTCCGGGGCGTGGGGGTCGTTCTGGGTGGCCTGCAAGGGTCACACGGCTCAATTCCCACAATGTCCTGGGGCGGGTTAGCAACACAGTGCGGTTGTGTCTGGTGTGCCGCTTGGATAAAATCTCCGCGTGTCAGACAACTCTGATCCTTTTGCTGCATCAACAACAAATTAAATTAGTAAAATTCGTATCACCCCGCTTGGTGAAACCATTAAAAACGACGCCATTACCAATATTTTTTGCACATGCTTCTGAATTTTCTTTGGAAATTTATTTATAAAAAAAAAAAAACACATTTCAATTTTATATTTTTCCTTTCAATAACTGTGACGAATGTTGGATAATGAATTGCATAACAAATTATGGCTAGATTTTTCATGCTAGATTATTTTTGTGGTATGTTGCTAACGGTAAATTGTACATTGAGAAATGCTTGCATTTACCATGAAAAATTTAATCTAATACATAATTTGTTTAGTTTAAAGTTACAACGTTAACCTAAAATTTCAAGCGGACTTTTTTCTATAAATTCAGAATGGTTTCCTCAAATTTGACTTTTAATTATTTAAAATTATTTTCGTTTCTTATTAAAACCAGAAATAATAATTCTGCTGTTTTTTTTTTTTTGCTGCGGGCTGCTGCCATATTTCATGAAAGTTAATCATTTAATCATTTTGACGAAAATTATGTAAAAAAGATAAAAAATTCAACTTTTAACAGAAACTGTTAAAAAAAATTGTAAGTCAATTTTGGTCCTAATAGAGATAAAACGTGGAGTTCACGTGTGAGGTCGATAGACGATAGAGTAATTTTTTTGTTACTCTTCCCGATTTTCAATAATGTTGAAATATCAAATTTCTCTTGGATATTTGGCGTTGTATTTAATATGTCTTTTTACCTATACATTACAAGCTATAAATATATACTTTATCATATTGTTTTGAATTATAAAAAAGAAAGCTCAGGTCAATGTTCAGTCCTTTAAATTATGTTCTTAAACCACCATCAATTATAATTATTATTATCAATAAAAGTAGGAAAGCCGCAATTTGTTATGAATTGCTAAAAGGTCCACAAATTAAATTGACTTTTGGCGCATTTCTTTTATTTTTTTTTGCCATAAAAAAGAATATACCTTATTTCTTATTCCAGGCCAATTGCTGAAAATTCATTGTCACTTCCGTTTTTTTCTACTGCAGTATTTTTGACATTGATTTTTGATACTCGCATAATAACTCTTTATCATTAGAGCGGAATTGGCTTATATTATGCTAATCGTAAAGAAGGCTGGATTGCACAATTTCATTTGATATCCCTTCCAAATTCGCGACTTGCGCTTTAAAGCACAACTTGAATTGGCTGCTCTCAGTTTTAAAGGATCGAATCTTCACAAAGTCAAAGATAAGGATTTAAAATTTGAACTTTTTTTTACTAAAAATAGACAAAAATGACACTTTTTTCGACATTTTCATCATAAAACTCTTATTTATTTTCAAGAGGAAATCCTCAAAATCAGTAACCACTGGACGAAGTGAGTTTCTTTAAATAAATAGGTGAAATTTTCGGCTTCGGTATCAGTCGGAGGTGGTGGCGCACTTCTGTAATCCCAGCTACTTGGGAGACTGGTGACAAGGAGTTGGCAGCGTTGCGGTTCGCCATTCTCGGTCGAAGCTGGGTCTGCAGTGGCCCTTTCTATCTGAAGCCACTTTGTTGAAAGCAGCCCTGAAGTTAACAACTGAAATACTGAATAACTGAGCCGAAATAATGAAGAACTGAGTAACTTGAAAAAGGAAGAACCTGAACGAGAGTAATGCAGCAAGCTGATCTACTTTGGCCTTTCGGGACGGGGATGTCGTTCTGGGTGACCCGCGAGGGACACAGGGTTCAATGTCCTCATTGTACTGGCGCAGGTTAGCAACACAGTGCGACTGTGTCTGGTGTGGCCGGTTGGCTAAAATCTCCGCGCTGTTCAGCAACTCTGAACCTTTTTTGCTTTTGCTACATTCAGCATTTTTGAATTTTTTTATTAGAGGTGCGGCTATTTTTTTTTTTGCAGCTTAAATTAACTTGTTAAATGTTTTAAATAAATTTTTTGCTCGAATATAAAATGCAAGATATTTTTCTTTCTCTGTATTTTGATTATTTTGGCATTCATTTAATTGCACGACTAAAAACTCTAATTTTATAATCTTAATCTCCTCACAGTAGATGGAATTATCAGAGGCCAGTGTATTGCGAATTTTAGAAATTATAACAACAGACGAAGATAAAAAGGAACATAATTTACTCAAGTATTGTTTTGTTGTATATACTGACAATAAATAAATACCGACAATAAATAGATTTAAACCTATCAAGAAACCCTCAATTGAGAGCATTTTGCAGCGCATGCAAACTACACTTTGGACCGTCGTGACTCGCGACCAGGGGTGTTGTTCTGGGTGGCCGCAATCAAATGAAATTTGAATATATATGAATTTCAAAATTATTTACCAAGATATTCTTCACCCTCAACAACGTCCAGAGACAGTTTGGGAAATAACTTGAGTAGCGTCCGAGCCAGTCTGGTGTGCAGCCTCGTGTCGCAGATGATGAGCACGTGCAGCAGGGCCTCCCCCAGGGAGCCGCGGTACTGCATTTGCCAGCACGCCTCGTGGTCCTGCCACTTTCCCAGGGGGTCATGCGGACTGAGCGACGCCTCGATCGGCAACACCACCTGCCGAGGGCGGCACACGCCGTTACAATTCATGCAGGTGCCGATTCACATTTCGGTAATCTCACATTTCACTCCAATTCTTAAGACTGAGAAAAAATATTTTGTTCTATACCTGCGCCTGATTTCGGTATTTCCATCGCAGGTACTCGGACCTGTTGATGATTTGACCTTTACCCTCGCTGTAGAGGTAGACGGTGTACCGCTCTTTGATTAGTTTTTCCACTTCTGCCTGACCACCATTGTTAAATGCGTCAACCAGTTCTCCTCCTATAAATGAAATTTAAAATTAAAAAAAATTACATTTTATCAATTATTTTTGTAGAGATTAATAATTAATTATTTAATTATCAATTATTAAGTCGGTTAATTAAGAAAATTATGTCCAAATACATATTTCTAAAATAAGCAAAAATTATAATTGAACCTCTACCTTTCTTGTAGTTTGCCAATTTGTACAAGAGGCACGTGTCAATGTCAGGATCCTGCTGAGAAATGACCCTGTCCAGGGCAGAGCCAGGAACGTTCTGGGCTTTTTTGTTGGTGCCGCAGCAAACGGCTCCCATTTTCAGCCGCAGCAGTTGACCGACTGGGGCCAGAACCTAAGCTTAGGGTTGGTACCGGTCAGAGACGTCTCGGGGTAGTCGGGGTATGCAACCTGCGTGACACGATTCGCCGCTCAATAAAATAATGACCGTGGTAAATGCAGAGATAAATCGACGTCTCTCATGGACATAGACAGCGAATGTTACGCAGATTTTTTTATTATTCCGGGAAACATCTAATTTGTAATAATTATAAATGTTATAACCTGAAGTTCAAAAATATTATTTTCGAGAACAAACCATATGAAAACACTAAAATTTATTGTGGTCATTTGAAAGATTTGGTTATAAATGAAAAAATTGATTTCATTGTATACTTTTTTCAATTAAATTATAAAAATTTAAAAAGTAGATTATATTTTCTTTTTAAAATTTATTCATAAAATGAACTATCAAAAGCATTAAAATTTATATAATAACTTTTTTCCCCCACCTTGTACGCGGAGAATACTAGAGCAATTAAGCGGGCTATTATTTACGAGAAAGAAACTAGGAAAATATTTTCTGCTAGACCGTTTTGATTGGAGAGAGCAACGTTCTGTGACACCAAAACACATTTCTTCGGAATTTCTTTGGCGCCCTCATGAATGAAATTACCGTACAGGGCGGAGAGCATAAAAGGATGATGGTGGTGCCTCATCGGCTCATTTTGTTGAAAATGTCCGTGCAGAGCAGCAGCACGTTCATCCTGGTCGCCAGTCTTGTCAGCGGTCTTTTGTGCTGCTCGGAGAACAGCGCGGCCCAGAATATTGTGAGCAAAATCTATTTTGTCGGCACGGAAGACAACATTCTGTGAATTTGCAGAGAGTGGACAGGCGCGACGCTGCAGCGGCCAGAAGGACCGACTTTTCCGATGCCTACTACTACAGAGGCGCCCAGAGGCAGCGGATGGAGGAAAGGCCGCACCACCAAGACCCTGGACAGGAGTCCCAGGTACAAACAACGATTTTTTTATTTGGAATTTAAATAAGACTTTTATTTATTTTACTCTGCGTTATTTACTTTAGAGAATTTTTTTTACTATTTGGTGGTTTTATTTTTATTTATTTAATATTTTTTAATCTTCTTTGAAATGAAATAGCTTATTGCATTTAATTTTATATTTAGTATGACATGTACGGCAACACAGATGAGGATGAGAATTACGAGTATGGAAATGAGGAGGATAATTACGAAAACCAACAGAGACCACTTCAGAAAAGGGCTGATTAGTGCGTATAAATTAATAATTCTATCTTTATAATTTTATTTATTTATTTATTTATTTATTTTATTGAAAAGTTCAAGAGAGCCCTCTAAAATGGAAACTTCCGCGTCATATGCACAGCCGGTGAAGAGCGAACGCTCAGGACACTACGGCACCTACAAAAGCGGTTACGGCTCCAGTTACACTATTACCCTGCAGCCAGGAGCCATTGCCATTACCTGCACCGTCAAGGACCCCCTGGAGGTATGCAAAAATACGCACCTCCTACCTGCAGAGCTTGTGTGCTTAAAGCGTGCCCGGATCTCGCACTGCATTAAAACTTTTGACATGTGAAAAATACCCATCCGCATTTTTATTTAAAAATTTTCTCCTCAGCATATTGTGTGGCTGCGCTCTTTATGTCCGGACGACTACGACAGAGGTGATGTGGTGGCCAAGGGCGCGGTGTCCAACTTCCCGGATGTCTTCAGCGTCTCCGTGTCCGGTGCTGATGGCGAGTTCACGTCGACCTTGTCCATCGATAAGCCCAGATCGCAGATGGGCGGTGGAGTATTCAGGTAAATATCAAATAATTCCAATACAGACAACATTATATTAATTATTAATTAATACAAATTAAAACAACTGAAAAATGAAAAAAAATTTTATATGGGATCTTTTGACAGAAAAAAATTTAATCTTGATTTTATTATTTACATTTAAAGATGTGAAGCGTGGCCGCATCACCATGGAGAAAAGAGGCACCGCCGTCAGGTAGAGGGCGAGGGCAGGGCAGGTAGAGGTCACCACGACCCTTGGAATGCCATCATCGTTGGAGGGGCAGAAATGGTGAACGAGTGCTTCTATGGTGGTGGATACGGAGACAAGTATAGGCAGTTCAGGGCGATGGGCAGAAATGTTGACCAGTCAGGTAACAATACATATTATTTTTATTAAAACAAAAGACAAAAAAAAAATATTCATTTAAAATAAAACTACTATTTTATACACAATTTTAAATTAAATTATGATTTGGGTAATTCTCCCTTCTGATTGTATAATGGCTTATTTTATTTTGTTAAAGTTAAGAAAATATTAAAAAATTCGTCTGTCTATTTTTTTTTTATTTTATATAAATTTGATTCAGGCAACATGATTCCTATGGAGACTCCAAAGTCCGTTGGTGCAGAGATTCCCTCTCAGCAGCCCTCTCAAGTGCCAGTCGCTCCCGCGAGCAGCAATTTGTTTCCCGAGTTCGGCCAGCCTGACTACGACGAATTGCTGAAACTGCTGCAGGTGGAAGGTAGTCAAGTGCCCGCCGCCGATTTGGCCGCAACCGATCTCTCTCCAGTGCCTCAGATCGATGACAGAGACCAGCGACACGCTTATCCTGAGCACTACCAGAGGTGGTTGAAATTAAAATACATAATTTAAAGATTTAACTGCGGTGACTTCCAAATATAAAATTTTTAAATACTTTTTGGTCGTGAGAAATGTACAAATTTAGGCAGGGAAAATTTATATTTTTTCTTTTAAGAGAAAATTTGAAATTATTTAAAATTTTTATTGATTTTTTTCTTATCAATTTAACATGTTTTAGTCAATATCCTGCGTATGAAGAGACTCGGAACCATGGCCAACCAGTGATGCACTACCAGTCCAGGAAGGTGAACGTCCAGTCTGGAACTGGGAACGTGAGAGCCGACGTTGAGCTGTCTACCGGTGTGCAGGTGCAGCCATCACGGACAGCCTACAGTCGGACAATCGAGGTCCAGGGAGAACCAGAAATGTAGTTCTCTATCGTCGGCTCAAACTCTTGTTTCTAATTTATTTTTGTAGATAGCATTGTTTGGATAAAAACTAAGCATTTTTTCCATTTTAAAATATTTTTATTGCAAATATCAACATGCGTATCAACAATCTCCCGCTTTTATAATCAATGCTCTTCAGTAGTACAATAGATGCGATCTGTGCACATAATTACAATTAATAATTCACTCGCATTGCTTTGGAAACCAAATAAAGAGAATGGAAAACAACCGTTTTTAGTTCGAAACAAAGTCAGTGTGGTGATAGAGGGAATTAAAAAATTTCTTTAATAACTATAAAGTCACAATTTTCTCATCTTTCAGACATGTACGACACTTTTTTTCCGAATCAAAACACGTAATTTTTACTTTTCGATTCTCCACTTACAATTAAGTGAAGAGAGTTTCAATCTGATTTTCAATTCGCCCGTTAATATACTACACTGTTGCAAATTGACTCTCTGCTCTTGAGTGAGTTTCGTTTAATGAACATTTAATTAGTTTTTTTCTCATACACAACAGTGACTGACAGTGATCTGGTAATTGCGATACAAACGACATTTACTTATCTCAGCGTCCTATTTTTAAAACGAGAGTGCGTCACCCGATTGACAGCAAGAGAGGTGATAATAATTTTGGCAGACATTCAGCTTCGTGACGAGTACGAATATACATATTGATTTAATCGGGATTTCTTTTCTCATTCACAGAGAGACATCTATGTGCTTCAATTTTATTCACTGGGTATAAATAGAGGCATTGAAGGAAGACGACGCGCTTCGCTAAAAATGTTCTTTTTCAAACGGACCCATCATTCTCTTGGCTAAAGCGCTTGTCCCATCAACAACTCTAGTTATTGTAATTTTTATTATTATATAGATTATCGTTTTCATTAAGATCACATTTGGCATACAGTGCTGAACATTTAGTTTTTTATCGTTTTAAATTGTTTTCGTATTTAGTTTTACACGGTTTCCAGTGCCTCATTATAACACCTACGTCGCGCATGACAACGAGATAATTAATATTAAAAAAGCAAAGTGCTTCAATCATTTTCACATCTAATTTTGCTGCTTCGCGAACGACTATTGATCAAATTTCATCTTTACGCATGTAGAAAATTAGGAAACGCGGCACTGCTTGTTTTGCATATTATTTTAATATTAAAATTTACCAAAGCTTTTTTCACTGTTTCCCTAATATAATTATATATGGCTGAAAATACACAACGAGCCTCTCTGTTGAAATTATATCAAATATCTCATAATGTTATGAGGCAGGAATATATTTTTAAATTTGAAAAACTGTCGCGATTAAAAACTCCTCAGCATGTTACAATAATTAAATTCCACTTTTGATGATTTGCGAATACAAAATGCTACTGAGATGATTTTGCTTTTATGTGTATTTGCTCGGATGCTGATTTTTTTTGCTATATCAAGGATGATATTTATTTGATCGTATTACAACTTTGGCCCCATTTAAAGCTTCGTGGCGCGTGTTTCGACGATTGGCCATCACTAATTAATTTGATTTGATCAGGGAGAGTATGTAATTGATGCGGGGCTGCCTTCATTAATTAGCAAGTAGTCGAACGCTCTATCTGAGTGTGTGCAAGCACGTGCATCTCGCGATTTCTTTCCTTCTTATACTTGATTAAATTTTTACTCACTATTAATGTGAAACACGAGCAGCAGCGGCGGAAGGTTCGCGTTCTGTTTAATTTCTTGATGTTATATCCTTTGCCGTGGGGGACGCGGACGTTCTCGTCCACGGCGGTAAAACGCGCAAAATCAAGTGGCAAAACTTGAAATGAAAATTTTGTATTTTTTTCTTCACTATATACGAGAGATATACCATATCATTTCACTACGAAAGCTCCATTGAAGGATTCACCTCGCCGATATTTTGATAGTTCAATAACAAGACCAGTGCAAGAGTCACTTTTGCGTGAATGATAGAGACAGAGATAACAATAAAGAGTTAATCAGGTCATGGGGAATGTAAAAATATATAATATTATACGTCAATCATTTGTTGCACCGAATGAATAATCAATTATTTATGAACAATTAACAAAATTTTGCCTCAAAGAAAATTAACATAATAATCAAATGATTCTAGTTCTAAGATATTTATAAGATAAAAAATTATTCTAACAGTGTAAACAAATAACGGAACCAAAATACAATTATTTCCCTCTGTAATATTTGCCCGTTTTTGCAGAGCACCTTTCTGCTACTCATAATTTTTCATCTTCGCCAAAGTGTTTTTCTTTTCATCAAACATGCACAAAAATAGCTCTAGAAGTGACACATTACGTTTTTGACAACGGCCTAAAAGAATTAATTTCTCGCAGGAGTCAACAAGAAATAGATTAAGAGTGCAGACACTGCGCGCGTTTCTATAGTTCAATATAGAACAAAGTGAATCAATTCAATTCATAAAACGGACTCAGAAATTAGATTCAAGATTCTGCATTTTATCACATTAATTGCATCTAAAAAGAATCTGAAAGGACCTAAAGTAAACCTAGTCCTCATTTATTTAAATTGCTTCCTTACAAATTTATCAAAGGGAGGTCTAATTTCTGAGTCTTAAACTATAAATCTGGAAAAATCGATCATTTAAAATTTTTGTTTTACAACTAATGCACACAAATAAGCAGCATAATACGAATGAGATAGTCTATTTTTCCAGCGAATACAGTTAATAAACCCGACAACGTTTAGCTCCTGTGAATGTGTCTGTCGAGGCATCTGCTTTTAATTATTAAAACCGAATTTAAAGCGTTTCAATTCCTCCATTTCTCAAAATAGAAAATAATTAATAATAAGAGTAGCTTAGTTATTCAAGTGGTCACCCTGGTGTCACCCTGTTGATTGCAAATCCTGCAAATTCCTCAGTTTTAGAAAAGGTTTCCGTCTAATCGGTACAAGACGAGAATGAGTTTTTAATTTTGAATTTTTCCTTTTTCTCGTCTGCGGTGGAAAATGTCCACCTAGGCTATTTTTACAAGATTATAGAAAAGCTGCGAGTTTTGATTGTCGTTGGAGAAAAATTAAGAAGCAGAGCGCGGCGCGAGAAATTACACCCTAATCGTAAGTTTGCGTAGAACAGAAAATCGTTTGGAAAAAGCAAAAACTATTCAGCAGACACAAGTGCAATAAGTGGGTGGCGTACGAAGTAGCATCACATTGAGAGGTGCAGCACTTAGGGGGACATCGAGTCGGGGATCCGCTGTGGCTGCCAGCGCCAAAGAGGGTGCGCAAGGGTGTCACACTTCTTGCAGGAATTTCAGTGGACAAACGCCCTGGCGGTTGTCGCCGCTGCGAATCATCACCATTCCGTCCAACTCCTCGCCGATCTGGATGACAATCTGAGCAAAACAGAAAAATTCATGAAGAAAAACCGGCAAGCAAAACTCTTTCTTTTTTTCTTTTTTGATAAAATCAACGCCGGCACCTCCGACAAAAGCTCACGAGCTGCTTTTTCGGCGCTATGAAAAGAACTCGGTTTAGGTCGCACAAAAGGCGAATGTACCCTAGCGAAAAATAAAATCGCCATGCTCTCGCTTGAACACCGAGACTACTCCTTTCACGCCACGCTCGCTTTTCAATCATCCCGAGTCTTTCGTTGTCCGCTTCGGGAGCTATGCAACCGGCTGAACGTGGGAGCACAGATTTTGCAGACAAGCGAGGCGGTACTCGCTTTTTTTATATGGATCAGTTAAGTGACTCGTTCTAAAATAAACCCTGGGGAGATTTCTCAGAGATAGAATTTTAGAGGAAAATATGTAGATAAAATGATATTGATAGATATTTAATAATATTTGTTTTTCCAATTTCGGTAATGCAAAAAGCTATTTATAATTGCTGAAAAAATTTGAAAAACATTACACAACCTAATTAGAATGGATGTGCTATTCAGTATTAGCTATTTTCGTTTAAATTAGTATATCTTGTTGGATTTTTCTTTAACATATTTATGTCCCGGGGCACATAAAATTTTAGACAAAATCCACCAACTTCAATATTTGACTACACTTTAAAAAAATTAAACAACGGGAAAACGGCTAACATTTTGTAGGAAATTCTGTGGTGGCTGTTAATCCTTTTCCTATATTAAATCACAAAACAAATTCAAATTAGCTTATTTTTTCATTAAATTGCTAAAAAATTATAAAGAGAAATCAGGGTTCTCTCTTTTTTTTTAAATATCAAAACTAAAATTCCTTAGAATTTTAAATCATTCAAAGTAAAAATATTTTAAGCTCACTGGCTGATTCATGGTATGAATGATAACTGAAAATCCTACTTTTAATCACGCTTAATGATAATTAATTTGTACCAACCTGATCTCTGAGGAGCATGAGACCATTGTCGCCGTCGGAGACCTGCAGGTTGTGCGTTACCTGCAGAGGCCGCTCACCGGGCTGCAGACGGATAACGTACTTGGACGGGAAGAAGCCGATCCTGCCCAAGCACTTTCCCCGCCACCAGTCCACGTCAGAAGTGTCGATCACCGTGACTTTGTAACCAGCCCTGGCAACATTTGAGCAAAACCAATCAGCAGCCGACAATGCGCGAGACGCAGACGGAAAATTGAGCTGCGGAACGGGCGGCGTGAAATTGGCCGAAAGAAAAATTAACTCTGCCGTAAGGGAATCAATACTGGGCAAAAAATATCTACACCGTTTTCACGCGCGTATGCGTGCCAACAAAAGCATAATAAACGTTTGATGGGCCGTAAAGCGGGCGAAGAAACTTTAGATTGGAGCGAAAATCTTAATTTCGGCAGCAGAGCAGAAACTACTTTACTCACTTGAGGTCAAGTTCGTCTGGGTGGCGTGACTTGAAGTTGTAAAGCACCACGTACAGGTTGGTCGGCAGCAGTCGATGAGGTTTCTGAAACATTTGGATCCAGTGTCAGAAAATCGTAACAGTACACTTTGCTTATTTCATATGGCCCAAGTAAAAGCTGCCGCCCCGCGGGAGCTGTTATTGAATTTTCCAGACAGAAAAGCAGTGCCGCCGGTTCGACGCAGAGCTGTCTCGCTTCCTCTTTGTTCACCAAAAGTCGCGAGGCAATATTATTGAGCAGAGGTGCTATTATTTATCAAAGACTTGGCCATGAAATTGAGGAAAAGGCGAATAAAATTTGAAAGTGATTGATTTCTTACTGTGGCTTTTCGCTTCATGATCATTTGGAAATTTTAAAACTTTTTCTAATTTTTAAAGAAACGTGCATAACAAAAACAGTTCTAATTGCCTGTTGTACTTAAAAAAATTAATTTAAATAAATAATAGACTCTGATTAAATTCCGTTTTGATAGCAAATTGCTCTGATTACTTTACACATACATATTTGATTAAAGGCATATATTGGTGATAACAAATATCAGTATAAAATTTTATTATTATTAGTCATAAAGCTAAAATTCTGATTGAATGGTAGAAATTAAGTTGTTTACTAAATGAGAATCAATTAAAAATATGTTAAATAAATAGTAAAAATATATTTTATAATTTTAATAATAATTTATTAAATAAATAAAAAAAAATCAATTTGAAATTTAATTAGAGAACTTTCAAATATTTTTTTTAATGACTTACCGGCGATGGACAAGGTGACGTGCTGGCCGAACTAAGCGACTTCTCGTTGTCATCAGGCAGCTCGACGGAGCTCATCCGCATGTTCCGAGCGCTGAGCAGGCGCCGGTTGTGAACAGGGCTTGAGGGAGCTGCAAAACATCCCGCGGACAAGTGGATTAGTTTGTGTCCATCCGACTCGATTGTTGGTCAAACTGCTCTCCGACACTAACTAACTAATCGCTAGTGAGTGACTGCGCGTCTAGATCTACGTCCGCAGTTTAAAGCTGGCGCACGGCTGACAACTGCCAGCAAATATAGTTAAAGCCAATCACAAATTAACGCAATCACCAGGTGTTAGCGTCAAATGTTTAACGAAGGTACATTGATTAATGGTAGCTGTTACAAATCAAACTGTTCCGAATAGTAAAACCCTCACTTCTCTCAAAAGGAAGATATACAATGATTTTTCTAAATTAAAAAATATCCTAGGCGAACACTTTTAAAATTCATTATAATATGTGTAGGACAGATTCAATTGAAGAAGATAAAATAAATAAAGTCAGCATTTTTTCACAAATGAAAATAAAATTTATATAAAATTCTAAATTTAATTTATTTGATTAAGTCCATGCTCAAACAGTATAATAATCTATTTCAAAAGTTAAGCTTTTAATTAGTAGCAGAAGCTTTATCACAGAGGCTGAAGACCTACTTGGTTGAAACGATAAATTTCAAATTGAAGCATGTCAAAATGAAAAAGGGTAAGAAAATAATAAATTGAAGTAAAATAATTTTGGGGTGGACTGACAGGGGGTCGATGAAACAAAGAGCAAAAAGTAATTATTAACGGATCGGAGTGCGGTGGCTCTACTTTATTGCAGGGTAGAAGGCCACACGATATCATGATATTGCCTCTTCATACTTGACCATGATATATTTCGAGACAAACGGTGTCGCCTAGGGAAACTGTGGTGCGTGGTGTTGGAAGTGGAGGTGTGCGCTAGAAACATGGACACAAGATGCTGTATATACATAATTGTGCCGCCTGACCGCAAATTGCATCAACAGTGGTTCTTTCTTTCCCTTAGTGGTAGTTTTAAGGGTAAATTTTTTTTAAATACTTTTTTATGAAATAATTATGTAAATAAATATTGCTTAAAAGTGTCTTTTCTTTTGATCGTCTATAGTAATATTTTTGTGTTTTTGTTTCTTTACCCATGTACACTAAGATTTGATAGATTTTTCCATTTATTTTTTATTCTTTTCAAATTTTGTAAAGGAAAGTTTGATAGTTACACTGGATATGCGACGACGAAGATTGGCTGGACGGTCCGCACTCGACGTGTCGTCGCCTCTGGACATGCTCCGTGGACTCTGGCGAGTCCAGAGAAAGGGACTTCATGCGTAGGTTCAACTTGTGTCTGCGTGGACTGTGTGGAGCTGCAAATTGGAGTGGAGAGAACCAGTGATTAAAACTACAAACACTCACAGAGAGGTTGCTTTTTACAGTGGGCTTTCTTTGTACAAAAACCGCGAGATCAATCAACTCTACTGTGCCAATCTATGAAAAATCTTTTCGCTAATGATTGAAAGCACTTTGCTTGATGAGAATGATGATTTTTTTACAGTCGGGCCGTTTGTGTGGAGAAAAAAAAGAAATGCCAAACTAAAACAGCACTGCAAACTGAAAACAAACAAAAACTCCGGCTGGTTTCAAACTCGAGGGAGAGCATTTTGCTTTTAATAAAGAGCGTTTCTCCCGCGAGTTTTATGTTTTCCAGCACGGGTTGTTCACACACTCCGGCTGCTGAAAACGGGGCCAATTTCTGCTGGATCAATTTAGAGTCGTCCGAGCCGAGAGTGTGCCACAATGTCGTGAATGATAATAGAGTGTGTTATCCAGGGCAGCGGCAGGCTATGGAACAAAGCATGTTCAAAGGGTACAACAAAGAGCATTCACAATTGGATCATAAAATTCTCGTTCGAGAAATGATAAACGAAATCCAAAACCACAAAACATCTCTGGAAATCATAATGAAAAGTACGAAAAACATGTTGAGAGAGTTGCAGCCAGCATCAGCTCCCTATTTGGGAATGACATTCACCTGTCCTAAGTCGTGAGGGTGCTGACCTAAGTGGGGAGGGTCGATCGGGGACGAGGGTGCAATCGTCCTAACTCATGTGTGTCCAACTCTTTGTGTGTTTTCTCTAACAAGTTATCATCTTGTGTGTGTCACGCTCAGAATGAGAGGTATGTGCTGATTTTGACTCATGCCTAGACGCATTGTCTAGTGACTCGTACCCAAGATTACACTATTTTATTAAAAAATCTCCCCTAAAAAAGCGAGGTTTGCATGAGATTAATCTAAAAAAATCAAAACTACAAAACATGCACCAAAAAGGAGACAGATGGAAATTAAGAAGAGTGTCAAAAATGAAGAAAAAGTTCCAAAATATTGGTCAGCAGCAGCAGAAAAAGTAAATTTTCAGTAAAAAAAAAACACGACTTGTCTACTGGGTTGAGTTTGCACAACTATAGCTGCTTGCCAATAATACAACACTACTGTTGGGGTTTTGATTCCAGGAGAAGCACAACTACTTGCAACTTTTTGTGTAATTATCTCTTTTTTTTTTGTAAAAATCTAGCTTGTTTGGATTTTTGGTTATTACCGGTGGTGGGCACTCTACCCCCATTGGCCATCACCATCAAGTCTTGCTGGTGCCTCGCGTTAGGCTGCGGCGGGTATTGCTGTAATTGCTGATAGTAGTGGTGTTGGTGGCTGTTTTGGTGGTAGTGGCTCGAATAGTAAGGGTTTACGGGGGAATAAGAAGACGGAATCGCAGCGGCTACATAAGTAGAGGGAGAAAGACAGAAAATCAGAATAACTGCTTGCTTTGGTCTATCAAAAAGAGAACTTGAAAGGAGACGCGCCAATAAAAATGCGCCAGACACGCTTTTTCTTCCATGTTTTTTTTTTTTGATACGGAAACGTTCAAACGGCTGAATAAATCATTAAGATGATGATAGGAAAAAGTTTTGAACTTATTAAGCTGATAATATTTTCTGTATTTATGATTAAGAATTCTGCTGATTCCTAATACAATAAACTTCAACCCTGGAGGGGGTGGAGGGTAGCGCAAACCGTTAAAAAATTATAGCCGTTTAGACAGACCCAAATTAACATTGTTTCAGAGGCAGAACAATTGCGTCTTGCATTATTGGTGAAGGCGTATCTCCCCACAATATCTCTTCATTCAACTACACAGCCGTGTACGCCTCACCGGAGCGAAAAGTAGAGCAGCACGGAAAAATTCATGCCGCGAACTTTGCGCTCCGGAGAGCACACGCACAGTGAGAGACCCGCTGGAAAAGCCAATCAAAACTTTCCGGGTCAACTTTCTTTCTTTACTTCCTTGTCGAGCGGATTTTTTAGCATATTGATTGGTTTTCCCATCGGACCCTGCCACATACGAAAGTGTGCACATATGGCCCCCAAAGATAAACATTTGAGCAACCGCATTACCAGAAAAATGATAGAGTAAAAATTGGTACAAAAAATCATAAAAATGTAATGGGAGAGGAGAACGAAAGAGACGAGCGCTGCATTCACGTCAAATAACACGTCTCAGATATATGAAAATCTACTATCGCGATTTTTTTTTTGCAAAACCAACAATGCTCTTCCGTGATGGGCTGCGTGTTGAAAAGGAAAACAAAACAAAAATATCAGCGAGCGAGCGCGTTCAAACATCACGGCAGGCACAACGCAAGCACTTTACAAACCAAAATAAATTCAGGCCGTTCCTCGAATTTGTGAATACGCAATGCCGGTCAAACTTTGGCAACACCATGCTGCGGAAACCATGACGGGAGAAGTGGATCAATCAATTTGCAAACAAGTTAAAACCAGCTGTTGCGGCAAATTTGCTGACATCTGCGTGAGAATTTCCCTTATTTGCCCTCCGAATCGATTTTCATTCTAAACGCGCCCTCGGGAAATCGATGTTACGAGGAGTCTAAATTGGGAACGGAATCAATTGGTCAGACGTCAGATTTTGCCAGGCCAACAACTTTCGGTCAAGGGGTGTCACTCGTGGCCAACCCATGCCGACTCATGCGGCTAAGAAATAATTACCTTGGCATTCGAGATAGAGAGAGACAGAAATACTCTAGTGGCAATTGATCTTCCAACAGGGATAGAGTGATCAGGGAAAAATATGCATATTTATATAATTTTATACGCAAAATACAGAATTTGTCAGAGGCGACGTGGAAAGGTGAAGGCTTTTTATTCTTTTGCAAGGATCAAAAATTATATATTTATATAAAACTATGGATGTATGCACCGAGAATAAAAATTATATGTTCTAAAATGATGCTATATTATATAACAAGTTCTTAAAAAAAGAGTAAAGAAACAGAGTGAGATAATACTTTGCTGTGCACGAGCAGGGTAAAAATCGTCCATCATTCAAAAATAAATTAATCGTATATTGTATCAAAAGAATTATTATTCCGAGATTAAATGTAGCATTGGGTGGTTGGAGAGAAGGGTGGTTCGGTGGCGGCAGAGAAGACCTGATGGAGGAGTGCTAGATTGTCTATGGCGTTAGTTACCCTCTTCAACCAGATCACCGTTTTCAGAGATGCTAGGACTAAGTACCAGAGGCTGTCCGAACGGTCTGGTACCAGTGCCTGGCTCAATTGTACGTGGGGTGGTTCTCAGGCCTGTGTGAATAATAGAGCGCCTTTCAATTATTCATGTTGCTCCACTTGTTAATGCGCTAGTCTATTATCGTTTATTTCTTTATTTTTATTTCAACTCAATTCAGCAGTCAGTAGTCGTAAAAATCAAAGCGAGTTAAAAATTATTCTCAAGTTGTACCATGCTATTTACAAAAATTTAAAAAAGGGATGTAATGGTAAAAAAATAAAAACATAAAAATTAAAATCCCCAAATTGGTGTTTCATTTTTTTTTTAGTAATTTGACCGTCGCTCGAGGAACTTTTGCCTTCGCTTGCTTTCCTTCAATTTTCTGCGACGGGAATTTTAATTAATTATGTTTCCCTGTCGAATTGACCTCATGGGACACGCAGCAAGGTTGTATTAAAGTGAGGAGATGGCGTTTCGCAAATTGCTGGGAGCAGGCACATCACCAGCAACCGATCGGATTATTCACAGTTTCGACAGTCAGTCGATCTCGCATGCAAACTCACGCACGATTATGTTATACAATGCGAATTCGGACAAAGATCCACACACGCACATCTTGTGAGACGTTTGAGACGGAAGAGAGTGAGTGACATTCGAATGTAATCCGGGACAGCAAACGGTTAAGAAGCACAACAAGCGACAATTACAAGTACGTTAATTTTTATATGGGTTGTGTGGTTGTGGAGGGGACGGCGGCGCGTTCTTTTGGTCAGAGAGGTGGAGAGTTAAAGTGGAGGACCACAGAGAAAGAAAGAGAAATCGGAGAAAGACAAAAGAAAAACAAGAGATAAAAAAAACTTGAATAGTCCTCTCTGTAAATGAAAGTCAGAAGTTATTCTTAATATTTTTTTTTAATTTTAAAATTCGTTAAGAAGGACTATTCAAGAAAACGTATAGAGGAAGAGAGTGAGATAGAGATAAAAAAAAATAGAAAGCGAGAAGGTTGATGGCCTACTCTCGGGTAGAGAGATGGATCTGGAGTGCGCGTGTCCAGGTGGGGTGCGTTCGTGGCTGGCGCGGCTGTGAAACACCGACAGACTCTTCATGCCAGCGAAGAGACGGCGTCGGGTCCTGGTGCTGGTGGCGGTTTCCATCACGGTGCCAGAAGCCAGAGACATATTGTCGGCCATCACGGACTCGGCTGATGGTGTTAATACTCTCATAAAGGAACAGCTCACTAACTACTTCCTCGGGGGCAAGGGCACTTTAAAGGGCCCTTATCCGCGGGGAATTTATTATCTACACAAGAATTTGCTCATTCGAAAGAAAGAAAAGTATGATATAATTATCCGTTCATTTGCTCCTCCATTTGAAATAAAATAATTTTTTTTATTTCACCCTGATTGGAAATTGCAAACAGAGCAGAAAAAGAAAGGAACAATCGTTGAAGCTAATGAAAGGCCAGAAGTTACTGTCTTGATGCAAGAAAGTGGAGTCGTAAATAGACGGAGAAAAAACATGCCGTGACTACTTAAGGAAGTATAATTGCTATTTGTAAGTAAGAGGAGACTGTAATTATTGTCTGTCTACTACTCAACTCGCTACAATAGCCAAACTGCTCAAATTGCTCCAAAGAAATTAAAAAGGACGAAATTAGATTGGCCAATTAGAAGCAATCTACGAAATAAAAAACAAACCATATGGCTCTGCAGTGCGCGCGAGTGAAAATAAATTGCAATTTTGCGAGCCTCCAAGTCTGCCAGGCCCAAGAAAGGCAATTACGCCCCCTGCTCTAGTGTTGTACAACTTTTGTTTGTTTATTGCTGTGAGAGATTTAATGTGTCCGCTATGAACTGGCTCGGCAATTACTCGTCTGCACATAGCTCTCATTTATTCGAGTATATGATAGGGGAAGGGGAAATCAATTTGGGCAAAACACACAATTTACGATCGCTTTTATGAGGCGGGAATCAAGAAAGAAAACGGCGAATATGATATATGCTGCAAAAAACGGGAACAATGTAATAAGAATTGCTGGTGAGATTAATTATATGTGGTGTATTTTGACTTATTTTTATATCAAAACAGAGTGAAGGAAGAGATTGACTTGACTCAAACGGGAAGTAACAAAGAGTGTATTGAACTTTGTGACTGGTTCGTGTTTCCGTGAGGAGTGTGTTAATTTGTACAAAGATAGACGAAATTACTTTTGGAATCGAAGGACAGAAGAGGGAAACATGCTCGAGCGATGTCGTTAAAATTTGAGATGTAAACGAAGATGAATAAAATTTCCATTTTCCATATAAAGCTGTTAATAAAAATATACAAAATTGGTCAGCTAAGGCCATTTTTGTCTCGGAATTGCTTATGTTGGTATTAATTTAAATTTAGGTGCACAACAATGCAAGTTAAAAAAATAATTTTTATACAGAGGGAAATTATCATTGATCTATATTACTTTTATTTTTGTATATAGATAAGCTTGGAAAAATTGTAATCTTTCTAACATTTATTTCCTACATTTATTCCGTACCAATTTAAATTGTATTCTACTATATTATTGTTGAAAAAGTGACCAATTTGAAATTTTTCAGACAAAAATGATATTATATGACGAAATTAATAAATTATTAAAGGAATAAAAATTATCATTTTTTTTTTTTAATTTCATAGTCTTTCCAAATTCCAGCGACATCACAGCAAAGAGTAGAGAAGGAAAGAGATAGAGACGTGGCAACAAGTGACTAGACAGACCTGAGGAGGAGGCGGTTCCAGGGTTGGGTGCGTTGACGGTGAGAACGGACGCATGCCTACTGCCCATGTAGGACGGGGGCCTCCTGTGCAACGAGGCGGCACTCGACGAGTGTGAGCTGGCGATGCTGCCGCCCCCAGAGCCCCCGGGGACGACAATCGGAGGCTGCGGCTGAAGTTGTGGCGGCGGCAGTTGGGTTTCAGGGGTGGGGGTGGGCCCTCGACGGCCCCCGCCGCTGATTTCGCCGGCCTGCTTCAGCACTTGGTAGGTCTGGTCTACCTCTTGCGGTTCTATCGGGGCGACAACGTACGGGGCGTGTGAGGAGGCGGGTGAAGCAACACAAGTAGCAGAGGATACACCAAGAAGGTAGCGGGGGTTGTGTCAGAACAAACGCACACGTTTAGATAGTTAGTATACACGGCTGACTGATCGTTAATTAACCGAAGCAGCGAATTTGTTTGGTTTCTTTCCAGAAAAAATAATTATTATTTTAGAGGGCAGGGTGTTTTTCGTAAATTAATTTTTTGGCAATTAAAAAAATATATAAATGCGTATAATTACTAAATAAAGAGGGGGTGATTTTGTGACGTTCTCTTACAAGGTATGCTCCCGAGATGACACACGCCGATTTTGTTGAAAGTTGGTATGCAACTTGCACTACCCTTGGGTGTTCTGGAATGGCTATCAAAAGTTGCCCAATTTCACAAGGGAGGGTAGTTTACATTAAAACGCATGTTAAAAACTATCAAATGTAGGCAACAAAAGCGTCCTCTGTGTATATAATTTGCCTACATCTGATTTCTCCAATGTAATTCAAATTACATGGAGTTTAAATGGCAAAAATTAAACAAGGAAAATTGGGCAAAAATTAATGACCGTTCTGGGGTACCAATGGGTAGTAGAAGTTGTACACCAATTTTCATTGAAATCGGGGTGTGTCATCTCGGGAGCATACCTTGTTAGAAGAGAGACTAGATACTTTTGGTTAGGTGTTGTGGTTTGAGTTTTGTTGCTGCGTATCTCCCAATATTTCATTACTTTTAACTTTCAACGCGTTCCCGATAGTTATTTGTCATTACTGAGAGAGGAGAAAGAGTGCAGTTTGGTTATATTCCATTTCACTAAGAAGAAATGTTTAATTGCGACAGGGCAGAGATGTGTTTTCAGCTAATGACAAAAAAAAAATGAAGCTGAAAAGTGTTTCATCTAACTAATAAATTAAATGAGATGAATTTTAGTCCACTCCAACCTATATCAAATGTACAAAAGTTGATGATGTTTTCTACAGAAGCATTTTTTTATACATTCCACAACCAAAACCTAAAAAATTAATTTTAAATATTTTAGTTTTGCCAATTAGATAAGATTTGAAGTGATTTTGGTTGTTCATTCTGCGACTAGTAGTTGCTTGAGAAAACCGTGTTTTAGTAAAAATGGCGAAGTAATTTTGTTTCTTGCAAATCGGAAAACGAACGAACGCGCGAAAAGCAACACATTACCGGCTAGAGTGCTTTGTTGTCTCTTGGAACGCCGTTTTGATCTTTGCGACACCCCTGATGGAGATTCAGGACACGCAGGGCCTGACAGGGGTCGCAGCAGTCTATCTGGCTTAATTCCTGCGTTTTTTGCACAACAACAAAGCGAGTCAATCTCTCTAATCGTATCAGTGGACTCGTCGTTATATTTTAGTAGTAAATCGAGAGAAAAAATTTATATATATTCACAGGAGTAAATTCTGGGGAGTTATTAGAGAGAAGAAGAAACGACAAATTAAGAAATTCGCGAACTTGGCGGCACCTTTTTAGAAGGAGGTACTCACTTTCTTCATCCAGTGGCGGCTCTTGATTGACCCTGGTTTCGATCTCGGATGTTGACTTTTGCCTCCGCAGCAGCCGCGATTTGCTCTGGCAACTTTTGGCGTTGTCTTGGCAGTCTACGTGAACGTTCATTTTGCACACACGGCATCTTAGGCCCTGACGAGTGTGACCTACAAATGAAACCAATTGGAATATCAAACACTATTGAAAGAAAAAGCAAACATATTATGTTATGGCTTTACAGATTGATAGAAGGAAATTTAAAATATAAAAGAAAAAAAAGACGAAAATCACGTTATTAATCAGAAGTGCAGAAATTATATTTACAATTAATTATGACTTATATTTATGGATTTAAAATATTTAAAACTATTGCTTATTAATTTCTTAGTTAAATTAAAAAAATTTATGCTAAAAATGACATTAAAACTTAATTTTATTGAAAACTTTAAATTTTTTATTATTTTTGTTGTTTATTTGTCTACATAGTTGCAAAATACATGGTTTACATTCAAATAAATATGCAAACAATTTAATTAAAAAGGGTATTGCTAAACAAAACAGCAACACCATTAGCAAGAATGTTGCTAAAGCTTCTGAGATAAAAAAAAGACCCCTTCCGCCGCAGTGAGCCTCGGTTGATTAATTAAGTTTTTGTCATTATTACGCATCACAAATTGTGCCAACAGTTTATTTATAAAAAAAAAATTAATAAAATTATAACAACATAATAATCTGTATTTTATGCGTGTATGATATTTTTTGCTGCATATTTATTTAAGTTAAAATGAACTTTTTAATACATAAAAGTTCGTCAAGTTTATAATTTATTTGCTATAAATATTTTCTTTTATTTTTGTTTATATGTTAAATCTTCGTACTTCCAATTAAAAAGCTTTTGCCCAATTAAACAGCGTAATAGTGTGCGTGCCGGGCAAAACATTACTCTATTATTTGCTCTAAATGTCAAAGTGGAACGGGAAAGAGAGAGCGCGCGCGGCCTCCGCCTCCACGCTCCACTTTTGCGAGGTAGGCAATGCGTTGGACGTATCGTTCCGCCGGTTGCCTACCCGCCTGCCTGGGCACGCGATGATGTTTTCAAAACACTTTCGACCTCAGCGGTAAAATGATTGACATCACGTGTGTGATTGTCATGCGTCGTCTAGATCATTAATCACGATTCGTCAAATGCGGCAGATTTTTTTGACTCGTAACGCGCGCACCCGTAAAATAAATATGTAAAAAATATAAATACTGCAAAAATTATTAATGGATCATTAGCAATCAAATTTGAGGCTCGGAAAATATTTTGATTGATGAAACTTCACAATTTTTTTTTTTAAATTGTGAAAAAGCAAACTAAATTTTGTATTCTTTATAAGAATTTTTTTTAGAACTTTTCAGAAAAAATTTCAATTGTTAGATTAAATGTTATATTAACGCATTTTGGTGCTTTTTCTATCCAAACTTTTTGTAAGTCATTTTTCCGCATCTGAGGCAGTGGGTCTCAATTTACAACTCACCCCTCAACACCTGCGAGCAGACGTCACACGGCGTAATTTTCTTGTATGTGTATTCTTGGAAAAGGTGAGCGCCACTCTCAGGCAGTGCACCCGCCAGTCCAGCTGCATCCTTCCCGTTTTTCCTGTCATAACAAACGACGCGTTTTAATTTCCTCGTCACACAAAAGAAACATCGCTGCGTATGAGCTCTCGTTTTTCGTTCTCTGGCGAAGGACAAAACATTGTGTGACAATACCAACCAGCGTCAGACGACGTGCGGTACGTGCTTCTGACGTTTGCGTCAAAAAAAGACTGAGCGAGATTGAAGAAGAAAATATGAAAAATGTAATGGAAGCTTCTTCCAACATGGGTGGGGTTTTAACGACTCTAATTGCGAGCAGCTCTTTTCGCTCACGTGAAATAAAAAATGGGCGGAGACCTGTTCAATAAGGTCACAGCTAAGTTAAATTTGAGCCACAAAAATCAATTAAATCTATAACTGCATTTCTTTATAACCTCCAATAAATATGTGTAGATTAATCTTATTAATTTTATTAAAAGCTTATCATAGTTAAAGATTAAAAAAATTATAATATTATAATTAAATTTAAAATAAATCAAATAAGCTGAATTCGTTACATTTATAATGCATAATTATTTAACTAAATAAAGAGCTAATTATATTTCCAGATCTTATATTATGAGGAAAATTCTCACGAGACCCATACGACGATGTTTCAAAGATTTACACTTGGTAATATGAGATTTTTGGACGAGCACAAGAAAAGATCAAGGAAAAAAGAGGCTGAAGTCTGTCTGGAGCTAAAGGTGGTGCTGAAACGAACGGGTTGTTCTAGCGTGTATTGGCGCGTTAATACACGGCACTTCAAGCAGAGTAAATAAGAAACCCAACGCTATTTACACAAAACGCACACGCAAATATTAAAATCTATTACATATTTACAAGAGAATAGGTGTACACAAACACACTTGAATATATAAATTTCAGAATAATTATTGCACAAAGCATTAAAAGTGCCACGCCGAGTGGAAACAACAACGATGGTCTCTTTCTCTGGAGACGAAGACGGGGGTCGTAATCAAATCTGCATACAAATTGGGCAGGCCACGAAATATGGCCGTATTTGTATGCATGAGCGAGCCAGCAAAAAATATTTAATCGCGAGCCAAAAGACGGGAATGACCCAGTTAGTTGTTTGCAAGGGCAGCGAGCGAGCCAGCGAGGAATGACTTTTAAATCTTGCAGTTTCGCCCGCTTGGCTCGCACTCGTTAGTTATTGCATACAAAGTGAGCGTTTTCTGAGGCTGCTTTAATTGGCCTGCGCCGGTCGTTGATTTATTGTTGGCGCCTAATCCCTGCCAGCCGCGGCAAAATGGGAAAAAACGGTCGTTTGTAAGCCGATGGAAATGGGCTCGGGCTTGATTGTGGCGGCAAAAAGATTCCTAACACCCTGGACGCCCAGCAAGTTGCAAAAAAAGTATTTTTCACTCTTATAATTAATGCTTCAAATTCTTTTGCTAAATACTTTTAATTAAAAAGTTTGTAGTTAAAAATATCTAACTAACAGTTTCAATAATATACATTGTGGAAGAAGTGACACTTTCAATGCAAAATAATTGCTTGAATTTTGGTTCTCTCATTTTTTTAAAATGAGGGAATACAAATGTATATATTTTGAAAATAATTAAATATTAACTGAGAAAGTGACAAATTAGATGGTTTTGACAATTTTTTTTTAAATTAAATAATTAAAATTGACAATAATCATGAATCATGATTTGATGAAGTGTTTGTGTACAAAAAAAGCATTTCCGTGCGGCGCATGTGGAAAAGCAGCCCCAGAAAAATTACCATTTTAAATAAATTGCAAGAAAAATCGGAGAAGTAATAAATTAATCTTAGAAATAAAGTGCGAAAGTATGGAACCTTCAATACATGTTGTGCAGGTAAATCGTGTGGAGACCAAAATCGGTGACAGACAGTGCTCAAGTAATGGATTGACGAGAGAGAGGTGAGAGCAAAAAGGAATGGAAAAATCACAAATAACACACACAGCAATTAATTTACAAAATGTATTCTGATTTGAATTAATCAGTCAATCTACGTGGTGACAGTGAAAGAGAGAGAGAGAGATTAATCGATCCGATTTCATAATTGTGTCAGCAGTCGGGAGGGTGCATAAAAGGGGGAGGGGGTGAAACCATCGACCTCAAAGCAACAACGGTAGGTGTATTAATTAGCGAGAACGTTTGGCCCGAGCGCAATCTCAATTGTTGCGATTAAAACGAACAAGAAACTGGTACGTGCGACAATTGTTTGCGAAGCCCCGCACGGTGATCTGAGCTGGAGAAATGCAAAGATAGCGAGAAAGACTCTTGCTCAAGAAGCCACACAAATGAAAGAAAGAGCGAAAGCGGCGTCAAGTTTGTTCTTTGGTTCTCTCGTAACTGAACATTTTTTTTTATAATATTCCAACGAGCAGAGTGTCGAGAAAGAAATAACATCTGTATTTAAAAAGTAGGTCGATCACGCCACTCGCTAATTAAACCAATAAAGGTAAATCTTGTACCGAGGGGTGCTTGAAAAAAATTGATCTCGTTTCACATTTGAGGTCGAAGGGGAGAAGTTTTATCAGATTTTAAGTAAAAGTTTGTTTAATTACATTTTTGTGTTTAGTTCACATTTCATGTATGCAGAAATTTATCTAACGAGCAAAAATAGTTTAATTTGTAAAATTTAGTGAAAATGAGATTTTTTTTGTGTTTCCTCAGTAATCCTCAGTATGACGATTCCAACGATACGCAGAAAATAATTTTTTTGACAGATGTTTGTGAGCACATCAGTATTTTTTAGTTCCCGACGGAAGCCATCACCCGTTATAACAAATACATGTATGGCTGCCAACAAAAATTACGAAATTCTAAAAACTGTCAATTTGAGCTTGAGTATTGTTGAAATCATCCCACCAAAAGAAGACAAAACAGTTTTAATTTTGATACTTAAAAAACTCTTTAATTTGATAAATTAAATTGTTTGAGCTCATCAAAACATTTTATTGTTTTTTGATTATGGTAATAAAAATTAACATTCAGATAATATTGACTGCGGTTGCGGTTCGGGACTAGAATATCAAGGCAGGCACGTGGTTTGTCGACTTCGGTGCGGCTCCATTTTATCCGCGTCGCACCAAAGCGTCCACTCTAAACTATGTAAAATATCTATCAAAGGAATTAAAATTCGTTTCCAGTGTTCTATATTAGGAACTGCTCTACCTAATCGTAAGTTAGAGACTTGCAGTAGTATTTTTTTTTAGTATCAAGCGGTAAGCAAGCGGCAGCACAGAGTTTGTTTTTGTTGGTTAATACATAATAATCGCTGCAAACTACTTGAAAAAATTACCTCATCGACATGATGGCGGAAACGGCATGGTACATTTGGTTCTTTCTGCCAGGTTCAATAGTTAACGAAAAAGAGAAAGAGAGAAACACACGTCAATACAATACTATGAGTGAATGAAAAATTCCAAAGAAAAATTACAGCAGCAATTTTACAATTAGTGAGAAAAAAAATGTGTTGCGTGTTTAGTGTCCGTTAGAAAGTTCTGCCTGGTGTTGACTGAATCTGAAATTGGAGACGTTTCTGAAAAAATGATGGGGCTTGATGACATTTTTTTGTTTAGTTTTTATTGGTCTCTGCAAATCAATAGCTACGCCGCAATGCTTGGCTAACGGAGTGTGTAATTAAATTTCATCATATGAATGTAAATTAATGTGGTATGAATATTTTGTTTGATGTGGTGTTGGTCTATGCAGCGTATGGGGAGAAGCACTCAGCATTTCATTAATCGGAATTGTACTGTTCAAACAAATCAATACATATTTGCATGTGAATTGTAAATGTACATGAAAATAATATACAAGGACTAATATTAATTTTAAGTGGAATAATAACAATTCGATCAACTATATACGCTAGTACAATGCTAATTATCAAATTCCACATCACGAAAAATAAGCAAATTTCATTGTTAATAATGTTCCAATCAACGTATTTACAGGATGCGGACTGCCAGTCAGTCGGAGAAACGGAACCCTACCTAAGGTGCAGTAATCTAGAAATTATTCCCGAGGAAAAATAATTGCTGAAATGCAGATACACGCACTTTAGCTTATATCAAATATTTTTGGCAGGATCTGATTGATTATGAGCGTGTAAGTCTCCTAAAAAAATATACTACCAATTTCAAAATATACTATTTCTAAAAAAAGGGAAATTCTAAAAACTGTAAGTCTACTGGTTTTGTGACGGTTTCCAGTGTCGTTTCTCTAAGCCGCCCAAGGAAAAGTGAGACCCTTGATGAAAAATTGACCGAAAATAACGATGTGACGTCAACACGCAAACATGATACGTGTTACAGGAAATGATGCGAAAAAAGTAAGCTTGGGGGCTAAAAGTGTACCTGACATGGTAACATAATCTTTAAACTAAATTAGTTTATTACTTCAACTTTGAAATTCCATAAAACTATAGTTAAAAGTGTAATCTTAAAAACTAACTTTCAGACGATCTCATCATCACGTTTTTCACTCATAAAATGGATAAAAATAAATGTATTTACTTAAAAATGTATCTAAATAATAAACTAATTAAATGAAAGTCTTTTTTTTATATTAGAGAAAATGCTTAATTAATTTATGATAGAAAAAGTTTTGGTCGTTATAAATAATTTGACTCAATTCTGGCGGAAAAGTTTTGCCCCGTTGATGTGCGAAAAGACACCTGACGACACGCATAGCTAATGAGACGTGCGCGAAAATTTAAGCGCGTTATTGTGTCCCGTCCACCCATCCGCACAGGAAAATCTGAGCGGCTCCGAGAACTCTGGCGTGAATTTCAAAGAGTGTAAGAGAGGAAAAACAGCAGCAGGCATTCAGAATTCCGGTCGCAATTATATGGAGCGCGCACGACCATCATCACGCGACGAGTGCATGAATAAAAAATTGCGAACAGGTGCAAAACCGTCGCGCGGATCGATATCCGTCGGCGGGAGGTAAAAAATGGTCCTATGTTTTAATCTCTAAATTTTTAAAAAGTATAAAAAGGGTTTATTCTGAACGAAATCTACTAACTAGCCTAAATACCGAGATTTAAAATGTCTAAAAGATTGAAAATTCGTCTTACGAGCTGATTTTAGAGTGGCCTGGACGAATCGGTGGCTTTTTTGTAACGGACCCTGAAGACGAGGCGGAAGTTGACGGACTGATTTTCTTTTCGTCCGAGCTGCTGCCCTGCTCCGGTGTTCCGGCTTTCCTTTGGACGAGCGCAAAATATTCAAATAAACCGTGGAAAATTAGCGGGGAGGGAAGTTGGAGTCTCTCAGGCTGAGGCAGACCGCGATTTCCCAGGAGGCGCGGAAAATCAAATTACAAAGTTGAATTGGCTGCAGCTTGTTGACAATCACACTTAGCGAGGCGCCCTTTGTTTTTCTCGGCCGGCGTAATTAAGCAGCGGTTGTCGGCTCAAAATTGAGTTCCCTTACTTCCCGCGAGATGCATTATTTATACCGACCGACAAACCAAATCGCTGCCGGCCCAACATAGCGGAATTATTATTTTCAAGAACAAAGTATAGTCCTGTACACGATTGTGCAGTTTTGCATTGTGTAAAAAAGCCAAAAATTTGTACATTTGTTTTGCACGAAAAACTCCAATGTTCTGTGGGTTTTGTTGTGGGTTAAAAATAATTATTGCTACTGAAAAAGTGTTAAAAATCGTCAATAGTGAGAAAATGCGAGAGTACTTTACGTGAAGGAAAAAAGAGAAACGTGTCTACTTACTTTTCTGGTTCTTTCGGAGCCGCAGCTGCCCCTCCAGAGGTAGTTTTGAGGCTCTTGAAAGCCTTCAACCATTTGGACTTCATGCTTCCGGTTGACGATGATGACATTTTACGCTCGCGAGAAGTGTCGGCACCGCTCTCCACCTTCGCGGCGAACAACTCTTTCTGCAACAAGAGAAAAAACACATGCACAATGGAACTTTTCGGGTGCATTTAAGTGTTGGATTGAAAATAATAAAGGGCCGTTTGTGAAATTTATAAAACATAAATTTTGTTTTAAATTTTTCAAATATTATTAAAATAAAAAAAGAGATTAAACGTTGATTTCCTTTATTACATTTATTTTATAAAATTTTATTATGCTTATTCCCCCTTCCTAACATTTTTATGTCCTATAACCTTTTCATTGTTCAATTTACATACACATAAGCAATTCAGCATTCTGCATATTTTTATCTAACATTTCTGAACTAGTTTCTTCAATAACAATTCAAGGAGGAATTTTTTTTTAAGCGTTCCAATATCCAATACAATGATTTCACAACTTAGCTTAAGTGATTCTCCAGGTTGTAAAAGAACAAACGAGTGAGGCTGTGACCCATAAAGTGAAATTGAGTTCATGCGAGAGCGCGAGTTTCTCACTTTGAAGAGTGGCACACGATCACCGTGGGACTGCGGCGCTAAGCCGGATTGCGAAAATGTACATCAAAGGAAATGGGATAACGAGATGCAACTCGCTCGCGTTTGTTTAAAAGTTGGAAAAATTGCCGGTAATCAAGAAAATGGTGGGCTAAAAATAGGGGCAATCTACGGGAGAGCAGGGACGCATATATGCGGAGTGCAATTAAAGAAATGGCCTTCGTCCCAGTTATCACTAATTGACGTCGCATGCTGCTGATATTTGCATGCTGATCAAAACGGTGACGTCAGAATATCGTGATTGTCGCACGCGGACACGAATCTCTGGAATTGAATAAAATTGCAGACGGAGATCGTCCTTTGTCTCTCGCATCTCAAACTTTAGCACAGAAGTCGTAAATTTGACTTGCAAACCAAGTTGGACTACGTTCTGGCGGCGCGAGAGAGATTCAATTACAACCTAGCCGACTACGTGATAATTCGACGTGACATTTCCTCCTTTGCTTTACGCTTACACATGAGAGTTTTCAAATTAATAAAGGTTTCAATAAATTTGAAAGATATCTCTTTATTCTCTGCGATTTAAAAATTTAGTCTGAAAATGAATTTTAATTTTATTTTGATGATTCCAAAAAAAAATTTGAGAAATATAACATAATATTTCTTAAACTGGAAATATTTATAATTTATCTTTTCATTTTCACTGATGATTTTTACACAAATTTTATATATCACCCTTATTCAAATCAAAAAGTTCCTAAAAAGGTTTTCGTCAAAGGTAAAAATTCTGCCCATCTTGTTGAAAAAGTTGGCTTTGTGCTTTGAATCCATAATGAAGAAATATTAATTTCCACACGGTCTCTAAGAAGCTGCCTAAAAGAGCTCATTCCGTGCGTGCTTAAATTATGTTTGCTTAAGTCACGTTGCGAGTCTTTTGCGCCTCAACTGGCAGACCTTATAAAAGCAAAAAAATGGTTTGAAGAACTTACACCTTATATTAAATTAAATTTTCTATTAAAAATACCGCATTGCACAGTTGCAAAACGCAACCAAAAGCTTCTATACAGAAACTGGATTAATTTTTATCAATCTTTTAATAATGAAAAAAAATATTGTAAATTAAAAGTTCGAAAATGAAGTCTTTTCATAATACTGTATAATAAAATACAAAATAAAAAAATTTATTGGTTAAAGAAAAGGTACCACTTACTTCTAGAGAAGGACATCTTAAAATTCGATCAGATACAAAAGTTAATTTTCTTTGCAAGTTCGGAATGAGAGAGAACTGTGGAACGAGCGAGCAGCTCCGTGTTTCGGCACTGATTGAGCTCGCTAGGCAACCTGCGCGGCGGCGGCGGTCCGCGGCCGAGCCTACTTGCCGAGAGGACAGGCGCACAACAAGGCACGCTGCCCGCGGCACGTTCTCCACCCCGTACGCTCCGCTCTCGGGTTGACGTTTTTGAAGCCGATGAATAATTCAATTAAATGCCAGAGCGTGTTTCCTGACGCTAATATTTTGTTTATAAAATCAGCCAAGACCGACAAATTTTTGAATTTTTTATGCTTGATAATTTCTGAAGTGGAGAATTTTATTTAGAACGGCAGCGTCACCTTCCAAACCTAATTAATAACCTTTTAAACTAAAACTTAATTAAAAATCTACAAAACAATCTGTCATATAAAATTAATGGGCCCTGACAAGTGTTTTTATTTTTTGCCAAATTATATAAATTTTTTACATAAATTTGTGATGTTTTGCATGCCTCTGAACTGCCTTTGAAGAATTTCGATAAACGATAACTTTGTAGATTATAATGCGCTCTTTATAGAGTCGTAAAATTGGTGGGGTCGTTCCACTAACTTCAAATTGGCATCGCTTACACACTTCACATTTCGGCCGACTCAGCGATTCGAATCATGCTCTGAGCATTTCAATAAATTTCCGCAGGGTATAGTATCGCTATTTCGGTCCAAACATTTCCACCGAGAGTCACGTCGGGAGCTCAATTGCGTCGTAAAATTATCCGAAAATGTACAAGTCTGCGACTAGTGGCCGAAAATGAATATGCTTCATGCAGACTGGTTAATTCGCAATTTGCATTCGCCCTCTGTCATTCGCGCACGTGACATGTACGCAAGGCAAAAGGTTTATTAAATCCTAGGCCCACGAAAAATCAATTCAACCAACTTTAAGTTTGGTCTTGATTACGACTTTCTCTCGCTTCAGTTGTAAATCAAGGTGCTTCTCTCGCGTTCGCAGCCAGCAGGCCATTAGCCGAGGTGCTATTAGCCCTGTAAGTCACGGTACGTCTTCATCTCGCACGCCCATTTGAGCCCCACGGCCAAATAGGGCGCCTCTGAAATATTTCGCCAACCTCCGAGAGCGAAAAATATTCCTTGTAAGTGCTTCCGCTTGATTTACGCGGCTGCTCATTACGATTCCGACGGAGAGAGAAGAAGTAAGAATAACACCCAATTTTCTTTACTACCCCCTAGCGCTCGTTTATTAGGGCAAATTTCGTTCCGCAATCGATTTTCACTGCAAACATATACTTGCTGATGAATGGAAGGGAGTGATTTTTCATTCCATCGCTGACAGGAATGCGTGGGCGCGGTGGCACGCTTTCCATGAACAAATTAATGTATTGATGGATAAGACTGGGTAGATCATGGGGTCCATTATTGAGATTTACATATGTATTGTTTAATGGGAAAGGAGTTGAGCAAAAGTTTCCAGAACTCCATTAAAATTTTTACAATCAAATAAACCCGACATTTTGTTTAACTTCCATTAGAATTATGTATGTTTTCAACACAAAATGTGTCTTTTAAATTTATCCGGTATTTTATTTTGGTCAGCAATAAAAAACGTTTGATTATTTTACAGGAAGTCTTTTGGATTTTTTACTAAATTTTTTTATATTATTGTGCATACATGAAAAACATTAAAATTATACTAAAATTTATTTTCGTCAATGCAGCTAGAATCGTTTTACTAAAAATTATTTTATAATAATTGTAAAAATTTTAAATTTGATTTGATATACATATATTTCAATACCTGATCAAAATTGCATGATTGAAATATTACAATGTTTTTGTTAAATCATAGCAGTTAAATATGCTTTCAATGTGTCTGTCTAACCCTTGTCAGACAGGTAGATACAAGTATGGAATACAATTTACAGCCGCTCCGCTTTTCCACGTAGCAGCAAAGACGTCATTAAAATCCCAAGTTATGACAGCTGAGGTTTCGCGAATTAATTCTAGAGACGGCTCGTGCGCACTTCGACAAGCTAATTTTGCACCGAATAAGCGGAAAATTGCCGCGCCGAGAGCAGTGTGGGTGACAAGTTTCATGCAAAGGGCTGTCAGCCTCCAAATTAGGCATGCAAAAGCACCTGCTGGAGTGCCAACTAGGCCGCAGCCGTTCTAGACGCTCGAAATGTCAAGAGCAGCGCCGGCCTTTATTTATATTTGCAACACACGGGGATACGTGTTGCAGAAACAATCTCTGCGATTAATTAATTCAATTCCTCTCTGAGCACAAACAAATGCGGCTGCATCACATATGCACTTTGGACTTTTGCTGCAGCATTTTAATTACACTCCCAGCTGGGTTGCCCTGCAGGTTGCACGGCACTGCAAACCAACACACATGTGACATTGCTAACTGCATGTTCATTCCCAGTTAAGACCGTAAATGGTAAACGGGGCTAACTAGGGAACTGAATGAAAAATGAAATGGAAAGCAGATCAAAATTCTATAACAATCATTTTTATTCATGGATCAAATGAATTCCTAGTTTAACTGAAAATCAAGATGGATTTTAAAAATTGATACCGGGCTTAACTTTTTGGAAACGAACTGTTTATAAATTTTCAATTATCATGAAGCGATTTTGAAGAAAATTTATCTACGTTGATGAGTTTCGAGATTGCTGTTTTGGATTAAGTCTGCCTATAATAATAATTCCCGCCAATCAAGCGATACGACTGCCAATTTGCACACATATTTTACCTATATTCCGCTTAGAATTTAATACAAGAATCCCTCAACTTGTTAATTTTGCATATCTGATGAGCCAAAACCTTATAGGTTGAAGATAAACTGAAGCATCTACAGATTGAAATGAGACAATGTTTGCTCCCAGTTTGAATAGATAAACACTTTTCCTTACTGCCATTTTTAAAATTAAATTATTTTGTTATTTATGAAACTTCCAATACTGTTAAACAAACTAGAGCCAGAAAATATGTATTTATTATTTTATTATATTGACCTGCCTATTGGAGTAGAATGATCATGACCTCAATATCTAAGAATGCATTTTTTTTTATTGAATTTTTTGTTTGTTTGCTTAGCTACTAATATTCGTGATTTGCATTTGATAGAAACTCGATCAGTTCTCGTGCAGCGGTCTTGGCATGTGGAAAGTTAGGCGAGAGTCACTGACCCGATTCCGAGGCAGATGCTTTCGCTTGATTTGGTTCTTTGAAGCGGCAAATTGATTCCGCTACATACTGCAAGTGCAAAAGATTTCCCATCGCCGGTGTGCTCTGATTGCTAAACAAATTCAGTGCTTGCTGAATCGGATTTGCTTCTTGCTGCATCTTGAATTAAAGTTATCGGCTCGACCTTTAACTTTTTCAGCACAACAGAATCCCTGCTCCTCTCGTCATTCTAGGGAGCGTCGGCAAACTTTATACGCATGGATGAACCTCAGGCGCGCTCTCTGGCGAATCGGCCAGATTGAGGTAATCAATGGAAAAGTTTGCCCGGTGTGTGTTATTTTTTGTGCAATCGAAACGAAAACCATCAGGCAATCAACTCGTCCGCCTTTTTCGGTGATGCCGTTTGTAAATAAAAGTTGATTAACTCTGCGGGAATTTTTCAGCGGATATTTGATCATTTTTATTTTTGTAAAAAAAAACTCAGCCACGTAATCCTATTGGAACTTGCGAAATTAAATAAAACTAATTCTCAAATAATAATTATGTATGGATGAATATTGAAAATTTTTACATTTTCCGAGTGCATGAATTTGACTGAAGAATTTGGGCAGCAAATGAGTCATGAGTCATGATTAAATTAAATTTGCAATTATTTTAAGATTACCGAACATGAAAATATGATTCAAATGATCTAAATCTAAATAATAACTTTAATTTGTAGCGTATATTTTATAATACAATTAAAAGAATCAGAGTCATTAATTAAATTTCAATTACCAGATAAATGTTTATATTATGATTTAGATAAGAATAGTTCAAATATTTTTACCAATTTATTTTCTGTACTAAACATATGCTATTTCCAAAACACATTTGAAAATTTTTTTTTCAAATTTATTATCAAAATTTGTTCTCCTATGCTTGGGTGAGCCTTCCTTAATACTAAAAATTTTAATAAACGCTGTATGAAAACAGTTTTAATTCATGTTCTGGAAACTAATTAGCAAGAGTACATAAATCAAGTTCTGTCACTAAACTTGTGCGAAAATTATTGCGAGTCGGTGTTTTTATGCAGAGTTGACAAACTGCCTGGCTGACTCGGCACTCTTGCCTGCTTTTCCAGTAACCCCGCTGAGTAATTTAAGCGCGGCGCAGCCGTAATGAATTTTTTCCGCCACGCCACGCATTTTTTCGCCATATCGCGCGATACCTTTTTGTTTTGACGCGGCGGAAACAGAGCCCACTAGCGAATAAAACTCGCGCTTTATTAGTCCCCGGAGTGGCGCGGGAGATCAACCGACCCTTTATATGTTTCGCAAAATAAAAAACCGCTTTTCCCAGTCACGTTGCCGCTGGTGACGTCACGAACGTTTCAATTCGAAAACTGATGACGCAGCCAGTGTTCGCAGCGAAATTACCATTTTTGCATGACAATCGTATCAGAGAGCGGGAAAAAGGCGGTTGAAAATTCCCACTGATGGACTGCGCCGTTCAATATGCAAATGCGGCGGCGATGATTTCGCTAATGGCACCGAGCGAACGAGAGGTCGCCTGTTCAAGTGGCTCGTCGTCGTTCGGGGGCTGCGCGATGCTTGCTTGTCCTACTCGAACCAAAACATCTCGCAAAAGCCCAATTCGCTGCCTGCCATCCTCTTTTGCGGCCTCGCGTGTGTGCCTACGGATTATTATTATGATAGAGAGCGGTGGTTTTCCTCGTTTCAGCGAATTCGAACTTTGATCCTTTGCCACAGTTTCGCCAGAATCTGGTTTGATGTGTGTCAAATAATGCTATGCGCTGGCTCAGTCAGAGTCTGTTAGCTCCGTGGTGCTCAATTTAATTTTCAAAATCTCTCTCTTGTCTTGCAGAATAAAAGGCATTTTTTTTTTAATTGACTGATAACTGAAAGTGTTAAAAAATATTCTGAATTGAATTTATAAAAAATTTAAAAAATGGCTTTACTAGTTTTGGTCATTAGGCGTGGAAAAATTGATGATGTTTATGGGCGAAGTAAGCACTACTTTTTTCCAGCTACAAAAAGAGGCAATTATAAGTAGGTGGTTAAGGTTGAAAAAGTCAAATAGGTGAATATTTTTACATCAAAAGTATGCCTTTTAAGGTGATTTTAGCTGATTTTAGATAATTTATCATAATCATTTGATATCAAAGCTAGAAAGTCAGAACCAGTTTTCCTAACTTTAAACATAATAATTCCCAAAAACTACTCTCTTAGTGTCTCTTACTTGTTTGAAACAGAGAGAAAGTTTCATTGAGAAATTTAGAATTTTAAATTATTTATATTTTGTGATAACTCTTAAACTTGATCCACATTTTTGTATGTTAAAAATAATTACACGGTCTACAAATTCCAGCAAATGAAGCTAAACAAATCAGAATTCTTTTAATCTTAAATCCTTTTTCCATTCTCTTATCTTATAAAAATACAATAAAGGAGGATTTTTATTCCATGCACTGTTTCAAATTGATTTGCCCTTTACCTAAATAATTTATGGAATACATCCACGGATCCAGAGCCATAAGTCGTAGCTAGAACAAGAGTCATGTTTAATTCATATTTTTGCCGCCGTCAGTTATCAGTCCCATAAAGCGGGACGTCTCGCCTCCTTCACCACCAGCAACCCTCCCGAGGCCGCGACTATGTGTCGGTCGTGGTGCGCGCACGTGAGAACGACGTTGCACCTTGGGCGTACTATGTGGTTAGTAAACGTATTTTCGTTGGGCTCCAACTGCGTCACGAGTCAAAAAGGTCAGATGAGAGGGAGCAGGGATCGATTGTTCACGTTGACGTTGCTATGGGCACACCAAGGATCACCCCGAGGCGTGCCTAATGCCCACCCCCAAGTGATTACTCTCAGACGCTGCTCCCCCTACTTTTGTATCGCGCCGGCAAAATTGGAAATGGATTCCTCGAAAGATTGGTTTGGCGTAAGCCGTTGCTCACTTTTGCTATACGTTGCACACAATTTTTGTCTGCGCAAATCGAAAATCGAGCACAGCTTATTGGGGCATGAGAATTGAAAGGTCAATTCATATTGCTTTAAGAAAGTAAGCAGTTCAAGGTTGCAAGATAATATTAATATTTTTCTTTTAAATTGGAGAATGCTATTTGAGAATTGAAGGAAAATTAATAATTTAGCTTAGTTAGTTCCGCATTTGTTGAATTAAAATTTGAATAAATTAAATAAAAATTAATTAGGATCTTACGACATCTAAGCTAAAAAAACGTTTAATGAAAAGTTTCCCATAGATCGTAAATTTTGAAGTTGAGATGCTTATTGATAATTTTGTCAACTTCAATAGGAACGGCTCCTTTTTTTAAATTGACTTCTTCAAATCAATGCAAATGGAATGGAAAAAATAATCATGAAAATTAATCGGGTCGTATTTTTAGAATAAATCCCTCACTAATAAAATCCGTAAGTAACTTCTCTACAAAAAATATTTTGGCTAAATATTTATTCGTGTCAAAAGATCTTCTTCATTTTCAAAAATATCAAAAAATTAAAATTATAAAAATCCGAGGATGTCTACAAATTTTGCAATTACATAGAGTTTTGACCGAACATGGAGAACAGGGGCAACTTGATTTATTATCCACCTTTGGAGTGAAACACACGTCGCAAACCTTGTACGAAACACATAGAGCAGCAGCGCGAATTATGCAGGTGACGCCTGCCGGATGGAGCACCGCAACCCCTAGCTCGCAATCAGTACATGGGACAGGGCCACTTTACGGGGTGAGATTGCACTTTGAGAGGCGGTACCGCAGCCCACTCGTGATTCGCCACATCTCTCTTTTCGCTCACGGGCAACAGCGATTCCTATCAATCTTCTGCCTCACCACCATTGTGCTTCAAACTCCAGAGGCGAAAATCTTTTCAAAACGAGAGCAGGGGGACAAAAATTCAATAACTAACCAGACATCGGTGAATGATGGATTGATGGCTGACATACCATTGAATATTAATCCTGAATTTTTATATTTTGCGGAAATACATCGGCTGAAAATCATCGAGATTTAGATTTTCAAAGTGTCATTTTCAAGCAAAGTAAACAATTTGACAAGCAATATTTGCAATTAATTTAAAATAAATTGTATATTTTTCACATTTTCTGTACCCCTATTAATTATATGGAATTTAGTAATCATTGTAAATATGTATTTTAAATTTTAAAATATGAATACTTGTCATTTGTTATTATTTTATTAAAAAATAAACAAAAAACTATAATTCTGCTTATTCAGGAGTGGCCACATCCGCCTACATATTTTTTTTATCAATATCAAACCAATTTAGTTGCTTTAAATACTAATATAAATATTTTTTAAAGGGCTGCAATGGTTCTCTAGTCATTAATTTAATTATGGAGATTTTTATGAGCTTTCTGCTTCAGTAAATTTAGCAAATTTACGAAAACTTCAAGTGCTAATGGAAACGGCGGCAAGTGTACAGAGAAAATTAATTTTGCTTTTTCGACTGGCTGCTTTCAAGTTCGGAGAAACACCCAAAGCAAAACTGTTGCTTATTGAATGCATTACGTATCTGCTTCAAGACGCGAGCACAAAGGCTCACACAAAGAACAAAAGAAAGGCTCTTCCTTTTCATTCTCGCCGCTCTCATTGTCAGATCTTTCCTCCAAATTGCATTAAGAGATGCTCTCTTTCAAAATCGAGAAAGGAAAAGGGGGAACTGACCTGGGCCTTGACTGCGGACAGATGAATTTGCGCCACCCGCAGGTCGAACCTCTTCAGACTGATGTCCTCCTGCAGCTCATTAGCCTTGTTGAACAGACTCGACTCGACACTCCTGTGAACACAAACAGCCTTTAAAGCTACGTACACAAGCGAGAGACGGAGCTCCGAGGGAAATGGGCAAACAAACTTCCAGCAGCACACTTGACTGACGTGCTGCATTTGTTCCATGGGCAAGGGAAAAACACGCGATTATTACTCGTCCATACTATTTCCTTCTCATTTTACTGCTGCGAGCAGATTTCTTTGCTCGTTTGGAAAAAAATTTCTTTTTTATAATTCACGTCAATATTATTTTAAATCACGATTCGTGATGCTTTCAGTATTATTGCAATCTTATATTATCAAGGTTCTTTGATAACAAAAATGGTAAAATGATAATTTCATTGTGCTGAATTATAATAACAAATGATAAAAGTTTGTACATACTGCATATAGTGAACAAGGAACAAGAAATATTTAAAATCTCAATCAATCATGTTATTTGGAAAACATGAAAAAATTACTAAAAATTTACTTTTTATTGGATTTTATTTTTAATAATTTTCTTTTTTCCTGGCCTATATTATAAATTCATTTCCAAAAAATTAATTTTTACTTTAAAAGATATTCTATTTTCCCCGCAAGTTCATTACTTTTTACTTCAGTGTTCCCAAGAACAGTGGCCAAAAGTTGACTCGCCATGAATTTTTCATGGCACGCGACGGTGCGATAAAGATCCAATATCGCCACGAGCTCTTAAAAAAGCAAATTCGCTTGTCACCATCAACAACAGTGAAACTGCCGCGCGTTAAAAATGCATAACAAGATGTTGTCGGCATCCTCCTGCCTAAAAAGCTTCCCCGAACGAGCACCCAGAGGGCTCTTAAAATAAAGTATACAAAATCGGCTCGAGGAAATTCGCGAGAGAGGCGCAAATGAAATATTTATATACATTCGGCAGCTAAGAAAATAAGAGAGTTGCCAACCTGTCAGCGAAGGGGCGGTTGTTCCACCCCTGGCCGGGCTGGCGACGGAGCGGCAGATTGTCTGTCGACGCAGGCAGCTCCGGCGGCGAACTGCCAGCCAGATTGGCTCCGACGGATCCGCGGCGCGAGGCTGGCAGGTGCAGCAGGCAAGTGCGCACCGCCCGACTCCCGAGGGACGCGAAGGAAGCCTCACCTTTAAGCCGCTGATTAAGCCGCAGCGCCCGAATTACTTTACCAACCCCGCGCCAAATCGCGGTAAGTGCGCGCGAAACCAGAAAAAATCTCAAAATCTGTCTTTCGACAGTAATAATTTATTTTCTGATCCTTTACAATATTACACTCAGTAAAGCCCTTCATCCAAACGTGATATTTTCAATTATGAATCTTGGAAAAAATGCTGTGCTGTATTAAAAAAAATAATTTTCTGATTTGAGAAAAAAGGTTTTCCCGAAACATGTTTTATAAATCCCACATGAAAAATGTATTTGCCTAAAAACGTGGGGTATGTTTTGATGTTGCGGTATGAATAAATAGGCGCAGTTTGTAAAAGCCCAGCGTAGGGGTTTCCCTTATTCCCTGCAGGTGTTCTCGTTCTGCATATTAGAGTTTCCTATATAATGTTGCAGTTTGCAGCTGCAGCAGATTTTCCAGAGAGTTCGGAAGGAAGTGCGCGCAAGAAAATCATGTTTGATCAAACTTGATTTCAAACTATGTTGACACTCCTTTGACAAAGTCACACAACTCAATTAACAATATGATGTAAGTTGTATGGTAATGTTAATAATATTGAAAGTTAATTGTGTTTTGAAAAGTTCTCCGAAGGACGATATTTGTTGAAGGTTGCAAATACATGTTTTCAACAATTTTATGTAAACAATGTGATGTAACAATTTGGACAAATAAACAACAATAATAATTGTGAAATTACCGGATTGAAACAAATGAACTTCAACATGATCACTGGGTAGTTGAAACCCTTCAAAAATCGTACAGAAAAGTTAGATTTTATTTATTAATATTCAGAGTGATCCATTGATAAGTATACAAGCCCTATGAATTTCCAATATTATTACATACACGTGTAAAACGTGAACTGTTGTTTTAATTGCACCGTGTTATTACAAGTTTCTGTCTCATGAATAATATTAGCGTGCAGGTTCCTAATCTCATCTCTCGGGCAAGGCGTGTAATTAAGTGATAACCGCATTTGCTGGTGAGTTGCAATTTCCCTTCTTCTCCTGCCGCAGCAAAAGTGGATTTGCATGCAGATTAAAATTGTCGCCAGCAGAGCTTCGCATTTTTTCCTACTGCATCTCAGCCGCAGAAATGTCCTTGTGCAGCGATTCAGCGAATGGGGAGGGCACACAAGTCTGCTTTTTATTTGACGTGCACATGTACTCCTTGCCAATATGATTGATCGCCCGTGTGCACTCACTTTCCTTTCAATACTTGCACGTCAAAGTGACTCGTTGCGTATGTGCTTTTAGTACAGCACCTCCGAGCTATTACCACACTGTGAATGCTGTTTGCGGTGCACTATGCCCACAAATGTCATCTCAACTTTGCCCTGAAAAAAGTGGGACTGCCTCTTCGATCTGCGATATTGAAGGGAGAAATGCATTCAATATATCAAGAACCTTCAACAAGCATTTATTTTTCTTTTCTTTTAGATTAATGCGAACAAAAATAGATTTTGCCCTCTGCAATAAAGGTTATTGGATTATAAGATAAAAATAATTTAAATGCATTATCTGAACTATTAAAAATATAAAAATGAAATTTTTTACTCACATAATAAGTATGGACGTGTTCACAATAAAAATAATATGCATGAATCCAACAAACATTAATTTATGCAGCTTCAGTCATAGTTAAATTAATACTATTTTTAATTGACTATGAATCATATTTCATATTTTTCCATGCAAAAAGTATAATTTATAAATAATGACGATCCTAAAAATCTTGCCATTTTATACTATCGCTTTTAACTTTTAAATACATATTATTAGAAAAACGAATTATAAATGTTATATCAAAATTTAAAAAGAACCCTCTTTATCCGTACATCTTTCATTGCTTTTTATCATAGTTGATATTATTTCAAAAAGAGATCTTCTCTAACAAAAGTTTTGAATAATAATAGGTGATATTAAAATAGGAGATAAGGAAGATCTATATTAGAAGCTTTTCTCCCTTTCAAATCTGTTCCACTGTCTACTGACAGCTGACATGAGTGCAAGCACATAATACTGAAAGGAATTCTCGATCAGTTTGTTTGCCCATCGTCGGCGGGAACGATATCAACTATGTCGTGTGCACCTGCATCAGAGCATATCGGAAGGAGGAAAGTACACTCTGAGGAACATCTCATATTGCCGCTATGTGCATTCACACAAGATAATGTTTCTACAGATAGAATCGAGAAAATTTACGTTTCACTGATTTTCAATGATGTTCTGGATTCAAATCTCTCCATAAGATAGAATCCATTGAATCATATTCTCAACAGAAATCCTGTATGTAACTAAATTTTAATATTTTAATTAATTAAAGTAGATGGGGAGGGGAGAAAATCCTAAAATATGCAAAGAAAACATTAAAAATTAAAATTTCGCACCGAAGTTAATGAGATTTTAAATAGGAAATTGAAAACTCCGTGCAGATCTCCCATAAACAAACAATTATTTGAATATAAATTTATCAATCTATTGATTGTATGAATTTATGATTTTTATTTTTTTGAGAAATTGTAGAAGATGCGTATACACAAATATATTTTAATAATTCAGAAAAAATTCAGTAAAAATTGAAAAATTTCTTGCAGAAAGAAAACTTCAACTTAATTTAGGAAAATGTAAAATTATAAAATTTAGAAATAAGGGTCGAGGCAGATATAAAAAAGATGATTCTCTGATGATAAATGGTCAGTCAATTGAATTTGTCGCAGAATTCTCCTACCTGGGAGTCATTTTTCAATCATCAGGCAATACCTTTACAAAACATATTGAAAAGAGAGTCAAATCTGCAATCTTTGCAATCTCGAAACTAAACTCACTAGCAAAATCGTCAATTTCAGCAGGAATTAAGCTATTCAACTTGGCTATAGCACCAATAGCTAGTTATGGAATTGAGGCTATTTGGCCATTTTTAAGCCAAAATGACCTTATTAAACTTGAGACTGTTAAATCAAGATTTTTAAAAAAGCTTATGTGTCTTTCCAAATATACAAAATCGAGATATGCATATGAATTAGCATGTACAAATTTACTCATTATTGATCTCTGTAATACATTCTCGTTAACTAACACGACTGAATACGAGAATTTCCTAAATGTAAAAAATGTTACAAATGCAGAAATCGACCCACAATTTTACAACACTCCTGCAATGACTGAAAATAAATGGAAAGAGACTAACTTTAAAGATCGGCACCTTTTTACGAGGTATGCTTGCCATGGTTTTCATCATTTGTTATGTGAAAATAAAGATTACCACTGTGCAGCAAACAAAAACTGTAAATGTATAAAATGTGGTGAACAAATTGGAATGTATCACCTATTCGAATGTAAAAAGAGTGACTTAACACTAACTAAAGCAGCTTCTATGAAAGTTTAGTGCAATTACTACCTCTTCAGTTTTTACTATTATTATATGCATAAACAATTAATATTCATGTATGTGTCTGTATACCGTTGGTATTTAATAAAAAGAATTAATAATTCAGAAAAAACTTATATTTATAGATACATGCATTAAAATTAAACCTATTGATGAGCTCAATTTAGAAACTATTAGATAGCAAAAAAGACCTCATTATTGTTAAAAATTCTGTATCTGCAGCATGCACTCTGTGGTTTTAAATAATTTTCTATATATTATTATTATTTTATCATTAAGAATATTATAATTTATAGTATAAAAATAGTCCTAAATGTATTATAATGCATGATTATATTTTTAATTGTAATAAATAACATTTAAAAATGGTGTGTCTTAAATTTTTGTGTTTAATTTTTCAATGATAGCGTACACTTAATGAAAATATTTTTTCATAGTTTTGAACATACTTCTTATTTCAAATGCACTGCTCTAAATTATGCAGACATGGAAAACCTATGCCATCCTCGCGACCTGTAGCACTGAGTCGAAGTTGCAAGCCACGGTGCAGCCGGAGGCGTGCGCTCGTAAGTAGGTTACTCTTTTAATTGCAAAAGCCGCGCGCGGCGAGGACGGGCGGAAAAATTGCACTCGGCGCTCTGCACTTGTCTGCTCATTAACATAGGCCGCGAGCACATGCGCCGCCGAGGTGGAAAATAATTTCGAAATTTCGTTCGCCCCCGCGCGGAGAAAGTTTTAATTGCACTGTTGTTGACGGTGACGGCGTTTCATGCAAATTGTGTTGGCTTCCGCTGTTTGTTTCCCGGCGCGTAACGCACGGCGATGAAAAATTCATGAGGCTTTTCCGAGGAGAAGTTTCACCAAAATGGATACTAGCAAATTTTGCCAGCAGAGTCTTACAAAAGAGAAAAATCGAAACTCACCTTTGCTGCATCCTGAGCAGGTTGTCGAGGGCGTCGGTGAGTTGTTTGATCTGCGTTTCCAGGTCATTGGCCTCTTTCTTGAGGGCGTCGAAGCGCGGTCTGATGGGGTGAATCGACGCCAACCGCTCCAGAGTCAGTTCGTTACGCAAAATCGGCGCCTGTCAAAATAAATTGCGCGTCAGTCAATCAAGAGATGATGCGAGCGAGCGTTCGCACTCTTGTCTACAACAACAAAATTCTTGCTCTCCGCTCTGCACCTTTCATCTGCCGGTCGACGAACGGCAGACAAAGGAGACTGCTGATGGAGAGATCTTAGGGATAATGATCTCTCATTTGCAGCACTTGAGACCAAGCAAAGCTGCTCAAACTCAATGACAATTATACGAAAACTTTCTTTTTTTTTTAAAGTGGACACAAAGTAAAGTACAGGCAACTTTCTTATTCGACATGCCTTGTTAAAAAAATTAAAATAAAAAAAACTAAATATTAATATAAGTTATTACTATTTATTCTATTACGCATGCAGGGTAGAATTTTTGTAGAAAAATTTTTTTGATTGTTATAAATGAGATAAATAATGATTTCATTATTGAAAAAAATCATAATTTTAGAGTTAAACTTCAACTCGCACAAATTGAGAAGAAATATATGTAATTATGTATTAAAATAAAAATTTTATTTATTATAAAAGGTGATATTAAATCTGGAGCTTACGATGTCAGAACCTAGTTTGAATATGAAATTATATTTTAAGAAATCTACAAAATGTTTTAGGAATAATGATACAAATTAAATATTTTTAATTATGATTGAGAAAATGAAATAAAATCACTTTTACTTATAATGATTTTAAGTAATTTGTTAAGAAAAATATTTTTCATTTTAAAAGTAAAAAAAACTCACAGTGTTGGACGCGTTGGATGAAGAAGCCGCCGCTTCGCCGCCCTCGTCGGCGCTCGGTGTCGGCAGCTGGGGCGGCTGCGGAGGCGAGAAGTTGTGTTTGTTGTTGGTCGGAGGCGGCGCCTGCAGAGATCTGACAAAATGGGCCAAGTCTTGAGGGCCAGACACCCCGCGGCACAGCGCGCTCAGGCCGTCGTACCGCCGCCCTTGCTCCACAGCCTGCGGACACACACACACACGTCCGAATGAACTCTCGTTACACCCCGGCTGCATTCAAATGAACTGCTAACGCGTTGGGCAACAGACATTTGCACACACACACACCGTGTTACAAGCAAATAATCCTCTCTGTGCTTACTTCAGGCGCGTGGTTTAATTAAACAATGGATAAGAAACGCGGAGAGAGGTTGCGAAACATGGATTTTTTGCTCACAGGCAAATGAATTTGGTGATGCCAAAATAAACTTTCCTCGTTTGGATTTCTCGATTTCGCAGAATTCATTCAATTATATTTAAGCTCGGTGGAGGAAACTAGAAAGGATGAAATGAAGACACATTTTGCCTTTGTAAGCTTGAATTTGAATAAAATATTGAAGTGTCTCTGATGGAATTCGAGGCATCTCACAAATATGAACGTCTAGACGCCCTTTTGAGCTTTTGTATTAAAACCCACACATGTACACATAGTAAATTCCAGCAAAGCAAAAAAGGCTGGCTACGCGCCTCACCGACTGACGATCTAATGTGGGAAATGCGACCCAGGTGGCAGCACCGTGCGGGAAAGCAGCTGTAATTATGTTTGTAATGCCTCTAATTCAATGGGAGTTTTAATGTTAATTACTTTAATTACCTGTTAAATTTCAGGTAGGAATGCAAATTACTCCCGTTTAAATATTATTGATTATTAATTTCTCTGGTAAAAACTGTGGCTTTTGTGGCATTAAACAAGAGACTAAATTATTTATTTAATTAGCCGGGATCCACTTATAATATAAATAAAATGCAGGAGAAAAGTTTAATTAATTCTGTTGAATTAATTATTATTGTTTTGTCAAATGAAATTAAATACACGTCATATTTATCAATAAAATCAAAATAGAGCAATAAGAGCAAAATAGATCAATGATCAAATGAGCAATTCGGATCGAGAGTTTTCAATCACTTTTCTTACACATCGCCGCGGCTGCGGCGGAGAGAGAGAAGGAAAGCAGGGGCTGCTGCTGGAGTTGCCGTGCTGCTGCTTCGGGGCGGCCGGAGGGCCGCGCTGACGTCACAGCTACTCAGGGGCGCCTCGGAAGGGCGCAGGGTTGCTCAGGGTGGCCGGTGGGGCGTTTGCGCGTCTATTTGGAGTAGACGAGGTGGGCAAACTTGGCAAAACCCCGCTCTCGCAGTGTCACAAGGAAAACCACCCGAAAACCTGTGACGAGAGCCGAAACCGAGCCGAAAAGTCTCTCAAACTCACAAATCAGGCTAATTAGAAATGTTCACTGGTTTCAGTTCAAGGATCGAGCCTGATAACTTGGAAATGCGCGCACAATCAATTTACAATGAAAAACAATTACAGTGAGATAAACTCCCGAGCGAGGTGCACTCGGGGGCTGCTTGGAGCGAAGTGCTACTTCTTATTTTTAATACAAAATCTCTGCACAGAGTTGGTCAGCGAGCGAGGCTAGTTTATATTACATTTGATTGGTCGGTCCTCAGGAGGGTGGGTTTTACCTCCTTTGGGCCTACGTGCAGTTTGCGCTTTTCTTTCTCACGCGCTTCCTGCTTAAAATTCAGGTACACGAAAAACATCTTCAGAGAAATACATTCTTTCTTATATTATTTACGGATGGTTGTAAAAGAGAAATCTGGCGACGGCCAGACCGCGAACATCTGCACAAACGCACTCTTTTCTTTCTTCTTCTTCTGCGTGTGGTCAGGGCAGATTATAAGGGTGAGCGCTGGGCGCGCTCTATTGTTCGGCGTCTCTCTCAGGTACCTGCTCCTGCAGGTACTCGGCCGTGCGGTCGTCCCATCTCTCAGCGTTTCTCCTCTCTCATCTCTCATTATCCTTAATGCTCATATATTGACCATTGCTCTTAATTAAATTATAGACGTGTGAATTAAATAGTTGAATTTATATTGATGATTGCTCTTTAATTAGTCTGCTTAATTATTTTATATGAGAATTATAATCTTTTAATCAGGTGAATATTTTAATTAAAATTTTTATAAGGTAGACAAGTAATGGTATATTACATGCCACCCCGAAAATATTAAAACAGGGTGTTTTAAAATTTTCGCACTCTTCATCACACATTCTTAGTGTCCTCAAACGTGCAAGCAAGCTCATGCCATTTTGACACTCATGCAAATTCACATCAATTTCACCAAACCATTTTCTCAAACACACTACATTTCTAGTGTGCGTAAATTTTTAAAAAGTTGTTTTCCTTCTGATTAATATCAGAAATGCAACATTATGTTTAAATATTTGGTTTTTAAGTAGCAATTTTGGCTCCTTGGCTTGCTCGACCAGAATAAAATTTTAATAGCAGTTTGGGATCCTTGGCCTGCATTACCAGAATAATTATTATAAGCAATTTGGGCTCCTTGGCTTGCATAACCAGAATTAAATCTTTTGCTTGGATTCAAACTCAACACCCACGAAGAGGTGGAGCGAAACCGAGCGCCACTCTACACGCACTTGCCGTGGAGCGGACTAGCAATTTGGGCTCCTTGGCTTGCTTAACCAGAATTAAATTTTTTGCTTGGATTCAAACTCAACACCCACGATGAGGTGGAGCGAAAACGAGCGCCACTCTACACGCACTTGCCGTGGAGCGGACTTTTCAATGAAATTTAAGGTCAACTCAACACCCACGAAGAGGTGGAGCGATTTATTTTTATAAAATTGATTATTTATACAATTGATTATGAAATCAACCGTGGTCACTTGAATTAACGAATTATCATTATATTATTATTTCTCCAAGAAGCTACTCAACACCCACGAAGAGGCGGAGCAAACAGTTAATTGCTTTAAATTTTAATTCAATATTAAATTGTTTCTCTTTTTTTTTCAATAATTAATATGCCACCCAGAATTTAATTTTAAGATCTGGGTGATTTAATTAAATTTATTCCTTTTTCTTTAATTCCTTTTTCTTCAAGAATTTATTCAGATTTTTGTTGTTTCTGCTGCGTTTCTTTGATCGTCGAGTTGATTTTGTTAAATCTGATGGACTTATTGTTTTTCCAGAAAAATCATTTTTTGTTAAACTTCCTTGAGAATTACTTGCCGGTGTATTTTTCTCTGCAAAATTTTCCCTTGATTCATTTGAACCTTCTCGTTCATTTTGCTCCCGAATAATGTCAAAGCTATTCAATGCTTCATATAATTGTTGAGTGTTTTTTATACTACTTTGGATGCTCAGTAGATATCCTGCATATATTCCCTTTTGAAATGACTTAGCCAGGCCCAAAATGATTCTATCAAATTCCATTTCAGGGCTAAACTTTTTAATTCTACTCATTAGTCTGTCAAAGAATTGAGAAAAAGTCTCATTTCTATCTTCTGATGGAAATTTTTCATTGAAAATTAGTGATTCGAATTTTTGTTTCTGAACCGAATTACTCCAAAATCGCGATAAAAAGCTATCTTTGAATTGGTCGTAGTTTTCAAACTCAAAGTTGCCTGCCACCCATTCCCTGGATTTCCCACTAAAACATTGGGCGGCGCACTTCAATTTCATTCGGTCATTTGTAATATTTTGCCAATGGAAATATTCGTCGAGTTTCCGAAGAAAGACTGGAGGTGCAATTTTCTCCTCCTCAAAAGTCGGTGGTTCGTCACTTTGAAAAACGCCAAAGTTTGCAGAAGACATTGGTCTATAAAATTCGCCAGAAAAACCCGAATGAGCCAACGATTGGTGTCTCGAGAGCGCAAACTGCGCGCCCGATTGGGTGTGTGTCAGTGTTGGTGTTAATTGAGGTGTCGCGGTGATAATTTCAGTTTGATTTTGTGTGCAATTTTCTGTTGGTGGTTGTTGCTGTGGTTGTGTTATTTGATTATTTTGTTGGTTTTGAGTAAACTGAGAAAAGAGATTTGTGACAGTGTTATTTAATTGTTTGGCAACAGAGCCAAGCTGCGCTTGAAGCGTCGCTTGCACTTGTTGGTGTATATATTCGTCGTTCCGTGTTCGTCTCATTTTAATAGATTGATTTCCTAATTCCCACTAATTGATTTAAAACGAGAGAAAGTCAGAGTCTGCTCAAAACTCGTTAATGTGAAGTGGATAGGACTGGAAGTTTGAAATAAATTCCAAATTTTAGGATTATTCATTAAGTTTGGCAAATGCCACCTTTGTTGTTTACGAGCACTGGCGGATCAAAATCTCGAGTTATGAGAGTAAGATCCGACAGCTCAGATAGAAATTGTATCAAAATTTAATATGATTATAATTATTATTTTTGATTAGCTGATTCCCAACTCAGCCCAATTTTGAGTGGATCCGGCCCGGAGGATCAAAATCTCATGTAATGAGATGAAGATCCGACGGGGCGGATGGGAGAAATATCAAAATTGCAATAATTAATATCTTATTATTGAAATGCTGATTCCCGCCTTTATTAATTAGCAAGAGCGGATCCGGCCCGGAGGACCAAAATCTCGTGTAATGCCTCTAATTCAATGGGAGTTTTAATGTTAATTACTTTAATTACCTGTTAAATTTCAGGTAGGAATGCAAATTACTCCCGTTTAAATATTATTGATTATTAATTTCTCTGGTAAAAACTGTGGCTTTTGTGGCATTAAACAAGAGACTAAATTATTTATTTAATTAGCCGGGATCCACTTATAATATAAATAAAATGCAGGAGAAAAGTTTAATTAATTCTGTTGAATTAATTATTATTGTTTTGTCAAATGAAATTAAATACACGTCATATTTATCAATAAAATCAAAATAGAGCAATAAGAGCAAAATAGATCAATGATCAAATGAGCAATTCGGATCGAGAGTTTTCAATCACTTTTCTTACACATCGCCGCGGCTGCGGCGGAGAGAGAGAAGGAAAGCAGGGGCTGCTGCTGGAGTTGCCGTGCTGCTGCTTCGGGGCGGCCGGAGGGCCGCGCTGACGTCACAGCTACTCAGGGGCGCCTCGGAAGGGCGCAGGGTTGCTCAGGGTGGCCGGTGGGGCGTTTGCGCGTCTATTTGGAGTAGACGAGGTGGGCAAACTTGGCAAAACCCCGCTCTCGCAGTGTCACAAGGAAAACCACCCGAAAACCTGTGACGAGAGCCGAAACCGAGCCGAAAAGTCTCTCAAACTCACAAATCAGGCTAATTAGAAATGTTCACTGGTTTCAGTTCAAGGATCGAGCCTGATAACTTGGAAATGCGCGCACAATCAATTTACAATGAAAAACAATTACAGTGAGATAAACTCCCGAGCGAGGTGCACTCGGGGGCTGCTTGGAGCGAAGTGCTACTTCTTATTTTTAATACAAAATCTCTGCACAGAGTTGGTCAGCGAGCGAGGCTAGTTTATATTACATTTGATTGGTCGGTCCTCAGGAGGGTGGGTTTTACCTCCTTTGGGCCTACGTGCAGTTTGCGCTTTTCTTTCTCACGCGCTTCCTGCTTAAAATTCAGGTACACGAAAAACATCTTCAGAGAAATACATTCTTTCTTATATTATTTACGGATGGTTGTAAAAGAGAAATCTGGCGACGGCCAGACCGCGAACATCTGCACAAACGCACTCTTTTCTTTCTTCTTCTTCTGCGTGTGGTCAGGGCAGATTATAAGGGTGAGCGCTGGGCGCGCTCTATTGTTCGGCGTCTCTCTCAGGTACCTGCTCCTGCAGGTACTCGGCCGTGCGGTCGTCCCATCTCTCAGCGTTTCTCCTCTCTCATCTCTCATTATCCTTAATGCTCATATATTGACCATTGCTCTTAATTAAATTATAGACGTGTGAATTAAATAGTTGAATTTATATTGATGATTGCTCTTTAATTAGTCTGCTTAATTATTTTATATGAGAATTATAATCTTTTAATCAGGTGAATATTTTAATTAAAATTTTTATAAGGTAGACAAGTAATGGTATATTACATGTTCAATAATTCAAATTTTGAAAATTTATTAATATCAAAAAATTAAATTAATAAAAAATATTTACGTTGTTTTAACTTTTTTTAAATTGAATTTTAAAATTTAAATTCCAACTCTCCAACTGAGACTGTAAAGTTTGAAATTACAGGGCTTCTCTGTAATAAACTTTTTAAATAGCCCTAAAAAAGTTCTTTAAATAATTCAGTCCGGAAAAGGAGAAAAATAACTCGCCCCTACAAAGTGCGTAAAAGTGTCTGCACATAAAAAGCGGCATCCTCATCTCTCCATCAAAAGATGCATCCAACTCGAAAATTACGTTCATGTCAAGCTTGAAATATGGATAATCAATAAAAAAAAGTGAGGAGAAGGGTGCTGGCAACTGGTGCGACCCAAATTTACGAGGTAATTAAAGTGCACTCAGTCACACCGGCATGTTCAGCTGCAAAAATTCCTCTCTCGCTCCATTTAAACGCCATATATTAAATCTCAGCCTGTAATATGATTTATGGCTTGCAGCGTAAGCGCCAAAAATACGTAAAATTAAACGTTCTGATGAGTTTAAATACCAATACGTCACTTGCTGATGACTTGGTTAGTTTGCGGCTTTTTCATAAAGATTTTTAATGGTTTCAAAACAGAGCGATTAACAACAACACCTTATAATAATTAATAATTTTTGTCAACTTTATGAAATTTAGGAGGGAAAAATAACAAAAAAATCTTCTATCCCTGCATTGAGAGGATTTGCTTTTTCCACGGACTACGAGAATAAATATTGGATCAAAAGCAAGCTGTTGTGAAATTTGCCTACGCGCGTGCTACTCACCCTTGTTGATATTATTTCCGCTCCTTGGAGCACAGAGTCGGCCAGCATCGCACAAAGGTCTGAGTAAACTTCCTCCAGCTCCTGCAAAAAAGGGAAAATAACAACACTGGTAAATCCACTTGCGCTATTGAATTATTCAAAGGTAGGCAATTTGCCGGTCAAAAGTGACGCGCTGGCTGCCTACAAACGGCGCTCCGCCCTCTGCCTATATCTAGCAGGGATCAAATGAAAATTGCTCTTTGAGAAGCAACAACTCGGAAATACAAACGCCCCCACATTTTCAGCATTCAATATTCTCCTTTGAGTCAATAATTGACATATCGTAACGAATTTGCCCCTCTTTTGACAAACGTTTATATTTGTTTTTATTGAAGAAATGAACTGCAATAAAAGCTGATCATTTATCAAAAAACATCAAAGACCAATCAATTATTCTGAAATTTCAAGCTACATAATTTTGTGTTATTTTGTTAACAAAGTGTTGCAAGAAAGCTGAACATTGAGATTGCGAATGTCAACCACCTAAAAATACAATAATAATTTTGGCTTGATGTAAACGCATAAATATTTACTGACATGGTTAATATGTTTGCATTGCTTTAAAAAAGTTTTTTTGTAATTTTATTTAATTTTTTTTCAACCAATAATTAAAAAAAGGCTAAACATGTTCCTTTTTTTAAATATTGCCCCTAATGACAAAACCCCTGTGTTAATAATAATAATAATTAATCTTTCTACTCAAACACAGTTTTGGAATCTGACAAAAGCGCATCATGAATTTGAACTAGACAACCACGTGAGCAAGACAAACTGCGTACACACACTTTCACTCTCTGCGTAAACTTGGGAAAAGTAAGTTCATGCTCGCTCACGGTGGGGCGAAAGTTCCTTTTGGATTATTATTGCCAGGTTGATTGTGTTGCTGACGACTTTGCTGACAGCGCAGGAGCATTATTTTCGACAGAGACGCTCCCGCTCTTGAATGTTGAATTAGCTACGAGGTGCACTATGTTTGCATTAGTAGACTGGCGTCGGCAGCTAGGGAGCGAATGTGTTTCTCTTTTGCACGCACACACATATGTATAGTTTAGTGCCTGTGAGATCAGAGTTTTAGGGGTTTATTGCATTATTCATCACTAAAGCTGCCAACGAACTGAAATGGAGAGCCGGAAGTTTTCCTTCTTGGTGCAACACGCGATTTAAAAATTTAGTTTCAATTAGGAAACAGGTAAATGGAGCGTAGGATGAAGCTGGAATAATTATATTTCCGCATGTTCCAGCATATAACATATTATGGGCCGAAGCAATGGAGTTCATACAGTTTACTATTATGATACAATTAATGTTTTTTAGATTGGTTCTTAAGTTCCAAATTCCAAAAACAGTAAAATTTACATTTAATTTTTACACGACGTAAGATGCTAATTAATTAATATTTAGCCACTTTTAATTATGCATTAATAAATACATAAGATTAATCATTAAATTTAGAAAATGATAAAAAAAGTATTTATAAAAATATAACAAGATAATATATAAATATTCAGCTAAATGCATATAAATTTTTTGTAGATATGATTATATTATTTGGCGTATTGAAAATTTATAAAAAAAAAAATATTAAAAATTTATGTGATTAGACTGTAAACTTGTAACTAAAGGTAATCTTTTTCCTCTTGGACAAAAATTGCATGCTTAAGAGCACGATTTTTTAACCCCATTATAATTTGATATTTATAATTTATTTTGTAAAGAAATGAAATAAATTGGAAAGTTGTTTATTTCTTCAAATTGAACCACCTTAAGGGTAAATTAGTCCTCTAGGGATAACTCAAACAACAAACAAGAGTAATGGTAAAAAATCGAATTACGTGGGTTCAGCAGAGGGCAAACACACAATGGGCCAATCAATTTCCAAAGGCAGGTCACCGGGGTGCTTTTGTCCAAACACGAAGTCGCCGAAGCAGGCGTAAAGCACGCGTGACCCGTGACCTTTGACCGCGCGGCGGTGGGGCTAAATGAGGTGCGAAACTCACCTGCATGAGCTGGGGCAGGATCTGCTGGCTGTATTCTTCGAGCATGCCGTTGGTGGCGTGCAGTTGTTGCACGTAGGCGTTGTGAGCGTCAAAGTAGGAGGCCAGGGCCGCATTGCTCGGCGAAGACATGTAGGCGAGGAATGCGGCTTTGTAATCTTGTCGGCACTGCAACCGCGAATTTTCCATTATTCCAACGGGCAAAAGCCTCCTCGGATGTGGAGACGCGTTCCTCGATATTGATTGGCTTTTGGCACCGCGCACCACTCGAGGAACGCGCGGCTCCTCAAAATTACCACTGTTGGTTTAGCTAATTAAGCTAACGTTAGTCGAATCATCCGCTATTCAACTCCGGTATTAAATTCAATCAAAATGCGCACGGCAAAGGGTATCAAAGCACTCAAATGTGAATTACCAAGTTCAGTCACTTGATGCTGATGAGGATGTTATCAATTTGAGACACGACAATATAATTTCTAGAGAGTTTAAATGGTTATATAATAATCCCATATCTCAACTGTTTCTGGAAAGATTGCAATAAATAAAGCTTTAATAAATTTTTTAGATTAACTTACGTGCAGTAAAGGATACATCAAGCTAATTTTAAGAGGAGATGAAATTTCTTTAGGATAATGGCAAAAAACCGAGTTCATGGGAGTTTTAATAAATTAAGTATTTTATAGTTTTTATATTTCAAAGTGAATTTATTTTTTACTTATTGTAAATTAAAAAAAAAATCTGAAAAATATTATGTTAAGATTTGACTTAATTAAATAAAGTGAAAAAACCAATAATTAAATTGAATGGCAATAATTGAATAAATTTTCATCCTCTCCGAGCCAACTTTAGCTCCCTCTATACCTATAAATGACGTTAAGAAAATTGGAGGTAATTAGTTCTGATAAGATTTATCTGATTCGTTTCCTCCTCTAAAAACTTGTCAGTTGCACTGAATGGATTATTTTGAAAACAGCTCGTCCAATTATCTCTCAGCATTCGCGTCGTCGTTTCCTCTCTCTATCCAACACATGGACCAATCTATACGTAGCCGATTGATTTTCACGACTCTTGTTCCCAAGAGCAATCTCGCCTCGAAAATCAGTCAGTCAACAGTTAATTAAATCTCACGCGTCTGGGCGCGTGATATGCAAATTGGATGAGGCGCGTTTCCCGTTCCGGAGGTCCACAGGGATCAGACGCCTTGTAATGGATCGTTCCGCCGGCAACCTGCCTATCCACGTGTCTCTCTTCTCTCTCAATTTCGTCGCCAAAAGTTCAACTCGAAAAGCACGCTGTGTAGATTTTCATCGCTTCTTACTTTTTTATGTAGAAAATATTTAACGATTTGAGAACATCAATTATCTGATAATATATAAGAAGAAAAATAAGAGATTAAATTTGTTTTAAAATCGTTAGAATAAAAATATCATCATAAGTTACTGTATCAATTTGTAGAAAAACAACGAACTTTAAACTCTTAATGCAAAAAAGTCGGCAATAAAAGCAATGTTAAGTGAAAAAATAAGAAATTTTTATAATTCAATCTAAATTAATTTCATAAAATATTAATTATTTAAAAATTGAAAATTATTATTTCATAGGTTTGAAGAAGATTCAAAATCAACCCCATAATATTTTGAAAAAAAAAATTTAGTTCCAAATGTAAATAATTTATATATAAGTAAGTAACGGAAATCTCCAGTATTTCTGAAAGCAAGCGCCATTTATTATATTATTTTCCTGCTGTCGATTTCATTTTTTTTTTTACAAAAGCTTCTAATATATTAAGGTTTTTTGTCCATCGGTTCCTCCCAGAATGATATTATGCTGTTCATACTTTCCGGTTTAATGCCCGTTTGACAGTTTGAATAAGTGATCCACTGTCTGTCTGACACGACGCGGACATCAGTGTGACAGCGGAGCCGTCAAGGCGTCAATAAAGCCTGTTTTCATGGCGAAAAAGTGATTGACACGCGGGGGTCGATACGGTATAGGGGTGCGTCTCGTTGTGTTGTTTCTCGTTTGCAAAACGGGGGATTTGGGCAAATTGCTAAAGTGCTCTCTGCTCTCTGGCGTGCACGTTCATTTGTTCATTACAGTCTTAATTAATTATATTTATATCAAGCTCCGTGCAAGCGGCTGGCTCGATTTTCCCAACGAGCTGCAGACGCGCGTGCTTTGATCGTTTGTTTTGGCGGGCGAGAGAGAGAGAGAGAGAGGGCTAGAGCAAAGTGCTCGTTAAGAGCTCGCTTCGTACAAATCCTTTTTTATTTTATACGCCCAGTCGTGAATCTAAACGATTTCGCTCCTAAGCTCTTTCTTTCTTTCACTGCAAATTAACGTTTTCATTAAACCACTGAAATTTGGCCTGCGATCAAAAGAGTGTCTGGTTTCCTTTTGCCGTGCACATTTGATTTATGGAAGACAATGATCTGACATAATAAAAATGGGATAAAACTGATGTGAAAGATGATGTAAAAATTACTCAATTCAAATTTTGGTTCAGAGTTCAGAGAAATAAATTATTTTTATTTATAAAACGTGATAAAAGATATGTTTGGTAAAATTAATTTCAATTTTTTTTATAAAGAATAAAATACCATAATAAGCTTTCAATTGAAATTTCTTGTTTTATTGAAATTATTGGAGGCCGTTCTACCTTGAAAGATATTCACTAAACCTTTAAAATTTGTTTTTCTTTCACATCAGTTTATCAACCATTCATTTTGACTCAACAGTTTGGAGTCAACATTTGAAATTATGTCTTGTTTTTGTTCTACCTTGGTCAACATGTCTTCTGTTTTATGGAGGATGGTGTCGTAGCTCTCTCGGTGAGTGAACACTTTTCTGGATTGTATTTTGCGGTAAAATGAGCGTTCCAGCAGCGGTCGCGAGACCTGCCGGCCCAGTATACTGGCAATGTCACTGTGGGCCTGCGAGTCAATCTCCACTTCTTGGAGCAAAGTTTCCCAGGCGTGGAATACGGTGCTCGGGCACGCAGGCCTGCGGGCCGAAAGGAACAAGTTTAAACAAGACATGCGGAAAATCTGGAAAATTTCAAGAAATACTGGGAGGTGGGCAAAAAAGAAAAAAAAAACATATGGCAACAAAGTTTTTATCCCTTATTTAAAAAATTAACATTAACATTCCTTGCCAGTCTGAATTTTTCATGGATGAGATCTTTATAATATTAAAAACTTGCCTCTCTTTCCGTAGTTCAGCATTTTTCTTGCGAAATCCTTCCACCAGATGCTGCAACTCCTCAGCATGTTGCTCATAAATTTGACTCAACTGCTGAGTGAAGTCGGAAACTGCAACAAATAAGCAAAATAATTAGTCTCAATTTTGTAACTGTTGAGGAGGAGGTGAACGCCCGCAGCTTCAAACGGCTGCTAATGCCATTTGGCCTTTATTTGTCAGGCTACTTTTTATGTTTTGGTCAATACGCCAGAAAATAGATTAAATGTGTTCCGAGTTGTTTGCAGAGCCATTATCAATCCTACGTGTGTGGCCGGAGGCCGGGTAATGTTTTTTCTTTGTCCAAAGCGCAAACACAGACTGTCAGTCAACATGCATTGGATAAAAATATACGCCTTGGCCATCGCGTGCGTTCCAAATCTCAACCCTTGACCTTTGAGGCCCGCAAAATGCATTTTAATTATCATGACAACTTTTATAAAATTTTTCCTCTCTAGGGAATAATTTTTTTTTATAACAGAGCAGAAGAGTCCTTTTGAGAATAACCAGCCTCATCAGTCATCTCCAGGGACAACATTAATTATAAAACCTTAATGGGTCCCTCGCAGGAAAGAGCAAAGAATCCAGTCTGAAATGTGTATTTAATTAAAAAGCATAATTCCCAAGGAAAATTTTGATCCAAAGGGAACATTTGTAGCAAAAGCGCTTCCCGCGCGCCATAATTGAACGTGAAGAAAGTCAATGTTTGAACTGAGTTAATTAAATACCAACACGCGCAGGTCGCGAATTCCAAAGGCAGAAATGAATCAACCAAGTTAATGTTGGTAATTCCTCCGCAAAAATTTCTTTCCTGCTTTTATCTCTGCTGAATAAAAAAAAGCATGAATAATTTCTCTTACATTCCAAATCTACTTTATTTATCCCTATTAAGCAAAAATAATATTAATTTAAATTTGAACAAACAAATTAAACCCACGACTGCAATTTTTTTCAATAGTGAACGCAGATTTTTTAATGTTATAATTTTTTTTAATATTCATTAATTATATTCTTATAGTGTTAGTAATTTTTCGTTCTCAATTCCATTTACATATTGTTATTGAAAGAGAATTTCCATTTTGCTGCCATAGAATAAATTTTGAGCTTGTTCAGATTCCGCAGAGAAGACCAAAGCCCGGCTGCTTATCTTACTTTTATTCGCTTTGGGGAATCGTGTCGCTGGCAAATTTTGTGTGAATGAGCGATAAGGGGCGTTGGGAAGAGCTCGAGTGGTGCCGTCGACTTTTATCTCTCCGAAATCTGGCTCGAAGAGAAGTGCAAGCTGCTTCTTTGCCCTTATACTTTGCATTTTCTTTTGCACGTTCGAGCGAGAGGGAAAAACAACATTTGCTCTCGGGAATATAAGCAAGGGGATTTTTCCAAATCCAAATCCTTATCTTCGAGACCGAAAACATAATTTCTCTTTTAAAATCAACTCGGTGAGTTTCCTTGCCTTGAGGGAAGCGCAACCTCGCACTTTTCCAGCACAAGTGCAGAAATAGACTCTGGCGACCTCATTATTTGCTGGGAAAGTTGCACGAACAGGAGGAAAATGTCGCAAGTCATGCATCTCGTCTCGCTCGCGATTGCGAAAGTGTGCTTTTCCCCGTATTGACACGCGCTTTTATTATCTACCCTGCTTTCCTATCGCGTCTCCTTTGTTTTTCTCGAGCATATCGTGACACGCGATTGCTTTTATTCCAAGGGTCATCCATCATGGAGTTATAATGCTGCATTATAATAACGCCCGCCGAGCTCATTATCTTTGTGCGGACTCTGCACATTGTCTAGCTCAAAGCCCATTTATCACCAAGACTCGATTCTGTGTGATCTCGGCAATTGCGTAAGACTTTCTTTTTTCTCTACCGACGTCACGCGGCCCTCAATTAACGCCGGAGATGATCAAGTGGCGTTAACGAGCACGTTCCTCTCCTTCACGGCCGGGGAAAAAATACGTCTCGGCCGCGTCCAATGCGATTGATATGAGAATTGATTATTGGCGTTTCTTTCCGCAAAAAGTACGGATTGAAAGAGATCAGCCGAGCTATTGATGCGAGAACTTGCAGACCCTACTTTCATGAAAGACGAGATGAACCAAGAGCGATTGGCAAATTGGAATTCCTCGATGAGATTCGAAAGCATCGATTCTCAGAATCAAAAGCTTTTCACAATGCAGAGCTAAATTTCTATTAAAGAACCAATGGAAGTAAGAAATTTTATCTGTTGAGGAATTTTTTAATATTTCATACCAGTAATTGAGTGAGATTTTAAGGTTGATTTGACAGAATAAAAATTAGGAACAATTTTTGTGAAGGCTTATTTACTGTTATTAGTTTATTTGAAAACTTGCTTAGAATTGCTTAGAAAATTAAAATGAAATTTTTTTCAATATTGCATTGTTAAATAAATTGGCTTGTTTATTTTAAGATTCATTTTGTATTTTTCAAAACCGAGGAAAAAATATTCAGAATCTGCAAAAAGTTTAGGAATGAATATTTGATTGCTTGAAAGAGTCTCACCAAAATTTTGCACAGATTCGCTTGTTGCCCCAAAGCAACGATGCGCGTACAGGACAGTTTCCGCGTGATTCACTCTGAGTTGAAGTGCCACTCACACGCGTATGGAAAAGACACAACGCGTCGCTGTGACAGGACAAGGTGGAATGAAAGGGGAAAAATGTGTGTCACAAAGCAAGAATGTCGCACACCGGCGAAAAGGAGCCGTTTATTTGTTTGCAGCGCAGGTAAGAGAGGCGCTGCGACTTGAAGTGGTTTCTTTTCGCGAATTCCTCCGCCAAGCCGCTGGCAGTTAAATTGGATTTTGCCCCGCGCTTTAGCTTGAGTGCGCTTTTCTGCTGATTTCGACACTGTGGAATTTCGAGATCTCCAGTTCGGCACAGACGAAAACTCTGTGTGCAGCAAACAAAAAGCTGTGTTTTTGAGCAAATTATTATTCTTTAAATAAATGAAAATAAAATATGCTAATAAAAATTCAATTTTACATGACTTTTGTTTATTAAGTCACTTTTTTCTATTTAAAAAAAAAAATAGTAATGAATTTTTAAAATTTACAAGACTTTTTTATATTTATTTAACTTAACTATTTTAAATTTAGTTTCTACTAATAATTTAATGTGACTTTAAAAAAAATGGTATTTTTTATAATGCAAAAATTATGTACAAGTAAAACAACACATCTCAAAATGAGGTAAAATTTTTTAAATTTTTTAATACAATCAAAATATTTATGTAGTCTGCCTGTTATTGATTGCAATTCTCATTAATACCTGTGCCCGCCAAAAATCCATGTCAATAAATTAGCAGGAATAAATCGGCATTAATTTGAAAGTGCGAGCTTTGCATTGCTTTGCTTCACCCACACTTTGATCCGCCACCGGTTCAATTCATAATCATCAGTTTTTGATGGGTTGCGCAGCCGGGGCGTTAATTACGGCGGCCAAAGGTGTCGTTAAGCGCGACACATCATTAACCGTGGCGTGTTAATTCACGAAAAATATGCGCCAGCTGCAAACGTTTACTATTTGCGCAAGCTGCAGCATTGCAGTCGGTGTTTTGATCGCAAGTGATCGGCGACTTTGATTAATCGCGCGTGCGATTAGCGCACTGCAGCCGTTAGACGAGCCATTGAATTGTTAATTTGCGTTTTGATTAACGAGAGATTGCGCACGATTAAGCTCTTACGGTGATTGCTGGAAACGTGTTCGCCAGTGTTCTAATCACCGTTCAGCCGATCGTCAATTTGGATTAGTTTATGGTATTTGAGTTGCATTGTCTTTTCACCTGCCTCTCAGAAATTATTAGCGTGGTTATTATAAGAGTGTCTATAGAGCAATCTGTTACAATCTTGATAAGCTCCTTGCAAACCCTACTTGGCTAAATTTTATTTGAAATGTGTTATTTATTATTTTATCATCGTGCACGCACCTTCAAAATATACCATTATTGAGTTTTACTTTCTTATAGATAAACATATAAAATTTTAAATCCTCCCTTTGATAATGATACAGACTAAGAAAAATATTTAAATTGATTCACACAACTATATTGTAGAAGTAAACAACTATATTTACATAACAGTAGCAATACAATAACAAAATGCTATGAATTTTGAAATAAATAAAAGTAAATTGTAAATTTTGATATAAATAAAGTAATCAGTATTGTTGAAATAAAATATTCAATAGAAATGTGATTTCAAAATAACAAATAACTAATAAAAATAATGGATAAAATACATAATAAAAGATTTAACTTTCACAAGTATTTCAATAAAATTGATATTTATCACTTTTTCCATCTTTATTTTATTTTTATTATTTTTCTAAAGATATGGTATTGATTTTTTACTTAAAATTGTAAATTAAGTGTAAAATATATTTTGTAAAAGTGTAAAATTTATGGAAACGTGTTTTTTTTTAAACCACTGTAAAATATTTGAGAGGTCTGCACACTTGAAAATTTTCTTTCAAGAAAGAGGCCACGCTTCAGTTTCTTTTTTCGTTAAAGAAATCCTTGAAGACACACCTACTTTTTTGACAAATAGGTAGGAAGAAAATCCAAGGTGAAAACCCCTCTCTGGGCATATCTGTCGCCCCGCATGACACGGCGTGGGTTGCATTTTAACAAGGCTAAAAGGAAGTGCACACCGCGCGGCTTCTGCTGCACTCTCTATGGTGGTACAAATTCACCTCGCCGTGACAAATTGCCCGCAATTAATCTCCATTTCCTCTGCTTGATTTTCTTCTGTCGCCTTCGCGGGAGTGTAATTTTTTCCATCTCTCTGTGCTGAACGAAAATCAATGCGGCGGGGCGCTCTGAAATAATTTCATTACAGGGCTGCTGATGAGGCTGTGGAGCTTTTTGTTTGCTCTATCATTGCACTGACTCGCCTCTCTCACTCACTCTGCGAGTAAACTCGTTATTTGTCGCCCGTGGCAGCAGAGATACCCACTCGTCACTGCAGCCAGAGCGAGGGTCCCTAATTCCACCGAGGCTTCGCTCCCAAATTGACTGGCGCCATCCTCTGACGCTTTTTTCTGCGTGCTCTTAATTCC